AAAAAAAAAAAAAAATAAAAAAGCAAAAAAAAAAAGGAAAAAAGGGCATATTCAAACCAAAGTGAAATGGGTTTCAACTTAGCTACTAGCTGCAGCTGTGACAGATTCTATACTTTTAGGTCTTTTCTTGGTTTCATTCTTTGCTTCAAGTCTCTTCCTCTTTGATGTCTTAACTGGTCTCTCTTCTCCATCCACGTAAACGTCATTAGGAAGGTCATATAACCTTACGTGTTTTATCTGGATACTATGTACCTTTTCGTCATATGATTGCCAGCCTTTGCAGATGCTGAAAAACTCAGAACAAGGATACTGAATATCAAGCTTCTTTTCTCCGCCCTTATGCAAATCTATATCTAAGCCGATGTACAACTTCGTAACATGAACATCTATATGCAGCTTACTCAAATCTTCCTTCTCTTCTTTAGTTTCCGGTTTTGGGAGGTCCTTTGTAATCTCCTCTCCTTGTAAAGTACCATAGCTCGCAATGGCCTCACTTGCTTGTGCATCGTTCTCAACAAAAAATTCATTTTCAAAAGCTTTGACGTAAGGATGAGCAATTTCAATACTATCTGTAATCTCCAACTTCTGAACTAGAAGTCTTAGTTTACTCTCTACCATACCGCTCCATTTGATATGCTCTTCGTATGAACCTTTTGATGCTGCCACTATACAAAGATAGAACTTATACTTGAAAAAAAATTTATGTCTCTCCAACAAATCACCCCAAGTTTTCTTGTTGATGCTAATCTGATTCATTATGTCTGTTCCTCTTTTGAATTCTTCCAAAATAATTTTCTGGGTGGAGCTTGTTATATTATGTGTTGCACACATCGACGGATACGCTGGAGTAATTACAGGCATCCTATGTTGTCTATCGTGCGGATAAAGTCTTGGATTCCACACTCTTACTTGTAGCGGACCATCTTCGATTTGTTTTAACAACACTGGTTGCGGCCAACTCCACTGAGAATAAATATGAAAAAATTTTTCAATGATCACAGCACTCACAGCATTAGGATAAAGCTGGCAAATCCTTGCCACTAACATGGCCCACGCAACACCTCCAGGAAATCCAAAGACGTTAGCATAAATTGCTCGTTGCTGAGCCCACATTTTGATACATCTTAGTGCATGCTTGAAGACTGTTGGTTTAGGAACTAACGTTAAGATCTCATCCGTAACTCGCGTACCATTCAATGCTCTAAGATCTTTTTCGTCAATATTACGTAAAAGATTTTTATCATTTAAGGTCAAGTCTTTAGGAACTCTAGGTATATCAAGTCTTGCAAAATTTAGATCAATCGATATCCCCCCAAACTCCATTTTGATAATAGGCACAAATGCATCAGGTACAGGCGCAATTTCTTCCAATTCAGGTCTTTCCTTCAAGATTTCGGTGAACACTTCAAAAAAATCATTTCTTGAAATATGTTTTGGAACAACCACAAGTGTATCGATATCAGATCCAGGGCCATACACCCCTAACCTGTAAGATCCATATGTGAAGATCTTACCACCAGCATCCTTTGCCATACCTTCACTCATATTTTTGTTTAATGACACCTTATAGACAAAATCTTCGGTGAGCTTTTGCAATGTATTAAGAACCTCGACACGCTTCTTTGTGGCCGCTTCACTTTCAAATGAACCCTTCGCTTTTAGTTCCCTAATTAAAGAATCATTCAAGCTATTCTCCTTTGGTGTAGGATTTGCGACAGATATAGGTGGCGTAACCCCATAAGTTTGTAAGCTCATTATTTATACCTCACTACTAGGTAGCCAATCTTCTTCTCGTAGTCGAAGTTCACATCTCAAAGAATAGTCAAGTATTTATAGACGATATTACCCGGACGTGATGATAATTTGCCTTTAGAAATGTTGTTAAGTAGTTAAGCTGAACAGTGCAATATACAATAGCATAGAGTATGAGTCCTTATTCGGTCTACGGTAAGCTCAATCTTACTTCATTGAATTGACTTTTATTCTCGTAGGATATGTATTAAGTTATTCTGGCCAAACGCGAAGACCGACCTCCTCGTAGTTCTCAAATAGAACAAATATCGTAGTTTTCTTTGAGAAGACAAAACCGTTTTCTCATCAATTGAATAGACTTAAGTTTATGTATATCAAAGATGGGGTTGACATCAAAGTTAGAAAAATTGAAATTGAAGAGCGGCGATGAAAAGCAAAAGTCTAATAGCTCGGTGAACGAAGCAGCAGAATCTGAAATAGTGAGCCCCTCAGATTCACAAGAGAAGACAAAGAAAGAAGACACGAATGGCGAATCTTCAGGTGAATATGGTGATACGGATGACATTGATGAAATAGATAATGAGGGCCAATCGATTTTATTGGCCATTATTGCACAATTAAGGCCAGGATGTGATCTTTCTAAAATTACGTTGCCTACTTTCATACTTGAAAAGAAGTCAATGTTGGAAAGAATAACTAACTTTTTTCAGATTCCAGACATATTAATTGATGCCAATGCTGAAGATGATGATTTGCGTAGGTTTATTTTGATTGTAAAGTGGTATTTGGCAAGTTGGCATATTGCCCCCAAAGCGGTTAAAAAGCCACTCAACCCAGTTCTTGGAGAAATATTCTCTTGCTATTGGGACAAGTTACCTGATGGAAGCTCTGCTTATTATGTCGCTGAGCAAACTTCACATCATCCTCCAAAATCTTGTTATTTCTATTTAGTACCTGAGCTCAAGATTAAGGCTGATGGAATTTTGATTCCTCAGTCAAGGTTTTTAGGAAACTCGTCGGCTGCACTTATGCATGGCTGGGCTCATCTCACGTTTGGTCAAAGAGATGATGAGACGTACATAATGAACCAGCCTAATATTTATTGTAGAGGTATCTTATTTGGGAAGCTTAAATATGAGCTAGGAGATCATATGCTAATTGAGTGCCCTAAAACTGGATATGAAGCGGATATCGAATTCAAAACTAAAGGTTTTATAAGTGGAACTTATGATGCCATCGAGGGTACAATAAAGAATACCAAAACGTCCGAATCTCTTTATACTATTACAGGTAAGTGGAACGAAATCATGTACATCAAGGATAATAAGACTGGTAAAAAGGAGGTATTATTTGATTGCTCGAAAACAAAATCCTTTAAGCCAAAAGTTAGGCCTCTTAATGAACAATTCGATAATGAATCAAGAAAACTTTGGGGTCCTACCTGTCAAGCATTAGCCCATAGAGATCACCACAAAGCTACGGAAGAGAAATCTAAGGTCGAAGATTATCAGCGTGTGTTAGCGAAGAAAAGAGCTGAAATAGGCGAACCTTTTGAGCCCAAGTTGTTTAAAGATGTTACTCATAAAGACACGGACCCAGAGCATTTAGAGTACGTAATTTACAAAGACTTTGATTTACTGAAGGATCCAGACGAATTGAAGAAAGAGTTCCTTGATATGGTACCAGTATTACCTGGTCAAGAAAGTAATGATAATATTAATGTTCCTGCTTCTGAGAAGTCATAGTTTTTTTATTTTTTCCTTTTTTTTTAATATATAGCTTTTGAATCTAATATAGGACTTGTTTTGGTAACAGGAATTATTCCGCAATTCGACTGTACGTTTTCTTTCTTTCTTAAACTCGTCAGCTTGCTACTTTGATGTTCGTTTCCTAATGTTTATTTAAAGAAGATCTGCACATAGCGTATTTAGCGAAATATGTATAGTCAAGTGTCCTCTGTAAAAATCGAATATCATCAGAAAAGTCAAATATTGGCATGTTATAAATCTATGTCACAAGAGGGGTTGAAAATGCTGCAACCAGATTTTGGGACATTGGAGGAAGACTTGGAGGTATCTAAGCTCGATACTCTTCAATGCATCGATCATTTGCGACGTAGTGGCGATAACATTGGAATTCAGCATTATGTGATTCAACGGTTGTATGGGATGAACTATGATGAATTAGAGTTCTACATACCACAGTTTATTCAATTGCTAGTGTCATTTGAAACAGAATCAATGGCACTTGAAGACTTTTTGTTGGACTACTGCGGCAAATATCCACATTTCAGCTTGATTGTTTTTTGGAATCTTCAAGCTTTCATTTTCGAACTTAGGAATGATTCAGAACTGTATTCCTTTCAAACTGTTAGAAAATTTGTAAACAAACTTCAAGGAATCATGTTCAACTCAGACATTGTATATAATAGGGTACAGGAATTCAGAGAAAATCTTCATCCAGCATTGATTTTGGGAGGGGCCATTGCTGCAAGCATTGCTGCTCCTAGAATCAATAACTATGTTGCTCCTTTAATAAAGTCTCAAGGAAGACAACAAAAGTCATTTGTTTTCAAGCTAGCTAACTATCAAAAAGCATTGACTAGAAATTTAACAATGAAAAATCAGAGACTTTCTTCTGATGCCACAATGTCTTACAATTCTGACGACGAGGGCCGCCCTCAAGATTCTAATATAATCAGAAGTAAGAGTCTAGATACGCAAAGGAGAATTTCTTCCCTGTCAAAGTCAATTTCGAAACGAGTAGCACTGGTTTCTTTATCAGATGATTCCGAAGCAAATACAACTGATGAAGATATTGAAGTGAAAAGTGACTCTAAAGTAAGGGAAAAATTAGCCAGCTTAGAGTTGGATAGAGCGGACCAAAGTGCCTACCTTAAAGAACTAGAAGACCTTCAAGACTTAAAAATTAACACAGTAATCAAATCAAAAAAGCAATTAAGGAAGCGTACGAATTCCGAAGTTCAGGCACCGAAGAGCGATAAGTATAATCTAAATTCTCATTCAATGCCTGATTTATTAACTGGTGACAAAAGTAGGCCGTCACTTCATATCACAGAATCTGAATATGCTATTGGGCAATCTCCAAGACGCAATTTATCCCAACATTCACAGCTGGCAAGAGCAACTTCATATTCTCATTTGCTTAAATTATTACAGGTCAACTATGCGAAGAAAGAGACAGAATTCATTATGGCTCTCCTGAACGTGTCGTTAAGGTTAGCACTGGTTCCAAAGCAGGCTCGGTTATCTGCCTTACGAGCCGAGTTATCCATTATCAACGAAACTTTACTTCCTTCAGAAATTGATATCCCTCAGTTACTTCCCATAACAAGCAATAAAAACAAGAAATATCATAAAATTTTGAGACTAAATGTCAATGAAGCGTGTGTTTTGAACTCTGCAGAAAGGGTACCATTTCTCTTATCAATTGAATATCTTAGTGATGAGTTGGATTTCAACCCGTTTAGTGAATATAATCAAAAAATCATTTCAAAGGGCGTTCAGTCTGGTGGCATTAGATCCCAAATACCTACTGCCGATTCCATGGATATCTCAGACAATGATCTCAAGTCGGCTGATAGTGATCGCTATAGTGTCGAAAATAATGAAGACTATGTCGGATCTAATTCTCAAATTGAAGCTGATATAAGCGAAATGCCAATCTTGTCTCAAAGGAGTTCCAGTAGTGATTTGAAAAGAATGAAATCGTTTGAAATAAATGACAAGGGTATCATAGGGGCTACGCTTGAAGAAAGAAGAGATAGTCCTACACTCGGTGCAAATCTTGCGTCAGAGAATTCCACAAAGACATTAGCAGATCGCATGAGAATTGCTTCCGTGATGTTGCAACAGTTGGAAAGTTCAGGACGTTCTACATCAGAACATTCAATTGCTATCAAGAATCGAATAGTGGATTCAATGATATCTTTACAGGATCAATTTGATTCCATGACCTTTGAAACTCTTACTCAATTAACAGGTGATAAACAAGATGCTGGTGAGCGTAAGCTTGAAAATGATTTCAAACTAGGAGAAGATTGGAAAACTAAAAAAATGCGGATTCGCAATTCAAGCGTATACGGTCATTTGCAAAATTGGGACTTATGTTCCGTCATTGCCAAGAATGGAGACGATTTACCTCAAGAAGCCTTTGCTTGTCAACTCATTACTTTAATATTCAACATTTGGAAAAAATATGACGTAAAGGCGTGGATAAAACGAATGAAAATATTGATAACCAGTGCCAATACAGGATTAGTGGAAACTATAACGAATGCAATGTCCATCCATTCAATAAAGAAGTCATTAACGGAAATTTCGATTGCAGGCAGAGAGAATTCAAAGGGAAATATCTTTTCATTGCAAGATTATTTTATGAAAATTTATGGTTCTCCTACTTCAGCTAAATATAAGCAGGCGCAAGAAAATTTTGCCGTCAGTCTTGCATCATATTCAATAATTTGCTATGTGCTTCAGGTTAAAGATAGACACAATGGTAATATTATGCTCGATAATGAAGGTCATATTATTCACATCGATTTTGGGTTTCTTTTGTCGAACTCCCCTGGAAGCGTTGGCTTTGAAGCATCTCCTTTTAAATTGACGATGGAATATGTGGATTTAATGGGAGGTTTCGAGAGTCCCACTTACTTGAGGTTCAAAAATTTGTGCAAAGACTGTTTCAAAGCATTGAGAAAGGATAGTGATGAGATAATTGACTTAGTTGAGTTGATGCAGAAAGATTCAAACTTGCCTTGTTTCAAAAGTGGAGAAAATACAAGCGTTTTACTTAGGCAAAGGTTACAATTGCAGTTGACAGATGAAGAAGTCGATCAATTTGTTGAAAGCTTTCTTATAGGTAAAAGTTTGGGAAGCATGTACACTAGACTTTACGACCAATTTCAAATGTTGACTCAAGGCATTTATAACTAAAATATTTCATTGAAAAATTTATATTGTAAATAGCTATCTTATATGTAAAGCATGAAGATCTTTATAAAAGATCTTAAAGATATAGATTGCTCATTGAATTCATAATTTCATTAAAATTACACGAAGAACAGAATTAAAGTTTATATGCGATTCCTCTTCAATGAGGACATTTCGTTTTGGAATTTTATTTTTCTAAACATGCATTTTGTTGACCGAAATAGGCGAGGTCCAATTCTCTGAATCTTGCATGGGTGAGAAGTCATCTCTAGAATCAGCTCGTTTTGAATAAACTGATGTCTGTATCGGAGTGGCGGATACTGAAATCAGTCTTGTGCTCGAAAATATTGAATACTGCGAAGTTGCAGATGGTGGTGTCAAAGGAACCGGAGGTTCTGTATGTCTTTCCAGGTCACTTTGCTCGATTTGAAGAAGCAAATCAGCTATACTGCTTAGTCTTGACGATTCTAAGTCAGAAGCAGATTTCTCGATAATTAAAGCACTATTTTCATAAATAGTAGAGATAGCAAGAGCAAATCTGTTATTAAAATTACTGACCACTTGGACAACACCTAGTTCCTCGTATTTTTTTGTCAATACCTCAGTAACTTTGCTAAGTTGAATTATAAACATTAAAGCAATTTTCCTTATATTATCAAATGAATGCTCATCGAAACCGCTTAAAAATGCTTGATTTACTTCGGGCTCCTTGTTTTCTTGGTTCTCATCAATTTCTGAGTATATCTTGTCCAGTTGATCTAGATTCCTAGTTAGGTACCTTTTTCCTAGTTCATGCAAAGAAACTGAAGCATTTGGAATTTGCAACATTGAGCATGCTAGTAAATTAGCGGTTATTGAGACAAGTGATGGAGGGACTGATAAGAAGAACTTATCATATAGGGACAATTCGCAAAGGAATCTTCCAACAGCAGTGACGGCTGATATTTTGGATGCATTATTTATGGAACTTGACTTATCATTAATTGTTGGATTATATTTACATGGTGTAACATGGGACGAGATATTGGAAGTACTGATTGCAAGTTGAAGGCAGTCTTCCAAATTCGGATGGCACAAAGACCATTCTAAAGTAGCCAAGATATGCATTTCCATTTGAATGAACATTTCTTCATCGTAAGCATTTCTGCACATCATTGACAACTCCCTTAAAGTCGGTACTCGCGACTTCTTGTCCTCATATTTACCAGCAATCCAAAGTGCTGTGCAGCCGACTAGTTGATAGTGTCTTTTAAAGACTATTCTTTTAGCACAGTATCGGTCTATGATGTTAAGGCAGAGGAACAAAGTTTGAGGCTGAAGTTTTAACGAAGTATGTAATTCAATCAAAAAATCTAACAAGAATGGTCTCATGAACCATTGGATTTCAGGCTGCAAGTCAATCATTCCAGGAACAACTCTAGTCTTACCCTCGAGCGTTGCGAGCGCTCTCTTGATATCCAGCTCATATTCCTCAATCAACTTCCGGTTTGCTTGTGACTCTAAGAGCTCCAACATCAAGCAATAACCTCTTCCTCGGCCATGAACTTGTGGAGGACCGTATTTTCTCTCTTGCTTTCTAAACTGTCTGTCATACTCAGCACCATGGTACTCCATTCGCCTATCGACGTCTCTTTCCACTCTTTGTAGGTTTGCTAACGTAGAGTGTTCTTGCATACTCCCTTGTGATACTTCAAATTAATTTCAAACGAATGTAATGTGACTGGCAAAATCCGCCTTCGTCTAGCTATCGATGTGCTGCTGGCTTCTACTGGTCCTTCGTTTGCTCCACTTTTAACGAACGTCCTGCTCCAGTTTATGTGTCAATGCCTCCAGTATGCTATTTTATCTTTTCTATTCCTATCTAACCTTCGTTAGGTTTATATAAATCCTACACTTTTTTTAGCCCTTCGAACCTGCCATATAACGCGTTTTGGTGTTCTCTCACCACCTTGTCTTTTTCGTGTAGTCTTTTTTTACGCTTTTACATTTTTCGCAGCGAAAAATTCGCGGTCGCGATTGACCACTGCCGCGTAACGGGCTAATCCTGGAATGTAGGAGTGGTGGAGGATGTACGTATATGACGACGAAGGGAATTATGAAGCGAAGGGACATGAAACTGATGTTAGTGAGACAAAGATATAAACCTAATTTGAATAGTTGCACAAAGCTAAACAAAAAGTCTTAGGGGGTATAATAAAATAAAGCAAATACAGGACCAAAATGGCTGCGGTTGCACTGTAAAGTAACAGTACGAAATAGGCAATAGCCAAAGCCGAGCGTGACAGAAAAATAGGCGACAATAGATATATCGATTAATAGGTTTAAATTACACTATATAAAATAAGAAAGCCGAGTTCTGAGACATAACGTGGGATTAATAAGCACCTCTACCGCGTCCACCACCGTTATCTTCAGGCTCATCGTTTCTGATGGTTTCATCAACTGAAAGAAGTAACATAGCTGCTTCGGTAGCAGACTGAATAGCGTTGATTTTCACGAGAGCTGGTTCCCAAATAAAACTCTTCATATTGTTACCAACAGACTCCTTTTGAAAGTCAATGCCATACCACTTCTCACCTTTTGCGTGAGAACTTCTCAACATATTCAAAAGCTCGATCCCATCGAGTCCCGCATTATCGCAAAGTTGTCTAGGTATCACCTCCAAGGCTCTTGCAAAGGCAGCTATAATCAATTGCTGTTTTCCTGCTACAGTCTTTGCATAGTCCCTCAAATATCTAGAGATTTCCATTTCAACTGCTCCACCACCAGCAACAATTCTATTGTGAGTGAGTGCTCTCTTCACAATCATGATTGCATCGTGAAGAGATCTTTCCACTTCTGCGATGACCTGCTCGGCTCCACCTCTTAATATTAATGTGCAAGTTTTGGCTTGAGGACACCCTTTAAATAAATTGTATCTTTCAGATCCAATTTGCACCTCTTCAAATGAAGCAGATGTGCCCAAATCGTGTGGCTTGATGTTTGAGCATGTAGACTGAATGCTTCCTCCAACGGCTTTGATAACTCTGTCCAAGTCTTCTGAGGCAACTCTTCCGGCGCAGAATATATTTCGATCAGCAAAATATTGAGTCGCAAGATCACCAATTGGGAGTTTCGATAAGACAATGTTAGCACCTGAATCCTTGATAGCTTCGAGCTTGGAGAAGATTATTTGCCATTCAGCATCAACAATGTCTTGATAGTCCTTAACTTGTTCAACCCTAACTTCTGCATTATCTTTTTCTGCCTTTAATTCTAATTCAACATTCAAACTTAATATTTTAGGGTTCTTGAACAGCTTTGGCTGTTGCTCAAATCCAGCATATGAGAATGTTTTTTTGAAGGCGACACCGTCTATAAAAAGAGAATCCTCCATGCTACCGCCCGGAACTTTTTTAATACCAATTAACTTCTCGTCGAGATCACTTTGATCCAAGCTTAAAACTGCATCTACTACCATTTTAGAGAACAAAGAGGAGTTTTTACTTATCAATTTTGAGGACATGGCAGTAGTGGCACAATTTTCCAACAAACTTCTGAGCTCTGTTTCATTATCGCACTTTATTTCAATCGAATCTTCTTGTATCTTTTTAACGGCAAGGTCGCATGCTCTCCTCAAGCCCTTAGCTATAATATGTGACGAAATACCATCCTCTAAGAATGCTTTACTTTCTTTCAAGACTTCACCAGCAATCACAATAACTGAAGTTGTCCCATCACCAACTTCGGCATCTTGGGCACGCGATATATCAACTAGCATCTTAGCAGCAGGATGGACAACATCAAGTAGTTTTAAAATTGTGGCACCATCATTCGATATGGTAGTTTTTCCATTGGATCCTACAATTAAAATATCTGAACCAAAAGGACCCAACGTTGGCTTGAGCGTATCTTGAATGGCCAAACAAGCATTAATATTATTAATAATTTGCCCCTTCCCTTGAGATGCATCAGTCCCTTCTTTCAACACAACAATAGTTGGTGTTTGGGTAGAAAACGACATGATTTATAAGTAACTTTCAGATCTCTTTAATTTAGTTAGCTACAAATAATTAATCAGAATCCTCTGAGTGATAATTTTGATGTTTCAACGACTTGAAAAATTTACACTACTTTATGAAAAATACTAATTTACTTTAGAAAACATTTTGTCTAGACCTGGAAGAGCCCTCTTTGTCGACGAATACCGCTCTAAGATGTTTTCAAGGAACAAATATGTCTTGAATAATAATGTGCTCAAGACTTTCCAAAGGAATATAGCAATGAAAGGAGATGTACACTTATCCAGCAGAAGAGTGATGAGAAAAATTAAAATGGGAAAAGCTAGACCAGCAATATTTCATCAATTTGATACTTTAGTTGAGCTTAGCGACGGCTCCGTTATCAAGCGTAGATCACAGGCTCCAAAAGATGAAATCAGAATGATCAGCGATATAAGGAACAGTACCTTGTGGAATCCTAATAGGTCTGATCTCGTTACAATAGACCCTAATGCTACCGGTAAGGTTAATAAGTTCAAGCTGAAATTTTCTTCTTTTGAGGCTGAGGAGCCTGGAAAGGACTCAAAAGAAGATGATTATGTGACTTTGATGGCGCATGATGCAACAGAAGTCCAGAAAGGAGGAAAGTTGTTTGATAAGAAACAAAACAAAAAGAAGTAAAATTCATTTAAACATCTTGTAAATAAGTTTATTGTACATCTATATTTCATCTATATACATTTGGTACTTAGTTTTTATACAAAATTTGATCTACCAAGGCCAGGCTTTTATTTGAAAGTGATATCAAAATATCCTTTACTAAAATACCTTCTAGTCTTAGTTCTTCAATACACCATTTTATGGTCTCTAAATCTTCAACTATTATTGATTGATCGATAATTACATATAAGCAATCGACCCTTAATTTTGCTGAGGGAATAAGAAATGGAACTATTTCCTTTGGTAAGTGGTATTGATCCACATTTAGCAAACTATGACGAGGTAACATGGAAGAGTTATTTGAGGCCATTTGAGTTATGCGGGTCAATAAGCTTCTCCCCACACGGTTGCTGATGTTCTTTGTAACGTAAATTATGATTTCTTTTGTAACAAGATAAGTGCTTTCTTCATCTTTAACAAGGCTATTTAACTTCTTGATGATCCTTAGCAAAAGTGATTCTCTCTCCGTTGATTCTTCAAATCTTAAGACCTTCAGGAGAATATTTACAGATGCCAATCTCGTAATAATAGCAGGAGATGCTTCTATCATCTCAATGCATTTCTCAAGATTTCCTTCCTCAAGAAGTTTGTTTATAACAACATTATAATCTCTCTCGTTCATACCATTTTTAGATTCAAAGATATATTGCAATACTCTTTCAGATCTTCTTTCATATTTTTTGAAAATAAATGCAGCGAAAAGCAGAGAGAGCGTCAGTCTTCTCAAAGGTGCCGATAAAGTATTGACCAATGCTTCAAATTCTTCAGTATATTTTGATTCAGTTCCATAGAACTCAAGCAAAAAGTCAACCAACCTATCAGAACCGAATAATTCGGAAGGTATTTCAGACAGTGCTGCTAGTTCGACCGAAGAATCTTTACTGTCCCTTAAACATTTTAATAGTTGACATATGGTTTCTGCTCTGATAGTTAGAGAGATATTATGCATTTCCTTCGCTGAACTCCATACATTGAAAGCACGAATAGTATTTCGGTATTTCAAGTTTTGTCTAATGAATTTATGAATAACTCCTGGTTTAGCTTGCAAGCACTCAATCGTGTTTGACATATACTTATCATAAAATATGTTAGCAAAGTAAGGAGGTCCATCAGCTTCCAAAAAATAATCCAATAGGACACATTTCTGCTCAGCAGATATATTTGGAACTAATTTTTGAAGTATCTTCAATATCGTGAAAGAATTAAAAGTATGATTGATGTTAGTGTCGAATGTAAATGATTGTAATAGGTTCGAAATTGTTTCATTACTCATGACTAGATTATTATTTGTGAAGTCTATGGCATATGCTGCTCCCAAAGTATTTTCTCCTGAGTCTATCGCTTGCTTCACTAAAATATTGGCATATTGGCTCTTTATGTCGTGATGAGAAGAATCGATCCCCTGCAAATCAAATGATATATTTTCATTTGACACCTCTTTCTCTCTCAAAAGACCTATCACATTTAAAAACGTATCATATTTTTCAGAGAGAACTAACGTCTTCAAATCATCTAGAATTAGAGATCTCACAGAATTCGATTTCGGATATTTAGTCATTAAAAACTTGATCATGTCTTGATTGATTCTCGGATATTTCATTAAATCTTCAAGAAAGCTCGCTTCATCCAATTTATAGATGGTGTGGCATTCTAATACGGTATTTTTGAAAGGTTTTTGGTTCTTTAAAAGTTTATAGGCTTTTGATAGTCGATCAAATGCTGCTGAATTAATCTTATTCAAATCTTCTAAAGTCTCAAAATCTGGTATTGATCGGTAAGAATCTTTATATATTACTGAATACTTCCTTACCAATGACAAGTTCCATCTCCGAAAACGTAAATTTTTAAGTCTATAACGAATCATTGCCAGTATTGACACCTGAGTTACAAGTTACCTACTTCTACAAAAAAAATCTTGACTTTCACGTATCAAAGTATGCACGTGACCTACTTGATAACTCCAATTCAATGTTTCTTAAACTATAGTACAGTCGCCTAAACCAAACCCATACATGACCTTTTCAACATCTTTTCTAATTGATAGCCAATCCAGACGCCTTTGAACAAATTCATATATTTCCTCTTGCTCGAAAATTCCATTGAACTTCGAAAGGTCGCTGACAAGCTTACCAATAGATCTTGAATTGTCACCGCTTATTATATAAATATTCCCCACCTTTTTGAGGGCCTGGTAGTACGGCATGATTAATTTCTTATTCGTTTTAATTCTTGTCCTCATGAAGTCGTAGTATAAGTTTAAATCACAAATTAGTGTTGTGGCACCTGAAACTGAGATGGTACTCTTCTTCAATGACTTTACCACTATCTGAAAAAATCTTTCAGCAATTTCTTGTTGGAAAACTTCCACAATGTACTTATCAGTGCTATCTACAAGAACATCGATATTATCATCTAGAATTTTTACTGCGTGCTTTGCAGCTTCGGTAGCCCCGAACGTTGGTGTAGAACCTGGTGGAGGGTTGTAATCTTCTTCATTTGAATACATTTTGTAAACATTTTCTATCTCATTGACCAAAACCTCAATTCCAATATTTAATCCGTCAGCAACGTACTTATCCACCAAACCCTCAAGTTTCTTTTTACTTTGAAGAGATTGGTTAAGTATGGAATTTTCATTCTTGACGATTTGCCTATGGATTATTTCTTCCTTATAAAAGATATCAATCATCTGAATAATCAAGTCAGCTATATTAATTAAATCAAAGAACATTATTAAAGGCTCCACAAAGCTATCTTGGTGGTCCGTCTTCGCGTCATTGGGATTGTAATTTTGAAGATAAGCTAAAGCTTTAGTAAAACCAGGCTTTATGTGTTCAGTGCCTATTGTGTCTATAACACTGATAAAAATTTCTTGTGCTGAAGAATACACATCGCTTTTGAAACTGGCAATGGAATATTCTTTGAACTTGAGTAACCTATTCAATGATAGCTTAGCTTCGTTTATAACATTCAATACCAATTCAGGACTTAAAATCTTGTTTAAGGACTTCAAATTTTCTGACAAAATCTTGGTTTTCGCCTGCATTTCAGAATAACTTTTATCGTCATCTGGAGTTTCTTCGGTGCCATTTGAGCTTGAGTTCATGGTAAATACTTTTTTAAAACTGCTTAAAAAGTCATTTTTAGCTTCATTTTTTACATGTTTCAATATTCTATTAGAAGTCTCTGCTTCCCTCTTGGAGAGAGAATCTTTCCATTGTAGGATATTATCATTAGAGTATACCTGAAAAACTTGTATTTCCTCCCTTATGTATTCCGCACCAAATGATTCGTACATCATATCAATGAGCTCTTTAATTAGTTGATGATAAGAGAGTCCAAGATTTTTACTGGAGTTTAATTTTTCAATAAATTTGGTGGTTAATAATTCATACAAGTAAGGGACGAACTTCAAATAAACGCCCCTTTCTTTGGAGGCATCGATCAATAGCATGATAACTTCAGATAACTGGTTCGATATTAATTCTTCGCATAGTTTGTACATCATTGGAATTGAAGCTGGAAATATCAAATCAATTACTTCAGCTTGATGATTGAACAAGTCGGCAAGTTCATCTTTGAATTTGTTGAGTTCTTCAAGATTTATGTCGTATTCGCATTGGCTCCCATCTGCATTATTAGTAGGCGTAATTTTTGTGAAGTATGTGTCTGTATGTAGCAATTCAAGGTTGAATATATCCGTGCTTTCGTTGTCGAAAACTGTTTTTTGGAGGAAAAAATCTATTAATGTTTGTTGGTTTTTCAAATATATCATAATTTCGACAAACAGTCTTGCTCTTTCATAATCGTGGATATCATAATGAATTTCTAGCTCTCGGAGAATTGCATTTTCAAATATTTCAAGCAAAGCGTTAATCTTATCTCTTACTAGAATTCTAGACTCATCAAATGCATCAATCTTATTGAATTTTAGCAAATTATTTAGAATCTTCGCTTGTTCTTCCGGCGTATGATACACCTTAAAAATCTTCAACCGATTGAACGGCTTGTTTATGTAAAAATCTCTGTAATATGGCAGTAAAGAATTATTAATTTTCAACACCTGAAACTTCGCTACCTTTGGTGAAGATATGCATCTATCAAAACATGTCAAAGGATTCTCCGACCAAGAAAAGTCTATTTTTTTCAACTCCTCCGCTGATAGTATAGAATCTTTATTGTTCCAGACTCCTAGTTCTCTTAATTTCGAAATCCAGAGATTAGGATCGTTCACAGTTTTGTAGGTATTTTTTGATACCAATGCAAAAGAGAGTAGATCAGTTATTGATAAGTACTTTGAAATACATTTCGCAACTGATGAGGGGATCACCTGAGGATTATATACGTCAATGTCAGAATTCCAAATCACCTGGGACATTTTCAGAGACCTGGTTCATTAGGAGCCGGTAGAATTGATGGGAAAAACTTATCTTAAAGAGACATGCGAAATTTGTTCATTTTTTTTTTGGGGTCCAAAACAAATTCTTTGAATACTCATGGGTGAACATGATAAGGTTCGTTGGACGATATCGTTTATTGCGATATCGACAGTTTATAAGCACTAGAAGTTTTCACCTTTCGCTCAACTGTTTCCTGGGGAAAAAAAACGAAAGGTCATACTTAGACAGCACAAGTCAACAGCTGGGCTCTGTTAAAGATGTTATTTCTTCCTACGTAATCGACTTTTTTAAAAATGAAACAAGAAGCTTAACTGATGCATTAAAGAAAGATGATGCTTCTATGGTCAAGTATGAAAATGATATTATTGATGATCCATTTTTCCGTGGAGTATACTCTACATTAGATTTGCTGATTAAGAAAGAATTGCAAAGTACGGTGGACAAATACAATAGATTTTCTCTTTTGCTTACCTATGATCCAATCAGAATTAATCCACATGTGTACATTTGCCTATATAAAGACTTAAAAGTGGACTTGGATTCAGGGACAAAGATGTTATTTCTCCGAAGATTAATCTTTCATAACCGCTTTAGCGAATGCTGGGATGTCATCTTAGCAAACAATTCAACACTCCAAGATATTGAAGAAAGTATAGATGTAATGGAAAACGAGCTAGAAGAAAATCACAGCATTAAAATCGGCATTTACTACTTGTTATTAGCATCTCAAAAGGCGATTCCAAATATAACTTTGGCACGTACGGTAGCAGATACAATCTGTTTCAAGTTCGATATATCAAAAAGTGACCTTCAGCAATTGATTACAAATGAAAAAGCTTTAGCTTCAATCACTACATTTGAAGATCTTGTTTTATATCGTGAAGAGAATCTTCATCTCATAGAAAATTCTATTGTCATGAGACTGTTTTATTTGAGAAGAATTATAAGAATCTTGCTCAGCGTTGATGTTAAGGATGCTGCTCTTTACAGCCAGATACTAAATGAATTTAAGCAATTTGCATTCACTTGCCCAGAGTGTTTTAAAACTGGTGGCTGGATAACATCAATTTTACCTGCTTCAACATATTTGGACTTAAAAAATGAACTCTTAATGGCACATGAGTCACTGATATTCGATGATTTGAGTAATTTCATTTTACATTCTTTGAGACGAAGAAACAGAGCCGCTTTGAGTGTTTATGATATTTTATTACTTAGTCAATCATCTAGAGCCTCTTTTGCTTGTGTGACTTACAAGCTATATCGAGACAACTTTCAATCACAAAAGTCTTTAAATCGAACAATAATTAATTGGTTGATGGACAAAATAATAAAGAATTCTGATACACAAGAGGTTTTCAAAATTGCTTATGAAAATACTGCATTAATTGATGAAACAAAAATGGTTGACAGTATTATAATGCTTTTTGAGGGCAATGAAATGAACTTTAAGAAACTTGTCAAAAGAATTTCTTCAGACAAAGAAAAAGCTAACAAAGTTTTCATTGGCTTCATGGAAAAAACGTTAGGGAAAGGTACGACATATGATCAGGTTGTCACTTTGACAGACGCGTTTTATAGAAGTAAACTATCTTCAGAATTGATCATCAAGTTGCTTCATCTGCTTTCGAACACCAATATTGATAAGCAAAAGCTAAATAAATACTTTCTTTGGTTATTAAAGGATTTAAAGCTTTCAAGTTACGTGTTACTCGAGGTGATGCGATGTTGTGTTTTAAGGTTGAAGTTATTTGACGAAACCTTATTATCCGAATTATTTGGGGCCATTTTGGAAAGATCTATTGATAAGCGTATCGTAAATGACTCTCAAACAGTGGATGATTTTCAGTCTCTTTACTCTGCTGCAACTGTCAAAGAAAAAGCGAGGTTTCACAATAGAATAAGAGCTCTTGCTCAGTGTCTTTCATTGTTGGAAGTCGGCGAACTTGGTAGAATATTAAACTTATTTCATGAACATACCTTTAGTAGCGAGTTTCAATTCATTTGGTCTCAAAGTGGCAAAAATTATATCTTTAATAGTCTAATAATTGATACCATGAGGTTCATTAGTAGGTCTTTTAAGGATTCAGGAGAGGGAATCCTAAAAATGAGAAATTTGCTCGCAACAATTAACTTTGATTCAAGTTTAGTAAAGTGTTGCTTGTTTAGGTATATGGTGATCAGTGAGCCTTCAATGTGCTTCAAATTACTTCAGTTTCATCATGATCGGGATGAATATCTCACGAAAGATGCCATTAGATACATCATATCTGGAATACTAAACACTAAGTTAGAAGATAAGAAAAAGTTGGAACTATTTCAGTCGTTCCATTTGAAGCTAGACAGCTTTAATTATGGTTATTCCATAAGCCGTTTCACTGCAGTTGAACTCATCAACGTTCTTATTGGTGCAACTGAGAAAGATCCTAATAAATCGTTGGAATCTATCAAGTGGGTATTGGGTTATGCCAAAAAGAAAAAGCTTCCAAAGGGTGTATTCTTGAGATGGGCCAAAAAATTTAACTAGTTATGATAATTAATAAGCATTTGTATATTAGTGTAAATAGAATATAGATATATAGAACAATACAGTTAAAAAACCTATGGATTTTGGGAATCAGGATTATGACAATAACTCTTTTAACTCTTTCGATACATGACATGTTTTCTCTTTACGTCTCTTATTCGAAATCCAATTTCGAACTTGGTTGTAAGACAATCCTGTTCTCGACACCAAATTGAGCGAGGCACCTTGTGTAAGATAGGGATGATGCTGGTTGACATCAAACCATTTCTCTAAAATGTCAAGCTTATCCTTGGAGATTCGTTTTCCTTTCTGACTAACTCCATTGAAAACGCGTGGTTCAGTCACCGGCTTATGGGACGAATGAAAGGCAATGGACTTATTTAAGGTAGATGAATCCTTCGGATAGAAGACTCCTTCTTTAGTAATCCGGTAATCGAAGTCACCAAAATAATTGCTTATAAAATTATTGATCTCTTGTTGAAGTTTGGCTCTTTCGGCAACCATGAGATGAAGAAACTTTGTGAGCTTATTTATCTCACTAAGCAACAATTCCGACTCCTGAGACAATTCAGCATTACTGTCTAGAACATCCCTCACCTTTGAAGTGCAATCAATAATATCTTCTTTCATATTCTCTGGATCAAAAACAGGAAATGTGCATACCGCTACTATATTAATTTTTATAACAAACCGAATCAGTTCCAAAGTTGAATTACACAGCATTATTCCACGGTAATTTGTATTCTAAACTAAAATCGACAAACTTGATTCTCAACTTTTCTTTTAAACCAGATAGTAGGTTATAGATCACTTTTCATGATGGATCTTTGTTACTGCTTCACCCATGAACCGAAACCAAAAAAGAAGCTAAGAAGACTTTCAAATTACTCTTTAGTTCTATGATTGTCACAGATGAAACATATTCTGACGTAATATTATCAAAACTAGAATCTTTCTTGATCTTTCATGCCATACAAGTCTCTGACTATTCCTGTTTCCCTTATCAGCGCAACCATCAATTCTTAATTAAGTCTTTCAATAGCCCATCGTGCTCAACCTCAATGTGGCACCTTGCATCTTACAATACAAAAACAAATATCTGAATTGCAGAAATACAATCCTATTGAATCTTCCATGTGATTCCTTTAGAACTTTTTTCCTGTTCATTATGGTATCTTTTAGTATGTTCCATTCAGCCGTCATGCACTCAATTAATCTAAAAAGAGGAATTTCTGTGAGTATGCATAAATGTAAAATTAACACATTACGTAGATCCTTAAATGGAAAGATTTACTAGAAAGTAGCACAAACAAAAACCCAAAAGCAAAAACATAAAAACGACAACGACGACAAGCACTCTATAATGTAGTGTGGTATCAGCGATCTACTAATACTGATTTATCTCGTTGCTCTACATTTGTATCCGTCTTTCTATACGTAGATATCTGAAGATGTGTCGCATTTACGGTTATGATCGCAAACACACGCAATCAATTAATTAACCCAGCCGCAAAAAAACAAAAAGTGGCATTTTGGTATTACGTCTACTCCAACTCCTTGCGACTCCCAATCAAATGGGTATTATGCCAGCCAGTATAAGCTATCAGTCATTGTTCAAATTGACATCAGAGACAACAAAGAGCTAGTAAGCTTATCTTATCTTACGTCTTAAATTCCAATCCCATTTCAACCTATTGGTCCAGATCCTGCTGCTTTTCGTCTTTGTCATATACCTTTAGAGAAATAGCAAGTCTTACTTGCATCAATTGGACCATATTTCGTAAATTTAGAAATATTTTTGGAGCACCCTTACATATTTGAGACGCAAACAATTGTGGTTTTGAGTCCTTGCAGCTATGGCTGAACCAAAAGTGTCACTCTTCAGCTGTACATTGAGGTTATTTATGCCTCTAACAAAGATTCCTTGGTAAAATCTGGATGACTCCAAGCTTTTCCTTCACAGCTTTTATGTCCGAATGTCCGAAGGGCATTTTAAAGTCGCTGCTGTTTACTCTGTCCTTTTCATCTGGAAGTTCATTTGCTTGAGCCTTTAAGTTCTATTTTTTTGCGCTTTAGCTTTATGCAAAGATCTAAACTTAATGTTCTTACCACCAGGCTGGGGAAATATGAAACTAATCAGAGCGCATCCCAATCTGATTATTTTTGTCCTCATGCATGTCTTGGTATTGCAATATTAGTCTTCGCATTATGCATCTAGGACACCTGCAGGCTCTATACGCCTCCCAAACGGATATTTAACCAAGTAATGAGGACCACTTCTGGGAAAGGGCGTCCTAATATTATAAGTTTTTTTATACCTTACTTGATAACGAACGACACCTTTGTTTCTCTAGATTTATTCATCGGTTGTGATGGTGAATAGCAAACACGTTCCAAAGGGCCTCACGTCAAGGTTCAAAGCAAAGCAATTGGGTTTGAAGCTGCACCGGCTGCAGAGTTACCGACAATCCCAAGATCAAAAAAGACTCTTAACACAATACAATAGTTCTGAACAGATCTTCTCATTATCAGAAATACCGTTCTTACCGATACCCTCAGATGATTTGAAGAGTCTTCTATTAGAGTTCAACAATATTAATGTACCAGTGTCTCTTGGTAATGAAACCATAACCAAAAGAGCAAACCGCAGAGCTAGCAGGCATTTAAAAAATATGAAAATCAAAAAAATCAACGGTTTCATAGCTTTCAGATCATTCTATAGTAGATTGATAACAAATCCTGACCATCAACGTCAACTTTCAGTATTATTGGGTAAGCTTTGGGTAAATGAACCTAATAGAGCCACTTGGAATAGGTATGCCATAGAATATAATGCCCTGTTAGGAAATAGCAGAGGGCAGTACAAGCCATTTGTAGAATGGCTATGTGATACACTTCATCTTAACGGGGAGGAAAAAGTAGAGGAAACATACACGAACGTTGTCAGTAACATTACGTGGGAGTTCTCTTCAAGGTGCCAAGACAACAAGGTGGAAGATGTTTACTTCACCTGGTAAACCATATGAATTCTTTTATGATTTGAATGATTAGCTAACTCTGGAAGTAGTTTTAAATTGATAATACCCAAAGAAAGCATCAACCTACCGTAGTGGTCTCTCCAACTTGACAGCCTCGAGTAAAAGTACTTTGGCAAATCAAAATGATGAAGCGCTCAAAGTACATCACGTAGAGTACAATATATCTGTATTCTACTAGGTTTTGTATACGATTTCACTTTAATAAGCACGGAAATTGTTCATAAGTTCATATGCAAGACATTTACCCATGTACCCAAGAGAAAATTGGCGACCTTAAATAAGATAATGCTTTCCTGTGTGAAAATTAACTCATTATGTAACCTGCTCAAACTTTTGCATCCTTTCACATCCCTTTTACCCCTTCTATCCAATGTGTAGGTTGAAATCTGTCTTATCAACCTTTATTCTCATTGTGGTCTCAGGTTCGCCTACTAGTAACAACGTAAACTAGACACATGTGGTCATTGAATACTTAATATATGACACCTTTGAATCACATACTGGATGAAATTTCTTGCTTAGAAGGGTATTATGCTGCTGGATCGACAATATCTGTAGTAAGGTAGCGAAGAGCTGCGTTTAGGGTTGAATTATGTGCAGGATATATGGTGAAAAATTATTGTACGAGAAAGTTGCAAATATCAACGGACCCACGCAGGAGAGAGAACACATCAGTCACTTAACTCTTATACCAAGAATGACATAGACGTACGCCTCATATGTTTGATTAGTATTTTGTAGTTCGTTCAGGAGCTTTACAATTCCCCAAGCAACCTCTCTTAGGTCCAATCTGACAAAAATTAAGGGATCAAATGCTGAATACCTTTGAGAAACCAAGACAATATTACAGTCGCCAGCACAACCTCAATTAATGTTCAAACACGAAATTACAGTCTCTTAATTGTGAAGCAATGCTGCGCCTAGGCTTAGAGTACTAAAGCTCCTTTTCTTCTGTGCAAATGCCAATGAATAAAATATCTTGGTCCGCATTTTGAATCAAAGGGGTTGCATTTCCAAAAGAGGAAGCTACAATGGAGATCAGACAACGAAGCTCTATTCAATCTTACTTAAAATTTGTTGGAGAGATGATTCCATTTTGCATCACTTAATGCACTCTGCTGGTCACCTTAGAGTCCGGATCACTGGATTTCTGCTTTGTCATTCAGATTTTTCTAATCAATGATGCCGTGAAGAAATATAATTACGGCGCAAGGCATAAATGTGTCATGATTTGGTCTATTTCTCAGAATCTTGGACATTTAACTGTTAGACCCTTTCAACTGGGATGTTAAGGAGCTGAATAAGATGAGTTATTACAAAATTCTGTTGCGTTCTGGAAAGCATTCATTGTACACATTTAGATACGAACAAGAGATAAATGGAAACACCTTCCCCTGATTCGGGTTCAACTGAACTTATATTTCTATAGTATCTTTTATTTGTATTGCCAGGACTTTGATAAATTATACCGGTAATGGATTCAAGCGATTTTAGGAGAGCCTGTTACAAGACCTCTTTTATTCTTCCTAGATCGAGTTGCAAGAAAATAGAAAACTCCCAACAGTTATCTAATTTTGTAACAAATACGTCTTTTCCATCGATCTCCACTAACAGTAAATACTGCCCTCTGTTTGATGAGAGCAAATTTATCAACTGTAATGTTCTTTCAAAAGAAGCTAATCGGGACAGGCCGAGAGAGGACACATTCAGATCTAGAAATAGATTTATTATTGCAAGAAATGTTTTAGGTCGTATGATAAAGGAGAAACAAAAGGATGTGAACTCTATATCAAAAATAGTGTCTATCGTAAGTAAATTTCTATACTCGAAGTGAAATGCATATTAACAGTGATAAAGGTGTGGAAAAATTGCGGACGGAATCTTCACGATTACTTTGAATATCTTTCTCTACTTGAGGGTTACTGGAACGATTGCTTGAGAGGAGGTACTAAAAGGTTTGGCTTAGCACCAAAGAAAGATGCTTCCAACAAGCTATCTTATTCGAAAGTTTGCACTTCTTCATATTTGAAAACTTCATCAAAGCGGAAACCTATCCAAGAAAATTCTACAAAGACATCAATAAATTCTAGGTTCCGAATTGCAATTGATCTGAAGGTCGTTAAAAAGAAAGCTAAAAGAAAGTCTAAAACACCCCCTCTTACCGATAATTTCAGAATAGAGAGCTGTTCTGTAACTACCTGGTTTGGAATCTTGACAGAAGATATGTTCTTAAACGACTTCTAATGTGGTTATAAAATTTTTTCTTTTTTTTTTTCTGCTTTGGATAGTTATATACTATTAGTCTTAATGAAGTTTCAGCTTAATTTCCAATTTTGTAATTCACAATATGTTTTAAAGCTTTGTTCCTGAAATTAGTCGATCGGGTGCAAAAATCATAAAATCTGACCAAAATTCATACAAAATTAGAAATGAAAAAACTTCTAAAATGAATTCAGAACTACTGAAATGCAAACCACTCATAGAGAACTTATGTGCTCTTGAATCATTAACTAGACGTTTTGAAGACACTAAACTTGACGATTATCAATGTCTGGAGGAGGAACTATCATGTTCTACTGATGGCACTTTGACAAATATTATTGGAAACTCCAGAATCAGAGCACTCAATGTAAGTACCCTGAATATGTGTATATATAAAGGTACTAACATCATTAGCTATCTAAGCAGTTCGGCTTGGGTGACAAATTTTCTATTATTAATCTTTATGACTCTATGAGAAGCTATGTCCTAGAAAACACACTACCCCAAAGAATTATTGATAGATCGGAAAGAACGTCATTCACTTTGGAAAAGGTAACGGTAAAGATTACAAATCAAGAAGGAGGTCTGAAGGCAGAATCCCAGGGCGTAACGGGAGGAAGTACAAGAAAACGTACATATATCAATAATGAAATTAGAAGATTTTTAGAGAAAGCATTCCACAAGAAGAGAAATCCAACAAGATCTGACAGAGCAGCGATTGCCCAAAAATGTGGGCTAACGCCTCTTCAAGTTCGAGTCTGGGTAAGTATGATACATTCAAGTCAAGATCAATTTTATTTTCTAACCATCATAGTTTACCAATAAGCGGATGAGATCAAAATCAAAATAATTTTTAAGTGTGTTTATGTTTTTCTTTTTTGCAACCGTATGCGACATACAAGAGACGTATAGCTCAAACCCTTACTCGTGATGACTCCATCGTTGTCTTACATAATTATACATCCTCTATATATAAATGAGTTATGTCTTTACTTATGTAAAATGGTAAGTATAGTGTCGATTCTATGTCTTTTTAATAGTTTAACCCTATTAAGAAAGTTTGTTTATATTAACACGTCTCTATATACAGTACTATTGATTTCTTGACGGTTCACATATTTCTTCTTTACAGTGTAAACAATAAAGATTTTTATGACCTACCATTAACTACTCAATCAAATCATAAGCCGCTATAAGCAATGTCAGGTGAAGATGACGGATTCAATTCGAAAAATTGGGTCTGGGTGCCAGATTCGATGGCATGTTATTTAAAGGGCTACGTTACTGACTATTTAAATGATGGGAAGTGTAAAGTTACAGTAATTAATGAGAATAAAGAAGAACATAGAATAGTAGAAAATGATCAAATCGAAAGCTGTAACCCATCGAAATTCAATAAGTGTGATGATATGGCAGCTTTGACCCATTTGAATGAGCCGTCTGTTGTTTACAACATGTACTTGAGATATAACGATGATATGATATATACTTATTCAGGTTTATTTTTGGTAGCAATAAATCCTTATAAATCCCTTCCAATCTACGATCAGAAGACTTTGGAAAAATACCACTCACAAGATTTTGATAAACCTCCTCCCCATATATATGCAACAGCAGAAGGTACTTATAGAAATCTTTTGTCAAATCATAAAAATCAATCTATCCTTGTTACAGGTGAAAGTGGTGCCGGAAAGACGGAAAATACCAAAAAGATAATTCAATACTTGTCTTCGATTACTCCCGAAAACAGGCTGAATATGTCAAGTACAATTGACTCCAGGATCTTACAGGCGAATCCTATTTTAGAGAGCTTTGGAAATGCAAAAACCATCAAAAACAATAACTCTTCTCGGTTTGGAAAGTTTGTTAAAGTTTACTTCACAGAAAGCGGCTGTATTAGTGGTGCAAATATTGACTACTACTTGCTCGAAAAATCGAGAGTAGTGACCCAAGCTGTGGAAGAGAGAAATTATCATATTTTTTATCAACTTTTGAAAGGATATGATGTGAAAAAATTGAAAGTGCTTGGGCTAACGAGCGCCGTTGAAGATTATAGCTACTTGAATAATGTACATTTGAAAATCCCGCATGTGGACGATAAGAAGGATTTCAATACGCTAGTTGAAGCTTTCAAGATCTTAGGATTACAAGAAAATGAGATAGATGACATATTTTCAATTCTAGCTGTCATATTGCAATTTGGGAACTTAGAGTTCACATCATGGAAGGCTGAACAGGCAAGCTTCAAATCGGACTCGCTGCTTCAAACAATTCTGAAACTTTTAGGAATTGAAAAGAAAGTTCTAGCGGAGTTCCTCCTACGACCAAAAGTTAAAGCTGGCAGAGAAATGGTTCAAAAATCAAAACGGCCGCCTGAAGTGAAATTCGCTATTGATGCATTATCCAAGCATTTTTATGAAAAACTTTTTCAATATATTATTGGAAAAATAAACCTCAGTTTAAATATTGATGCTACTGACGTAGATTTAAGTTTCATAGGTGTTTTAGACATTGCCGGGTTTGAAATATTTACAGAAAATTCCTTTGAACAACTCTGTATAAATTATACTAATGAGAAGCTTCAACAATTTTTTAATCATCATTCTTTTATCCTTGAACAAAGTGAGTATCTACGTGAAGACATTCAGTGGGAATTTATAGATTTTGGTCTAGACTTGCAGCCAACAATTGACTTGATAGAACTGAGACGGCCCTTAGGAATTTTTAAAGTTTTAGATGAAGAATGCGTAGTACCTAAAGCTTCTGATAAATCATTCATGGACAAACTTTCCATGACTTGGGGAAATGGCCAAAGTAAAAAATTTCGACTCAACAAATTCAAAAGTGGGTTTATTGTACATCATTACGCTGGAGAAGTTGAATATAATGTTGATAACTGGTTGCAAAAGAATACGGATCCGGTCAGCGAGAATATTTTAAGTATCTTGCCATCTTCTGAAAGTAAATTTATAAGAGAAGTATTCACTGAGGATATAGAAATCGGTGGAAAGACAAAGATAAAGATGAAAACAAGAACACTTTCTCAGAAACATAAAGATCAATTGAGCAATTTAATGGAACAACTCAGCCTTACAGAGCCTCATTTTGTGCGCTGCATTCTTCCAAACTTGTACAAAAAGCCAAACCGATTTGATAAGAACTTGGTTCTAAATCAGTTAAGATGCAACGGTGTTTTGGAAGGCATTAGGATCACCAGAGCAGGTTATCCGAATAGGATGACTTTTGATGAGTTTTATTCTAGATACTCAATTACAAATGTTAAAGAAGTTTTCACTAAAAATAACAAGACCAATAGTGAACTACTCATCAAGTATGTTGACTTGGACCCAAACAGTTACAAAATTGGTATTACGAAGATCTTCTTTAAGAATGGCGTTTTAGGAAAATTAGAAGAATTAAGGGATTTGAGCTTGAAGGGAATATTCACTGATTTACAAAGCTTGGTAAGAGGTAAAAAGGCAAGGAAAACAATTGAGTTTAAGATACGAGAAATCCAATCTTCTCAAGTTGTAGCTAGGAATTTCGAAATGCTTGAAGATTCGCTCTCAAGAAATCTCTGGTTTAGTCTTTTCATTAAGATCAAACCTTTGCTTGAAGATTCTGTAAAGTTACTTGATTCAAAGGAAATGAACAAATCTTTGAAAGAAGCTAGCGATAAATTAAAAGACCTTGAAAGATTAAGAAATTCGCTCGACGATGAAAATAAAAGATTGAAGGATCAAATTACAAAACTAGAAACTGAAGTAATATCCGTGACTGATATTGTCAAAGAGAAGGATATAGCTCTAAAAAAAGTAAGAAGTGACGAAGCAAATTCTCTCAAAAAGACGAGATCGATTCAAAATGAACTAGATCAATTGAGGTCTTCAAATAAATTGTTAAACCGACAAAAGGAAGAACTCGATGAAAAATTAGCTAGGAAGGTAGAAGAGCTAAACCAAAATTTGAAGCAAAGGGATCTGCTTGCGAATGACCACAAGGTATCTCTAGAAAAAATCAAGGAATTAAAAGAAAAGATAACTACCTTGGAGCTAGAAAATAAGAATCAGGTCGATGCTATTGAAGTCTTAAATAACGATATTTCAAGATCAAAAAGCGAAGCAGATTCTAGGTATGAAGAGATTGAACAAAAGAATAGAATGTTACTTTCAGAATTGGATAATTTTAAAGAGACCAAACATAATAAACTTACTGATGAGATTGCAGAGCACCGTGATACTATTTCACATCACCTCAATACCATTAGCGTTCAAAATGATGAGCTAAACAGTCTTAAATCTAATCACACTAAATCTCAATTAAGAGTTAAAGAAATGGAAGATGAACTTAATGATAATGTCACCAAATTAGGTACCCTTGAATCTCAGTTATCTATTAAATTAGATGAAGTTCAAAGTCTTAAAGATAAGTGTAAGGTTCTAGAGAAGAAATACACTGAGATTCTTGAAGAGAAAGGCGTTTTAATTTCTAGAGAAAATCAATTAAATGATATTCTAAAAGAGGAATCAAAGAAATCTAACGAACTTTCTTCGTTGAAAGAAAAGTGGGTCACCATTTCAAAAGAAAACTCTACACTAAGTAGGTCATTGGAAGAGTTAAAGGTGCAACTTCAAGTAGCTATTGCCTCCAAAACTAAATATTCGGAAGAAATTGTGTCCTTGAGAAATAGATTACAAGAACTTGAGGAGAAAGAAAGCGAGAAAGGTAGAAATGTTAATGGAAAAGAGAATGTGCCACCAGATTCTCAATTTCTAGAAGATTACTCCAGTATGAAAATAAAAATGAATGAACAGAATGCAATTTTGAGAAAAGAGCGCTTTGAGAATAAGAAATTGAATGAAGAAATCAGCTTGTTGAAAGAAAGAATTTCTAATCATACCGAGGAGTTGCTGCTTCAGAGAAATCAAGTTGACAAAAAGCCACCAAGAACTTCTGAATTAGAGGAAACGAAAAATGAGATCGAAACTTTGAAGAAATCTCTTCAACAGGAAGAAACAAATGTGCAACGAGCTGAAAACTATGCAATTGAGCTACAGAAGAAACTTAATAAACTACAATCTGCAAAGCCCGATGATCTATCCAAACGCAATAACGTTTCAAGTAGCTCCAATCAAGAGGAATCTATATTTGACACCCGGCGCATAACAGAGAACGATCGGTCAATTTCTTATACCGATAGTTTGAGTAAGAGCCTTTTGTTACGAGCTAATAATAACCTGGATTTCTTAGCCATTTACCAAGATGTTACAAAAACTCTCAAATTCACGAGGGATGAACTATCATCATCGAAAAGTGAAATTTTGAGACTAAAAGCCCTCTTACGCGACTCAGAGGATGAACTATATAATACCAAGCGCCAAACCGTTAGATCAACCATTTCTGACTACGAAAATGAGCTATCACAGCTCAAAGCAAAAGCAAATTCTTTCACTTCTAAAAATAGAGACCTTGAGAAGGCTACAGAACTATACAAAAAGAGATCCGAAGAGTATTATGAAAAGTTAGAACTTGCGGAGTCGGCAGTTAGTATTTCGAAGAGACAGGAACAGGCAGCCTTGAAAGATTTGCTAGAAACTAAAAATCAGTTGACGCTTGCAAGAGAAGAAGCAAGGGCAACCCAAATTTTAGTTAAAGACATGAGGAAACTGATTTCGCGATTAGAAGAGGCAGTTCTAGATAAAGATTTTGAGCTTTCGCAGACTCAAACTCAAGCAAAGGAATTACAAGACAAGGTAGACTATCTTTATAGGAGCTATGGCAGCAAAGAAACGAATGATAAGTACAAGGAAGATATTCGAAATTTAAACAGAGATTTGAATTTCAAGCTAGAAACTGAAACAAAGCTAATAAAAGAAAATAAAAGGCTTCAGCTCGATAATGAGGATTTAGTAAGAGTTAAGATACAACTTGATAAAGATAATGCAGATATGGCAACTAAAGTCACTGATTTGGAAGATTTATCTGAAGATTTAAAGAAAAAGAAAGCTTCATTGGAAGAAGAAAAGGCTAGTCATGAAAGAAAGTTGGCTGGTTTAAGTAAGCAGGTTTCTTCTCTCAAAGAATTGGTTAATGATATTTCTGAAGAGAGAGATAACTTAATTAATTCCAGAAATCAGTTAAGCCAGAAGGTTACCGAGTTGATGCAAAGCTACGAAGAGAAGACTATGGAGCTTCAAAACTCAGAATCGAGCATTATTGTCTTGAGAGAGCATCTAGAGAATCAAAGACGAGCTTCAAAGGAAGTTGAGGCGGAATTGAACCAATCAAAATCGTCTTCAACATATGATGCCCAGGACCAATTGAGATTACGAAATGAAATATTGGTCATAGGTGAAGAGAATGACTCTCTTAAGAGGGCCAACAAGGAACTCAACACCAAAGTCCATGATCTTGAATTAAAATTGTATAGTAACGAGCAATTGAAATATTGGGAGGATAAAGTTGAAAGACTCACTGATGAATTAGACACGGCTCACAATAAGTTCCACGAGTCATCGAAGACAGTAACAAATTTGAAGAGAGAACTCAAGCTGTTGGAAATTAGAATCGACAATGAAAGTCGCTTGACAAAAAAGTACAATGATGAAAATTTTGATTACCAAAATAAAGTAAATCACTACAAAAGCACAATAGATATTTTGCACAATGAAACTATTGAGAAGGATTTGCAATTGAAATCAAGGGAACGAGAAATATCCGAAATGAAAGAAAATAAATTGCTTCTTGAGAAGGAAGTATTGGAACTAAGCGATCAACTTCGAGCCAATAATATAATATAAGTGCATGGGATAATTTTTAAATGATCTATTATTGAAAGCACGAGGTTGGTGAAATCCTATTTCATTGTTCCCAATATATACAAAGTACTAAAATTACCATAGATATCTAGTTCATAATTTTGAATACCCAAGAAGTTGTAAAGTACTTAAAATTAAACATCGCTCACAGTAGTATAATTCCATGGAACTGAGGATATATACTCTCTCTATACTGCGGTACAAGTTTCAAAACCACTTGCCGAACAATTTCGACTTGGACCCTTTTGAAAAGTCTCTGGGTTCAAGTAGTGGCGGACCATCGTATTTTCCTAATCCAAAATGCTGAAGAATGAATTCGACGTCTCCAAATGCAGCTCTATCACCTTGCATTACAATAGAAGGGCGGCCGGAACTAGAACCTTGGTTTACAACGCTTCCCGTTAAAACTTTTCTTGCCACATTTCTCAAATCATTTATATCTAAGCTCTCGATCTTTTGAATCATCTCATCTACAGTAGTAATCTTACCTTGGCACTGAATCTGTCTCCCTAAATCTTCAAGTGCAGCCAACTTACTTTCTAAGTTCATGAGCAATGAGCTAGTTAATTGATTCTTCGCTCTCTTTACTTCACTTTCAGTTAAGCCTCCCTTCTTTGGGTCTTCTTCAAGCAACTTTGATAATTCGAGACATATAATTTGAGACATGATATGAGCAGCATTTGGTGAACACGAGATCGTTATTCCAAACAACCCTGAATTCATATAAGAATGGTTGAAGGACATGCAGTTTTCGACGAATGCATATTGATTCAATACTCTAGTGTATAATCTTGAGAACATCCCCTTACCGGGTCCACCAGCTGAAAACGAAGAGCCACCTCCAAGTAGTTTTTGCAAGGTAGCTAATGCGTACAAATCATCGTTTAACAATCCTGTAGTCTCGAATCCGATCTGCATATGATAAAGCTCAGGTAGATTTGAAGTGATTGGAGGTTGGTAAGGAAGGCAAATTTCACCCCCGGTATAATTAATGGTTCCCAAATCTGGTCGGGAATTAGAGACCAGTTTCCAATCCCCTAGCCGCTTCTGAACTAAGTCAACAGCGTGCTCATGCGGCACCCCAATCATAGATACAACAACATTTTGAGGTTGATAAAACTTTGTATGATAATCTAGAATTTCCTGCTTCTGAATTTCAGGAATTCGATCAGGAGGACAATATAAAGGCAAACCTAACGTATTATTAGAGTAAGCAGCTGCATGCAAAACTTCAGGTAAAAATATTTCGTGCTTTAAAGCGATTTCACTGACCTCGTATTCTGCAGTCTGTAGGGTTTCTAATAGCTCTTGATCAGTCACCTTAGGGCTTCTTATTGTTTCTGCTATACAATCAAACATTCTATCCAAATCCTTATTAAAGACGGAGCCTTGGTAAATCATTGATTCTCTCTGAGCTGAGCACATATAATTACCACCAACTTTGGAAAGATTTTCCATCATTTCAATTCCACTATAACTATCTGTCGACTTCCAAGCAAGCCTATCCATAATATGGGATAAACCAGGTTTCTTGGGATTCTCAAATCTTGATCCCGCATCAACATAAGCTCCTAAGGCGCTGAAGTGACCCGGTGTTGAATCAGTTACCACTCTTAATCCATTTGCCAATTTTGTCATCTCGGTATTTGCATTCGCTAATTTTGTCTTAACTAGAGATGATGTGGCATTATTTCTGATGCTCGTCAGAAAAGGTCCGAGCGAGGTACGTACACGAAACATCTTCTAATGATATATATTTCTCTTGCAGTTCATATGGTAGAGTGAAGAAGACTTGATGTTAATATTTTGTATGATCATGTGATTCAATTGCTACTATGCACGATGTTTAAATATCTATAAACCGAGCTACAGGATGATAGTACACCGGACAAGACCAGTATGGTCTCTTCACATCATCCCATATGCTCTGTGATTGATCATCCGTGGATGTGTTAGCCTGTAAAGCTTTAGGAGCAACTTCAATGCTTTGAAAAGAGCATTTTAAGCCGTAATTAGCTAAATCCATCTCAACCAAATTCCTATAGACGTCATAAACAACCTCTCTGTCAGCGCCAAGCCCATTAAAGAACGTAAAGACCCCATTTGGCTTTAGAAGACCAACTATGTAGTCAAACAATTGTAGCATATCCTCATAATGTTCTGAAAAGGTATCATAATAAATACCGTCGAAAAAAGTTGTACCCTCTGAAAGTAAAAAATCGAGCTGATCTTGCCATCTACCCTCCAATATGACAACATTTGGCTTTTCGTACCACCCATCAGATCTCAACTTTTTAAGCACGTCGGGGTGCGCTTCACAAATGTATTGTTTCGTTGGATCACGAGAATTAATCATGGTATCAATAATTCCCATGCCAAAACCTATGTTCAAAATATTAACCTCTTCATCTTTGTCTTGTGAATTAACGCTTTCGAATAAGGAGTTGCATCCTAACTCCATTAAAGTAGATTCCCACGACATCATTACACCATCTTGTCCATCTTTGGTAACTAATGCGTTGTCTTTATATTCTAATTTCGTATTGAGATATGCCTCTTGATTACATGCGGGATCAGTTGTCGGGCTTCCTTGGCCCTCATCTGCTGATTCATTAGAGATATTAATTGAGTTGTCCACTGCCTTCATACCTTCTCCTGTTTCCTCCTGTGGTTCAATAAACTCGACATTAAGCTCTTCGACTTTTCTTAAAAGCAACTCAGCTCTTACACCTGCCTCCACTATTTTTTGATATATGACCAGATTCTTCATTCCCCTGGAAACAAGAATGCACCCTGGGGTCTTTTCGTCAATGTCTGTAAGGCACCACCCGGCACCATACTCGAATAAGACATCCACCATTTCATTTACAATCTTGATTTCATCTCCATTCAAATCATCAGGAACATTAGTGCAAAGTAAGTGTAACGGAGTTGTTGTGGTGGTTGGTTCTTCTTCAATATTATTGTTAAACTTATATGCTTCTTCTATAGTATAGGTAGCTGGGATTCCATTTTTTAAATAATACTTTAAATTCTCAAGATATATTTTTCCAATAGGTCTACTTGGAAAGCGACATAAGTCATGCAAATCCGACATGTCAATAGTTTTAACATTATTTCGTTTATTAACTTTCACTGAAAATTAAGGCATCTCAGGACCAGAAATTTATTTCCGGTGAGCAAGTCACGTGACTAAATTTTGTTGATTGCAAAATGATTTTCAAGTTAATGAGCTACACGAGAGTCATAAAGTGTGGACACGGAGAATGGCAGGATGAAAGGTCAAGTTTATAGTTCGTAACAACAGTTAGACTTAAGAGTAAGAAAGAAGAAAGGAAAGAACGAATGAAAGAAGAGGTATTTTTTATTCGATTATTATGAGTTTCTTTTTTAGTTGTAAATTTACCAACATCCCAAGTGTGCAGTACTTTACGATTTAATCCGACATTAAAGCGGGCTGCGAAGCATACATCAGTGAATGGTGAGTGCAAATCTTAACCAAAGTCAAAGCTATATAAAACCTGTCATATAGTAAGACATCATATATATATTAAAATCTGCTCGGTCGTTTTTTCAAGGAGGACGTGGCTTCAAATGACATATAAAGATCCTCTAATGGGTCGCATCCAAACGAGTATTCCTTTATATAACTGTAGGCTATACGATCGTTCTTTTTTTTTTTCTCACATTGATAACAACTCGTCTTTCGAATTTATCATCTTTTAAAACGTTATTATATCATTATATAAGATGGCGATTAGTGATTATTTGACCAGAATGTACGAGGGGTTCCTTACGCTTCCCTTGTTGCATCAAGTAACACTAGTTATCTTAGCACCGTTCGTTTACAATTTAATTTGGCAGCTAATGTGGTCTTTAAGAAGCGATAGGGTCCCATTGGTTTTTCATTGGTTTCCATGGATTGGGTCTGCAGTTGGATATGGTATGCAGCCTTACGTTTTTTTTGAGAGCTGTAGAGCGAAGTATGGCGATGTTTTTGCATTTGTTTTGTTGGGGAAGGTAATGACCGTGTATTTGGGCCCAAAAGGACATGAATTTGTTTTAAACTCTAAGTTAGCTGACGTGAGTGCCGAGGATGCCTACAAGCATTTGACTACACCTGTATTTGGCAAGGGTGTTATTTATGACTGTCCCAACTGGAAATTAATGGAACAAAAGAAATTTGCTAAGAATGCATTAACAAAAGAATCTTTCAGAACATACGTTCCAAAAATTTTAGAAGAGGTTTTAAATTATTTTGCTACGTCGGAGAACTTTAAACTTAAAGAAAACGAAAAAGGGATCACTAATGTTATGGAATCGCAACCCGAAATCACCATATTTACTGCTTCAAGATCATTATTGGGTGATGAAATGAGACGCAAGTTCGACAAGTCTTTCGCTAAGCTTTACTCCGATTTAGATAAAGGATTTACTGCAATTAATTTTGTTTTTCCGAACTTACCTCTTCCACATTATTGGAAGAGAGATGAAGCACAGCAAAAGGTGTCGGCAACGTATATGTCTCTTATCAATAAAAGAAGAGAAACAAATGATGTTGATCCTAAGAGGGACTTGATCGATTCACTCATGACAAACTCTACTTATAAAGACGGTTTTAAAATGACAGATCAAGAGATTGCCAATTTGCTTATTGGTGTCTTGATGGGTGGACAACATACCTCGGCCTCTACTTCTGCGTGGTTCTTATTGCATTTAGCAGAGCAACCACATTTGCAAGATGAATTATATGACGAAGTCATGTCTGTCTTAAATGAAAAGGGCGGTAATATCAACGATTTGTCATATGATGACTTACAAAGCATGCCTTTAATCAACAAGACAATCAAGGAGACATTGAGAATGCACATGCCTCTTCATTCCATTTTCAGAAAAGTTAAGCATTCCTTATTGGTTCCTAACACTCTGTATGTTGTTCCAAAGGGTCATTACGTTTTAGTCAGTCCGGGTTATGCCATGACAAACGACAGATGGTTTCCCGAAGCTTCAAAGTTCAACCCACATAGATGGGATCAAATATCTAATAAGAACACCGAAGAAGCGACTATCGACTACGGATTTGGAAGTATCTCAAAGGGTGTTTCATCACCCTACTTACCATTCGGGGGAGGTAGACACCGTTGTATTGGTGAGCAGTTTGCTTTCGTTCAATTGGGAACTATATTATGCACTTATGTTTACAATCTCAGATGGACTTTGACGAATGGCAAACAGATTCCAGACGTTGACTATGCGTCCATGGTTACTTTACCCACAGAACCTGCGGATATAGCTTGGGAAAAGAGAGAGACATGCATTCTTTGAGACTCAAAACATAATAGAACAAATCCATTCTACTGGCAATCTCTTTACTCTTCTGAAACTCCCCTTGACTGTTTACTCGAAATAGATTATTTACATATACTTCTAATGTATTATTATGCCAAAATATTTATTTATCGATTTTATGATGTTGATTTCTACTGTTCTCCGTTTCAGGCATCAGATTGATAATTTCAATCGCGTTCATTACGAAAAAAAAAAAAAAAATCCAAAGTGTAAAAAAAGACCAAGGTTCTTCTTGAACATATCTGTGATAGCCATGGGTTCTTTTAGGATAAAGGTCCCCGCATCCTCTGCAAATATTGGCCCAGGATTTGACGTCTTGGGTGTAGGCTTGAATTTATATTTGGAAATATTTGTCAAAGTTGATCCATCACTCGATACATCGAACGAAGAATATAATGTCAAAATTTCTTACGAAGGCGACAACCAGGGATTTGTATCCTTGAGGGCCTCAAAAAATCTCATATCCTCAACGGCCTTATATATCTTGAGGTGTAATGGAATACACTCATTTCCAAATGGAACTGAAATTAAGGTTATTAATCCTATACCCTTAGGAAGGGGACTAGGGTCATCAGCCTCGGCTATTGTTGGAGGTATAATATTGGGAAATGAAATTGGAAATCTTAAATTATCTAAAAGGAGATTATTAGATTACTGCTTGATGATTGAAAGGCATCCTGATAATATTTCTGCTGCAATGTTAGGTGGATTTGTAGGGTCTTACTTAAACGAGTTATCGGATGAAGAGAGTAAAGCAAAGAATGTCCCATTAGACTTTATTTTGCCAAGGGAAGACACTCCTAAGGGTAAAATTGTTTCTCAACAGCCGCCTGTTGGCATATGCGAATACTTACAATATGAATGGGCAATAGAGATCAAATGCGTAGCAGTGATTCCAGAGTTTGAAGTTTCTACTCACGCTGCGAGGGAGGTGCTACCCTCTTCTTACTCAAGAGATGATATTGTTTTTAACTTACAGAGACTAGCAATTCTTACATCTGCGTTAACTCAATCACCTCCAAATAATAATTTTATTTATGAAGCGATGCGGGACAAGATCCACCAGCCATATAGATCTACACTTATACCAGGGTTACAGGAAGTCTTAAACTGTGTTACTCCCAAGTCAGATCCTGGTCTTTGTGGCATTTGTTTGTCTGGAGCGGGCCCAACTATATTATGCTTAGCGACCAAAGACTTCGAATCTATCGCCCAAAAAGTCATTAATATCTTCAAAAAGGCGAATGTTAAGTGCAGCTGGAAATTATTGACAGTTGCAAAAGACGGTGCAACAGTTGATTACTTAGATTAATAGATATTAAAGCATATATATAATGAAAAAATAACGTGAGAGCTTGTACGACATTTTGCGACACCTAGCGACAAGCCTCAGTTAGTGCAATTTCGATCCAATAGATATAGTTGAGTTTCTACATATAGCCAACGCGATAGAGAACAGTACTCATAAGATCTAAAGGACCACAAATGTCTATAAGTACCAATTACAACGCTCCAGATCTTCAATCAGCTTTGATTGCTCAGGACATTCTAAGCTGGTCAGGGTCACAGCCTATTTATCTATCACAGATAGAGGTTGATGGTGGAGATAAGTTTTCAAAAGACTTTTTCGGAAAGCTTTTCTATCCCCTTCTCCAAACCCAGGACTATACTTTATCACAATTGATGAATCAAGTTTTCGCCTCATATCAAAGGTTGGTGAAGACCGACGTTTTTAAACAAGTTGATATTTCTCTTAATTCTGATTTCAAAGCAACAGTTCCGAATGAACTTTCACAATATAACAAAGATAAACCTATTCCGGCTAAGGTACTCGTTAAATTAGCTCCAATTGACTTGAATAGTGGAGAAGGGTTTTTGAATTTCAACAGTCAAGATAATTTGAATTTGAAGCTTGATTATTTGAATAACAACTTCAATGGCAATGCAGAATTAGTCAATTTCGGAGTTAGCTACAACCCATACAAGCCAAACGAGCATCTTATTGCAAATGCTAAGTTCCTGGGGAGCTTGACCAATCCTTCATTCAAATTTATCATTGATTTACTCAATTCCTATCAAAACAATCATAGTTGGCAACATTCCTCCACTAAATCTACTGTCGGTTCAATAGGGTTATTATACTCGTATGAATCATTAAATCTATTTACCGGAATTTCTTTAGCAAAGAGAGGAATCCATGACATCGATCGTACTGCCCCAGACGAGATTAAATTTTTTTCTGGTGATAACATGAAATCATCTATTGTTAACCAATTGAGATACTCCAATCTCTCCTACCTCAATATTTTTACTAGAAACTTTCCTATTAACGGATTTACTCTCGCCGTCTCCAACGAAGTATCATCTAATCAAGAACAAGAAAATCTTAACAATAAAAATATGTTTGTTAAGTCGAGTATCTCATTGAATACTTTCAAGTCGTTCTTTAATAACAAAGCTACGGCTAAACTTGATACAGAGATTGGTGGTATTTATAATCCAGCATCCAATTCTCCTGTGCATATATCTGATAGATTTTACCTAGGAGGCTCTGAATCTTTTAAAGGATTTGCCAAAAATGCAATCAACGTTAATGGAGGATCACAATACTACAAGGTTGGTTTAACGATATATTCCAAATTACCTACTTTCATTTACGCCCCAAAAGGTGTTACAGCAGCAAATTTACCTCTTGAGGATAAAAGAGTGTATGAAGCTAATCCCTTGAGACTTTATGGTACTGGATTGCTAGGTAACGTCTGCAATGATTTGTTGCAAGATCGATCTGCTGCATTGACTGTAGGCTATGGTTTGAGGTATTTTAACAATTGGGCTAACTTCGACATTGGCTATTATGTCTCCAAGAGATTAGGAGACGAGAGTAGTTTTGGTTTAAAAGATGGACTTCAATTTGCGGTTTCCATTGGTGGCTCCAATAAATCTTTATAATGGCATAGACACTAAAAAATATATAGTTTAAAGGCAAGATACTTTCATAGCATAATTAGAGGCAGTTGGCCATTTTCCACGTCGCCTTTGTGTATTTTACAAAAACTGAATGTCTCCGAAAATTTGATTTTGGCGCGTCTGGTTTATTTACATCAAGAGAATACAATCTTGTTTTGTTCTTATAATGATAACCACTTAAAGTCAATTGCAGTCCAATGGGAGTAACTGGACTTTTGCAATATCTCAAGGAGATCCATGAACCAAGCTCTTTAGAGAGATACCGTGGTAAAACCTTAGCGATAGATACATATGGTTGGTTACATCGTGGTCTCATATCATGCGCACAAGAGCTATGCAATGACCTTCCAACTAGAAAGTACATAACCTCCATATTAAACAAGGTAGAAATGCTTCGTCATTTTGGAGTTGAGCCATATTTTGTATTCGATGGGGCAGCTCTTCCCACAAAAGCTGATACTGCTAATGAGAGAAGACTAAGAAGAGTGGAAGCTAGAAAAAAAGCTGAACAGTTCACGAAGAGCGGAAACAAAAAATTGGCATGGAAAGAGTATATGAAAGCGGCTTGTGTAACCGCTGAAATGGCCAAATCAATTATGGTAGAACTCGATAGACTTAATATAAAGTATATTGTTGCACCTTATGAAGCTGATCCACAAATGGTCTATTTGGAAAAGATTGGATTGGTGGATGGTATTCTTTCAGAAGACTCTGATTTGTTGATATTCGGTTGTAACAAACTCATCACAAAGTTAAAGGACGATGCTACTTGTGTGGAGATTTGTCGTGAGAACTTCATCAAAATAAAGAAGGTTCCTTATTTGCGTACTTTCAGCCAAGAGCAGCTTAGAATAGTGGCTATGTTATCAGGCTGCGACTACACTAAAGGAATTAGCAATATAGGACTCAAAACAGCATTTTCCTTGGTTGCCAAATTTTTGGATCTAAAAAGGATTTTATTAGCATTGAAATCAGATGGAAAATCATTTCCAGATGACTTCTATGAAGAGGTGATGAAGGCCGACTTAGCATTTCAGTTCCAAAAAGTTTTTAACCCCATTACAGATGAATTGAAAAGCCTCAACGAATACCCCAAAGAATTTGAGGTAGACTTTGAGCTTATAGAAAATTGTTGTGGTGAAACCTTAGACAATAATTTACAATCACAAATCAGTAGAGGTAAACTTCATCCAACATCTCACACAATATTAGTATCGAGAGAACAAAGTCTTCAAAAATTGAAAAGCGAATCGTTTGGCGACTTCAGAAGTCAAAGCTTAAAGATGAAGCAAGCACGTACAATCTCAGCTCCAGGAAAGTCACATTTCAAATCTATCGATAGATACTTTACAGCTGGAAAGAAGGCATCAAGTGCCTCTTCTGCTGACAAAAAACGTGAACTTGTAAACGATAAATCTGATGACCAATGTGCTAATAAAAAACTCAAGATAATGTCAAGAAGTGAGAAGCATATGGGCAGAAGTAGGTATTTCGGTACTAAAGAATATCAGGATATGGAAGAAAAGCAGGCAAAGGTAGTAGAGGAGACCAATTGGGACTGCAGTATCATATCTGGTGATTCTGATATACCAGATGAATTTTCTTCCCCTTTAGTTAGAAACGATATTAAACATAACTTAATCTCGGAATCAACAATGTCCCAACTGCTTCTAGGGGATACTGACAGCGAAGAAACAACATCAAAGGTGGTTTCTGATTTTCAGCTATCAAAGTCATTAGATGAAGCTAATTTTGAAGTTTTTGACGAAGATGACGAAATCGAAGAATCGCCTACCAAGAAAGAGAACGCTTCATCGGACTTGACAAAATTCGCCCAAGTATTGAGACAAAAGTATGTGTTCAGCGAAAGCGCAACTGGAAGATTTGCGAAAACGTATACCAGGGCTCCACTTGAGCCAAAAGATACTAATATACCTCCGCAATCGGTGAAATGTAAAGATATATCAGATCAGCACAACAAGGTCGTTTCAGATGGTCTCAAATTAGCTCCTAAGAACTCCGGATCCGCATTTCCTACTAAGAATGGAGCTCAAAGTTTACAAAGATTTGCATTCAAGAATTAACTCTATCTATATCATTATAAAAATTCACATGACTCATTTACATCTTAGTAACCTCTTAAAATACATGCACCGATTACTAGACGCGTCAACCTAGCCTGCTGTTGTTTTCCAGTTTCAGTCATTTGAGCATCACTAAGTTTATAGATCTTTTTTACCTTTTGTATGTTCACGAAATTGTCAAATAAAACATCGTTGTCAAATTCAATATTTTGTTGTTCCTTTGCTCTTAAAATTAAATTAAGGTGCTCATTGACTTTTTCTGGTACTTCTGAGTGGGTCTCTAGAACTTTTATAGCTATGAGGTTGGGGCAATCCCCACTTACACCAAATCTTTTCAAAGAATCCGTAATATTATTGGTTGGTGATAGATTAAGTATGATCTCAGTATTCAAAGTTTTAGCTTTTTCGGCCCCAAACTTGAAATTTACGATAGATTGATGTATACTGTAATTCAAATGCTCCATAGATACTATATGATCTGTATTCAAAAAGCAGAAATCAAAGTCACTGTTTCCAGCGATCAATTCTTCTTTGACGTTCCGTATGACATCACTTTCCAAATCACTAAAGAATGATATGAATATCACCTTCTCGGGAAATTCTGGCAATTTCAAGACCTTGTAGGGCATGATATATCTGGATGAGCCACTTTAATGGAACGTTTTATGTAGACTACTGATGAGTCTCGAAATCTCAAAATTATTTTAGTTTTATATACATTTTCAGCTATCATAAAAAGTTCATACTGAGAACAGAGAACATATACACACATGGAATCAGGTACTCGTACCGAAGCACCTAAGGATGCGAATAATGAAATCTCAGCTCGATTAGACAATTTGTTTGTAGAAGAGCCTTCTGAAATTTCTAGTACAAACGAAAGCATATATCCGGAATTGATACTTCAAGCCTCACCGCAAGGAAATAGACTCTATGCATCGTTTCAAAGATATACAAAGCAATTCGTGAACGATGGTGAAAATTCAAGTGGTGCAGTTCGGTGGCTAAACTCAGCTGTTGATGATACTCAAAAAAAAATTGTTGAAGCATGGTTGTCTGTAGATAACAATGGTGATGCTACGATGATGGAAACACATCCTTCCAAAAATGGATCTGAGCGATATATGGGCGCTGCAAGTACCTTATTCAGTTGGTCTTCAGGAGATGCTTATATAGCAGCTAGAAAGAAGGAGCTAGAAATGAGAAATGGTACTATACCGGTGGTCTCAGCTTCTGATACCACTAATGACAATGAGGAAATGGAATCTAACAGACCGGATGATACTCAAAGTATCGATAATAGCATTCTGACAAAGATAAATATCAAGGCATCAAAGGAATCAATCACGAACAAGCTAAATCGTATCGTAGACATCGAATCAAACAAATTTATCCGAACAAGAATACGAATGATAAAAGCACATCACAGTGAACAAATGTCTAAACAAATTCACGAAAGAAGAAGAAGAGATCACGAAATACAATTGAGTAAATTAAGATTGAAAGAAGAAGAATATGAAAAAACATTGCATCCTCAAAATGATCACTCTGCTAATAAGCTGGCAGGGTTTTTCGGCAATTTGTTTAATTTCAATACGTCGCATACAATATCAGCAGGCAACTCTGTTGCTTCTGATACAGAACCTACCAAGGTATTAGCGTCAGATGGGGATGTCGGATCTGTGCATACGCCTGGGAAACGATCCCCTCCGTCCTCCAAGAGTAAAAAATTTTCATTTTTGCCTGTTTCCGGTATCAGCTTATGGAACCAGAGTACTGCTGGGGGCTCAGATGGAAATAAAGAGCAGAAACTAAAACATGTTTTAAAAAGAGAAAACGAAAATGAAGAAACCGAGACGATATATGATGTAGATGATCCTGAAGGAAAAGCTCCTGAAAAAGACAATAATATTTCTAGCATTGATTCTAAGAAGTCTGCTCCTACTAACAAACTTGATTCTGAGTCAGATAATTCGAAGCCAATCTTGAATTCTACTTTTGGAGACCAAAATGACTATATTCCAGGTCTGCCAGATAAGGGGAAGAAAACACAAATCCCTACGCAGTTTAATGATGATGTATCAAATAATGTCCAGGAAGGCAACCTTTTAGCATTATAGGTATTTAGAATACGAAATATTATCTATTAAATGACTATAATTTTCAATTATGTATGCTTTTCGGTATCTATAAAACAACCTAATCCCATGAAAGCTTCGTCTAACGCTCTTTCAAAAACTGTATGTAATCTCCAACCCGCTCCCAAATATTCTTTATTTTTAGCCAATTTGTTGACGTTGGGATCGTAATAGCTATCTGATTTCTTGTTGCCTACATTGAATAAGGCATCATTATCTCGCGGAACTGGTAATAAATGATATCTCTTTTGAAGGTCCCGATCACCATTGAAAGGTGTGAAAGGAGTTGTCATATCCTCAGCCAGTTTTATATTCTTCAGTAGAGGGTTACTCAACAGGAATTGTTCTTCTAATTGGTTGCTGATTTGCTGAAGTTGTCTTTTTCTTAAAGAAGACCTCTTGATTAAATTAGTTTGCGATTGTTGTACAAGATCTTCAGAATTAGCGTTCGATGATGACAACTTTTGTAGTAAGTCTTCCTCCTGTTGTTTTTGATATTCCAAATCTTCAACCTCCATCTGTTTTTGAATTCTCAATTTTTCTTGTCTAAGTCTTTCTAGAGCTTCTTTATATTGATTCAAATCAGCATTCTTTTGACTTTCCCTCAAGTTTCTCTCAATAATTTCTATCTTATTATCATTCTCATATTTCTCAACTTTTACCTCAGTTTGCTCCACATCAATGTCATTATTCAAATTGAATACAAGCTCTTCAACTCCTTCTAGGTACTCGTTATAATCTTTCAAATCCTTAAAGTCTTCTTCTGTCTTGTTATAAATTGCGCTTATCCTCTTTCTTATATCAATCTCTTTCTCTATCTTAAGATCGTCGAATACTTGCTTTTTAAACTTGTTTTTCCTTAATATCTTTCCACATTTTGGATATGGACATGGCGCTGGTCCCAATGAAAAGATTCTATCTACACATGATTCACATATCTTATGGTAGCATTCTGGGTTTATTAGAAAAGTCATGTTAGGTGATAAGTATTTATCAGTCTTACATATGGGACACATTTCTTTGGCCCTCTCATCTTCTTTGATGTTAGTAAATATATCATACATTTTTATATGTTGTCCTGAGTACCTACCATCTTCAACTTGAATCATTTTAAGGTTCTGGTATTATAGAATAATCATATTTAGTAATCTTTAATCTACTTATGTAGTAAAATCATTCTTCATCACGTGCTTATATATGCCTCTCTGTGTATAATGACCATAATCTGAAAGACAAGTCATCAAATTATACGCTGGTGCCTAATAAGCTGATGATAAATACAAGATCGGTTAAGAAACTAGTTCCAGTAGGCGTTGTATTTGCATTGGCGTACTTTGATTTCGCTACATTTTATTCACTCGCATACCAAGAGATATATTTGTACCATAGTAAAGGCATCGCTATATCAGTATGGGTCTTAGTGGGCATAAGTCAATTATTTGTCTTTGTATATTGGTGCCTCATGCTTCAGCTTGGGCCCGGAATGTCTCCTAAGATAGCTCCTTTGGACTTATACGATTCAAATGATTCAAGCCTTACATCATTACCAGAGTATTTTATTTGTGATGAGAGCGGAATGCCATTTTATTGCTCAGCATGTGAGTCAATAAAGACTCCAAGGAGCTTTCATCTGATGGATATGAACTACTGTGTTCAAAATTTTGATCATTATTGCCTATGGATCGGCACCGCAATCGGACACCGCAATTATCTTCCCTTCGTCAAATTCTTGATCTGGTTCACCATATACTTTCTGCTCGTTATTATTTATTTGGCGAGGTTCACAAGGTCAAATATCAAGAGGGGAAGTCATGATATAAATCACAATTATATTATTTTGTATATTTTCTGTGGGATCTTTTTATCTATGTTACTACTGATGACATACGTTTACATTTATTACATTTCAATCAACAAAACCACCCTCGATGAGATATCTTCAAGACAACTGCGAAGATACTTGCGATGGAAAGCAGCATATGAAAAGAATAAGGTCAAAAAACTGACCATGCCGAGGATAGATGATGGGAGAAGGTTCATCAACCTAAGAAGAAATGGTGTACGTTACTTAGTCGAGTATCATGTAACTGATACGATATTTAGCCAAGGACTTAAAAGGAACTGGATTAATTTTATATTCAGTAATGATAAAGTGGATGATGCGTTTTATTCTAACAAGAGGTTTCTTGAAGTTGTATTAATAATAATAGCTCCATTATTGGATATTTTTTACATTCCATTCTCATCTAATAGATATATTGTGGATCATGAGAAGGCAAACACTAATATTTTGGAATTGTACAGTGATAAGCTTGCTGATAAGTTTTTAAAGCATGCATGGGAAAAAATTGATAGTGATGAATGCAATATTGTACGTTTCTCTCCTCAATTTACCACAGCTTCACCCCGACTGACTTATTGTGAAGATAACATTAAGCAAGACAGTTCTTAAGAGCTTTATAGAATTTTATATGACATGACACAGTAAGTTTTGGAATTGGCACAATTATTTTTAGTAGGAATAAACTTGAATTGCATATTATGCCCGAACATTTCACATCTCATCTTTAAACATAATTTTTAAACATTCACTTTAAAATATAGCCAACGATGGATTTGGTAGGGGAGATTGTGGAAAGGGATTCTAGTGAGGCTATCCCACCTTCTCCAATAAATTTGGCAGATAGTCAGAAAGCGGATGAGTTTAAGAAGAGGAGAGCATCTAAATGGAAAAGAGGACAGAGCAAATCACGACGTGATAATTCCATTCAACCTTCAGAAACTTTATCTGAAGCTGATAAAATCCACAAAGAGAACTTAGATCGCATATCAAACATGACTGATGAAGAGCTAACTGAAGAAAAAAGAGAGTTAGTCGAAAGATTGAATCCAAAATTATTGCAAAGTCTTTTGAAGAGAACGGAAAAAAGAGTAGAAGAATCTAAGGGAAATGGACATGTACATTCAGAGGGCTACGAAGGCTGGATAGGTACTGCAAGAACAAAAGAGGGGCTTTTGGACCTTTCTAAGTTGGATAAGGAAGATGTTGACAAGGCATTGGGTCTAAGTCAGAGTCAATTAAACGAGCATATTGAAGGGAAAAATGATTTGAAGAGCAATAAGTCAGTAAAATTTAATGATGTCGCAACCATTCATTACGAAGATAAATCTTCTGGAACATCTAGTGATGAATGGGAGGATGTGAAGGAAATAAATACAGTTGCTGCAGATGATTATCAACTAAATTTAGATTCACCAGAAGACGATTCAACTGTGCATTTTCTCAAACCTTCCTCAAAACAGGCTCGAGAAGATCAAGATTTGGATCTAAATGACCCTGAGTTTTATGACAAGTTACACGAAAAATACTATCCAGATTTGCCAAAAGAGACTCTGAAGCTCTCATGGATGACAGAACCTATGCCTAAGCTGATCAACAATACTTATGATTCTGTTTCTGATATAAGATTTGACTTCAAAGGTGATATGATAGAGTTGATAGATCCTAGTAGTGAGAGCAAGAAAGAGATACCCACATACGTTGGCTTACATCATCATTCAGATGCTCCGCATTTAGCGGGATATACTTTATCAGAGTTGGCACACTTATCGAGGTCCGTGGTAGCTAGTCAGAGATGTGTCAGCATTCAAACCGTAGGAAGAATACTACATAAACTTGGCTTGCATAAGTATAATATTCTTCCTGTATCTGAAGATGATCAAACTTTTGGAGAAAATATCAAAGAATTTAATACAGAATTTGAAAAAATGATGTGGCGCCTAGTTTATGATCTCAGAATTATAGAGAGCATTACTGAAGCGGCTGATGATAAAAAGTCAACAAATATATCTGTAAGGAACTATGCCGTCGAAGCCTTATGGTTGTGGAAACAAGGTGGGGGCCAGCCTGACGAGCAAACAGAGGAGGAACATATAATATCTGATCTTACGTAGCAACGCAAAATTGAATGTAAATATCCTATTTAGATAGCGTCTTCGTTGACTTTAAGTTGAAAAGACTCCAAGTAGTAAATGTCTTCAAACGAATAACCATGAAAAGCTCATGGGATAAGAATAAAGTGCAACTCAGTTCTACAAGGACTGCAGAACATTATAGCATTCGAGATGGCCCCAAAACAGAACCAACTCATATTGTCTTATATTACTTTCATTTGAAGTCAGGATATTAATTCTTGATCTTTGCACATAGACACATTGAATCGATGCTTCGAAGAAGTCCAAGACTATATCGATCAACTTAAGTTGTGCAATCTACAGTGTTTCTCTTCTCACAAAAAGGGTACCTTTATTGAAATAGTATACATGCTTTCATTGCCCATACTTAGTAAGAAAAGATTTGAACAAAAATGTTGGTTAGAAAGAACTAAATGAGAATCGAATTGGCTCCCCGGGTAACAACTAAAGTGCAGGCCCAAATCCCTAGTAACGAGATTCATTCCTTGAAGGCTTTCGAATTCCGTTGAATAGAACTCAACGTACGAATCTTATTAAAGAGATCAGATTCTATCATTCGATTAGCCAGAAATTGACATTGAAAGGCTTCTAAATTATCCAACAGTAGCACCATAATCATTAGTTCTGTGGTTGTGACCATCGCCACCAAGTGCAGCGTAGCTTTGTCTGTATGGGTACATCAGGATGATGTAGTAACTGTGTAGTAAGCCAGGAAAAAATCCTAAAATACACAACAAGATGTTGATTAAAAAGTCAACGGAGAAAATTCCTCTTTTGACAGCAACGGGAATAGGAGGGACTAAATGTTAGTAAATATAGCTTTTAAAAAATTGAAAGAAATGAGCGTACGTACTGAAAAACCCAATGAAGACTAAAAACCAATCCTTGGAATGCATTTCGTATTTAGATAAACTGTTCTTTTTTTGAAGATCTAAAGAGAAAGCAGTTGTGATGAATATCTGAATGACTATAAAAGAGCAGCTGTTTGCGATATGGGCAAGGGCCGCACACGAATAATTATGTCGTTATATTTCTGCGACATTGTGGAAGAGAGTATGGACATAAAGAATAATTCATCAACTAATAAATATTTATCCAACTCGTATATTTCAAAATGAACTTAGTCCATTGGGTTATATTGGTGTTCTTTAGCATTCCAGTTATAAGGGCTGTCTCTTTGGAAGATGCATTTGTTAAGGATTGGATCACTTATCTTCATGGTGACTTAGTTCAGTTTGACATCACACCAGATGGATATCTTATTGGTTTGACTTCCGATAGCCAATTGGTAAATGTTGGCTTCACTGAAAACTATGATTTGAAGTGGTCATTGGATTTGAGTCTGATGCCGACCCAAATAACTGACATCCATTTACAGAACAATGTTGGGGTGGTGTGGATCTATTCGAAGACTTCAAGAGATGTGTTTTTATATGAGAGTGACAGCGGTCTTCTTCAAAGTCAATTTCGATTACCCTCGAATCCGAAACAGATTGTGAATTTTTTCAATAAAACGTCCTTGATCTTAGGCTCTGATGGCATTATATATTTCATAGATATAACCACTTCAGCTATACGGCCTCTTGAAGTTAAGGAACATATTGACAAATTTCAAGTATCCCTAGTGGATGGATTTGCGTATGTTATTATTAACGATACATTGATGTTGAAACTTAATGCATTATGTGAAGTTGTTTCGACAAACCCAGTATCGATTGGAGCTGTACAACAATTTAAAGATGGCATTATATTGAGCAAATCGAATAAAGTTTTCAAGCTCAATCAAGATGAAGTAGTTCTGCTCAAGGCACCTTCCAAACTAAAAAATTTAAAAATTATCGATGAGCAGTACTCTCTTGATTATAATGACAATACTTTGATATTACTAGAAGTATCTTCAGATAAGTTAGAAGTTGTCCAATCTGGAAAGTTTGATGGTGAAATAATCGATGTCAAGGTGCCAGATGACGCTTTGAATGATTTCTTGATAATCTACACTCTGGAGTTTAAGTTTGTTTTGGATTTAGCTACACTCCTTACTGGTGAGTTTACTCGTGCAAAGAAGCAAGACCTCCAAAATATAAAATTGACCAAAGATGTATTCGCGTATAATGACGGGGATCTATTACTCTACACGATTTCTTCCACTTCGGAACATATTACAATAACGCTTCTCAACTTGTTATCAGGTTCTGTTCGTACCATTAATCATATATTATATGACCTTGAATATGAGAGGGCCATACTTGTTGATAAGCCCACCTCGAAGAGCACTATGAATAAATTTCATGATTATTTTGATACCGGCTCATTTCATACCTTTACAGCTAGCTGGCTCTTAAGAATAAAGCGTCACTTGAAAGAAATAGGCGAATTTATGTTTTCTTTGGTCGTTGAAAGTATTAATACTGATGATAATGAAACAATTAATGACGAGTTCGGGTTTCAAAAGCTAATAGTTGTACCAGATATAACGCATAAAAAGGTAGTCGCATTTGATACAAAGGATGGATCGATATTTTGGGTGGCTAAGATAGATGACGTCATTGAATCGTCTAATATAGATGACTTTGTGGGTATCCTGGATTCGCAATCAACAATAGTGTTATATTTCAGATCGGTTGATATTTACATTGATAAATCCAACGGTGAGGTCATCAAATGTAATGAAGAGAATAGGAAAACACCATTACAACAGCATTTAAAACAAATGGTCCATGACAGCCTTTTAGATTCCACAAATGTAACATTGAATAATATTAAATTCTTAGGTGGAGAGAATTACTCGTCAAATCAATATATTGCACATCATGCGAAAGGCGTTTTTTCTGGCTACAAATTGATTGCCAATTCGCACTTAAGTAGAACTTGGCAATTTTCTGTTAGCGATGAGGAAATTGTGGGTATTTTTCAAAAACCTGAGGGCCATAGAACCATGTCAGCTGGTATTAGCTTACATGACAAATCAGTGCTATACAAGTATCTCAATCCAAATGTTTTAGTCGTCCTTACAAGATCATCTGCTCTCAATGGATATATTTTAGATGGTGTTACAGGCTCTGTTTTGTATGCGTTTTCTCACCAAAACGAAGATATCGATTTTGATTCTATAAATTTAGTCATTGATGATAATTGGGTGATTTACTCATATGTGACAAAATTTCCAAGATTTGAACAAAGAATTAACGTTATAGATATGTTTGATTCCTCGAAAGGGTTCAATGTTGGAGACGTATCTGCATTCACTTTCAATACGACAATCGATTCGCTTACATCCAAAAGCTTCATTTTTCCTGAGCGTATATCATCACTTTCATCAACACAAACTCAATTTGGTATTACAGTGAAATCTATACTTGCTCTTACAGAGTCAGGAAATCTAATCGAGTTGCCCAAGTATGTATTAAATAGTAGAAGGATTGATGATAGGGTGCTCACGCAAGATGATTTTCAAGATGATTTTAGGATGATGCCATATGACCCCATAATAACGAAAAATAATTTTCAGATTTTAAATCATAAGCACAGATTAGGGACGAAAGGAAAAATTTTAAGCAAACTGACTCACTTAGAGTCCACTGCGCAGGTTTGCTACATTAGTAATTCTGAAATCTTCTGTCAATATGTTCAGCCGTCATTGTCATATGACCTTTTAAGTGAAAGTTTTGACAAGATAAAGTTGATTTTAACGATTGTTGCAGTTGCCATAGCTTACGTAGCAAGCAAGCCGTTTGTTTCGAATAAGAACTTAAATTCATACTGGATTGACCGCCAACTTTAAACTATTTAAATATGACTTCGTTCTTATCACAGGAATGAAAGGATACAGTGTCGTTGTAAGATCTATTGAACTTTAAACTAATGCATTAAATTCCTAAAAAATAGTATTACATAAATATTGAATGATTTCTTTTCAAGTAGTCTATAACTTCCTTATGCTGTCCTCTGGAATCGTCAAGCCCATAAATTTTCCAATCAATCATTTCCAGATCACACTTTACCATCTTAATACTCCCATAAATATACCAAATTAATTCATACCTCAAGCTTGAAACTAAATGATCTTTCATTTTAGAAATTAAAAAAAAACTGTCACTATTACGAGCAATTATGTCCACGTTATCAAGTTCGTTTACTTTTTTCAAAATATGGATGAACCTTGAATTCAAATTATACCACGGAGTTTTTATGACATTCCTAGACAAAATTTCATAAGCTCGGTTAAAATTTTTCTTCAATAACACATAATCTTTTTCAGAGTCCAATAATGGTGACTTATATACCCTTAACATGATTAAACAACACAACTCGATCAACGATTTGAAATGAATAGGTAATTGATAAATATTGGTAATATGGGGAAATTCTTCTTCGAAAAGATTTAACGTTACATAGCACGATGCAAGAGCCCTTTTAATATACAGTTTATATTCATGAACATCAACATTAAGATCCGAAAAGGAATAAACATACAATTGAAGTTTCGACAACTCGATAGAGAGTTGTATCATTCGATTAGAATTCAGAATCAGACTGATGTCATTCAATATGATTTCAAACATGTTCAAATATATTAATTTAGAAGTAGGGTCATCGTTTTTGACCAATTCATTCAAATTCTCGTTCATTTTTGATTGTACCAAGGAGATTTTTAATAATGAGTTAATGTGGTTATCTTCCGCAGTAGCTCCAACCTTATTGCCAATACTTGAATTACTCAAAATATAATCTTTTTGAAATCCATTAAAGTTGTTGTTAGATAAGCCTAAGTTTATTAGCCAATAATTTGAATTAATGCCAATGAATTTATAGATTCTCTCTCTTATTATATTGTTCAAATTCACCTCGTTTGAGATATTCATTTTAGTTTTGTGGCTAAACTCTTCGATGAACTCTAGTTTATGAAGGCCAAATTGCAAGGAAAGGCTTCTCATAAGAGATATAAATTTTATTGACAAATTGTCAGAGAAATTCCCGGATGGACTTGTTGGTAACGGCCAGCTAGTCAAAATCAATAAGGAGCTGAGAGTATATACCGATCTAGGGGTTTGAAGCCAACATTTCTCAACTACCAAACTTTTAATGTGCTCACATAGCCTGAAATATTGGTGAGGAAGATTCTGGTTTAAATGCGAAGTCAAAATTATGCACCAAAACAATAGTTCATTTTCATTGACAAACTTTGGAACATCAATGGTGATGAAAAAGTCATCTGGAAATATGGGTAGAAATTTATTGAAATTATTTTCGTAATTCCTGAGATGGGCTATCGCCTCTTCCTTCGAAATAGAAACGAAGTCTGTATTCAAATTGGAATTAATCGTAAACTCCTTCTTTTCTATCTCGTCATTCTCAAATGCGAGATAAGATGGATTGCTCTCTGCAAGGTTGATGCAACCTTGGATTTCGCTCAAAGACGGAGATCTCTGAGCAGCAACTGAAGCAGGAGATGGTGTATTAGTAGTTTCTCTCTTTGGAGCGAATGCTCTGATGACTCTATTTCTATTGCTAATTAGTGCATCAACAGCTTCCCTTAAACCGTGCACTTCATCGGTCAACTTCTCAATCACGTCCGTGGACTTCTTTTGCTTATTGTTTATTACATCAAGAGTACATTTCAAGTTCTTCTTATTGCAATGACTACAGGGCACAGGCCTTGTAAGCCAAGCGTCACACTTTGTTTTATGTTGTCGACATCTAATACATGTCTTGAGTTTCTTGTTATCAACCATGAAGGTTGATGCCAAGGGTCCCTCCTTAAATCTTCTCTTTTGTATTTTTGCAGTCGTCATCTACTGCAATATATTTTACAAGATATGAGCTTAAAATAAATATCCTCCTATTTTAATTTCCTCCTTCATGCGATATAACAAACTTTATACAACTGTCTTCTCCTTTCTCAATATGCTTACCTCAATCAACTCTCACAGGACTGGCTGTGAAATCGTACAATGTATCGCTTTTAAGAGATGGATTAGTAAATGTCGCACCTTAATTGGTTGAAAGTATACCGAAAATCGGCATCAAATTCGCATTACGGGCATACCCTGTTTACGACTTTTGATAAGCGGTGAAACATTTTCCACTTCCATATCTCGGTCTTGTATGAATAATAATCAAGTGACGTGTCTTCATTTGTTCGATTTGTGCCATGAAGTTCTGCTTGGGCCCCTTAACAAATCTTTCAGTTTAAACCTTGAACAATTTTGCCACGAAAAACTGATCAACCTACCGCCATCGATAACAAATAAATTTTGCACCAATTGTGGACAGATTAAAATCCCTGGACTTACCAATAGTACAAGGGTGTTGTATCGCAGAAAGAGAAGGTATTTGAGAGTAAGATGTTATAACTGCAACTTCAAAGATGACAAGAAGCTTGACCTAAAGAAGGATATTCCAGCTGACAGCAAGAATCACTCTAGCCCGATACTCTCTAAACAGGAGGAGCCCAATAAACTCAAGGGAAATATTTCTAAAACAAAAAGAAAGAAAAAGAATAATGATCTTGCAAGCTTGTTGCAGCAGCGCAAAAGACAAGAGGAGGAGAATAGGAAGGCCAAGTCTTTGAATTTAATGGAATTCAAGAAGATGCCCTAGATTTTTTATTACACTCTTAATTTATGTATATATGAAAGTAATGAATCAATTTATTTGCAAATCCTCACTGCCTCAGGCTCAGACTAAATAGCCACTTGCATTTTCTTTTTCATTTGGTGTTTCCGTACTCTTGTCATCATGATTCTCGCCTGCCCTTGTATCTTTGTTCACTTTTCGCCTACACATTCTTATCCATCTTCGTCTCCTAAAGACGTCATTAGAAGTTTCATCCGGCTGATAGTCGTAAACCCATTTCTCATCATTATCGATGTAAACGATATCCAGGATAAGGTTCTCCATTACCCATCCTCGAACATCTAAATCTATCTTCCACTTTTTTCCAACAAATCCCCAGCTTCTGGGAGGCTGAATATCGTCAACATTTTCCTTTCTAGCGATCCTTATGTTCGAAAAGTTTGATTCTCCATCTTCGTAATCATCCACTGGATTTGAAAGCGTTCTTAAAGAAGAGTTTAATGGATAGAGATCGTTCGAAAATCCAACTAGCTCCCATATCTTTGTCTTATGATTCAATTTCTGAAGCTCAAAAATTTCGACTTCTTTTTCTATATCTTCGTCAATATCATTATTTACTATGAATTCTTTTAAGTATACTTCAACTTTATGGTTTATATCCACGAATTTCTGCCTAGTCTCTTCATTACATATCCAATCCAAACAAATTGATCTAATTTTTGGATGGAGTATAGCCAGAGATAACCAAATAGTAACAATAAGGCATAGCTTTAGAGGAAAGTAAGTCAGCAAGAATGGGAAAAGTTTCGGCAACACGATTAAATTATTAACCACCAATCCTGTGAGCCCTATGAAAACTAGATTGCTTAAACTTTCATCCTTGAAGAACAAATACCCATTTATCAACCACAAAATAAAATCATAAGCAAAGATGTATAGGCACATGTGATTTTGAAGATCAGTCAAATTCAATATGAATTCTCTTGAAAATTCGGGAACCGGCTTTGGCACCTTATATGGATATAGCTTGTTCCTTGCTGGAATAGGATTATGCTCAAAGAAGGAATTTAAAAATGAAGTATCGGGAGGATACATTAACAAGTAATGAGGAACCAACACGTTACTTAACACCAACAAGATGGGTGCCACAGTGAGAAGAAAAGGATTCAAAATTAAATGAGTGGTTATCATTAATATCCCTACTGTAAAGAATGGATCCTCCCAGTTACCAAAGTTAATGAAATTGTCAATCAATATAAATGCTGGCGACAACCTTTGTGTTAAATGAATTGAATTTTTCGACATGGTATTCATGGATAGCGGCGGTCGGGCCTTCTGCATAGCGACCCTTTCATTCATAATCTTATTTTTATTTTCGTCCTCAACATTCATGGGTATAACCATCGATATAATCTTCTCCATCAACTTGTCGGTCACCAAGGAATTTGAAACCTTTTTTTGCTCTTCTGATTTAGACCAAAAAGATGAAAAGTCCAAATAATCATGATCTGACTTTCTCCTCCTTCCCCCAGAAGAGGCCATTGTGGGTGTTGAAGGCTTCAGGCTCGACATTTTATTTTCCCTAGTCACATCAGAGCTACTTGTAGCAACCGAATCAGTATCTGTGGATGTGCTCTCCACGCTCAATATATTATCCAAAATACTCGAAACCTGTACCATCGACTATATATGTTGACAATCGAAGACTGAGTTACGTCTTGATAGTCAATGACTTCAAGTTGACGTTACAGTTCTATGACTAGTCAGGTCAGCTGTTCCTCAATTTGGTTCTGTGTGTAACAAATTTCCTACATTCGCTTTTTTCTTTACGCAGAAAAGAAACATCCACGCATTCACATAAACTTTATTTTTGACTATTTAACTACACTTTGGCTCTTTTAGGCAGTAGCATCTCCAGCCCATCACCCTCAAGCTTTATTCGCTTGGGCCTCCCAACATTGAGCTTCGAATTGTGAACATCTCGTAGTGGCTCAGCGGTATCGTCAATATGATCATGATCTTCAGTGAAACTTGATAATGGAGTCGGTAACTCACATTTTATGGGTTGCTTTACCTGTTTCAGTGGCTTACGCTTCAAGTATGGCTTTTTCTTTTTTGGTGTATCCGGCGCCGTTAGGGTCTCAGTATGCACTTCTTTCTTTATAGTTTTCTGTTTGTTATTCTTTAACTTCTTTGAGTCTAGCTGCTCTTGAGTCAAAAATAAGTCAGGTATCTCATGTCTCAATATTTTAATAAAGTTGTCACAGTCACTTAGTATTTCATAATCAATAAAATTCTCCCATTGCTTGGATACTGGGGTTTTATTTATGAATATAACTTTACCACCTCTATTATGAATCGTGTTACATAACGATTTTGCTAATTTTTTCACTCCATCAACCTTCAATGAAGTGCCCATTATAATCAATAGGTCAGGCTTCAGCTTAAGGTCAAGGTTCAATCCTTGCGAAAGTATTTCAGATTGTGGATGGTTTTCACCGTATAATACAACATCAGGTCTCAAGAGACCACCATTTCCAGTAATTCTCTTACCCAGGTATAATCTCTCTATGTATTTAGCATGGCAATTATTGCATTGAGGGTTCATCCCATTGCTTAGTTGAGTTTGATAGTTTTTATTCCAATCATAGTTTGAAAAACATTGAGTGCATGAGAGCTTGTGTAAGTTGCCATGAAGCTGTACCACATCAAGGCTCCTCCATATCTTAGAGAAGTTTGAATTTGAATCGAATTTACTTAAATTTATGCCCATATTCAAATTTATGGAACTCTCTAGGGAATCGATATTCTGGGTGTAACATCTCAAGAGTTTGTTCTTATCCTTAAGTAGCTTGATGAATTTATGTGTTTCTGTAGGTTTGGCTTGCAAACTAGATTGATAGAGTGATTCCATAAATGTGCAAAACAAGGACAACGTCATCTCATCTCTGAAGAGAGAAACATCAAAGAGATCCTGACCCTTCACAACCGCCTTTGGATATTTCGATTTAACCATTTCATATAGTCCATTGGATGATCTAAAGTCTGGAATACCAGCATTACAAGAGATTCCCGCTCCCGTCAATACCGTTGCCTTTTTCGATTTAAATATGTATTTAATTACTTCATTTAACTTGATCTGTGACTCACTTGGAAGCTTATTTTCAGCTTCAATCAAGTCTATCACAATCATAATGGTTTATCAATCCCTAGGGATAAGGTAGGTACTTAAATGCTTCACAAACTCTTCTTATTTTGAACTTATAATCTGTGGTAACTTCTTTCTTTTTGTGCATGCATTCTTCATTATTCTCAATTTTAGAAGAATTCGCAATGTAAGTATTTTACCCTTTTGAGATATTTACATTTCGACGAATTCAGAAACACGATTCACGTTAGATTGAACACAATTCTACGAGTTCTACTCTACAAAAACTCACCGTGATTTGAGAACACCAATCACAGAAGTTCAATGATCTACAGATAATTCACGATATTATTTCATTTTTATATTAAATTAATGAATTTCAATCTGGCAATGACATGGCATATTTCTCTTTTCTTCTCTCGATTCTTATCTGGTTCAAGAGTTCTGACTATTCACCGCTAACTCCATAATGAGCCTCGTGCATAGGTGCAAGAATGGATACGCAGAAAACGAGCTCATTTCATCGACGTCCTGCGCTGCTGAATATGTAGAAGTAGATACGTTAGCCTCGGTTTCCCACCCATCGAATTTGAAATCAACCAAGTAGTTGTTAGGTTCAAGCTGAAACAATTGAATCTGCATTTTCATCAAATTCAAGGCTGCAGCATCTTCTATAGGTGCACAATCGTCATATTTCCATCTTACCCTAATGGTCCAAAGCTCTTCCTCTGTAGGTTTCGACCACTCAGCTCCCAAATTCTTGAGCGCCCTATATATTTCACCCATAACATCTAAAGGGTAAGACCTCGATCTAATGCCAAAATGCCATCTTGTCTTAGATTTCTTAGAAGAAACAGGTGCTATTTTGGACAGATGATTCTTGTCCATCATATACGCCCTATGGATTGATGGAAGAGACGAGGGTAAAATTGCAATTGTTGAGTTTGGGAGAGTGGATAAATCAGGTACTGTAGCTAACGTTTGATAAGTCACCGATTGTTGAACCCCTGGAGCCGAGCTAGTTGAGCCACTGGTCCATGAACTAGGTGGCGACAGCGACAAGAAAGAATCAATCTTATCGGGCCTCTTTTTCTTCAAGTCTTTAACTAAATTCTTATTGTCTTTCATTAATAAATATGCATCCAATATCTCATTAGAAGACTGTTGAGGCAATTTCCTCTCGTTAGACTTATTGATGACTTCGTAAATATCATCCCTATCGTATCCCATAGCCATATTCAAAGCAGACACAACATCATCATCGATTTCAATCTTATCTTGTTTTGACTTTGATAAGTCTGGAGGCAATAAGTAATCCTCGATTCCTTGTTTGAACCATTCATCTTCCATTATCTCATGAATAGAAATTCTGTTAAGTGGATTTACAACTAGCATTCTAGTCAATAAGTGTTTCGCACCAGCAGATAAATAATTGGGCAAAGTATAGACACCATTGCTTATCTTCTTGAATAATGCAGGGATGAACTCATCATCAAATGGGAGTCTGCCACAAAGCATGACATAAAGAATAACACCAGAAGACCAAACATCGACCTCTGGGCCAGCATACAACTTTCCACTAATGACTTCCGGCGCAGCATAATTTGGTGATCCACAACTTGTTTTCAAAAAGTTTCCGTCTGTCATTATATTAGATAATCCAAAATCAGCAATCTTAACGTTCAAGTTATCGTCCAATAGTAAATTCTCTGGCTTCAAATCTCTATGTACAATCTTATGTCTATGACAATACTCAACAGCAGAAATGATTTGCTGGAAGAATCTTCGAGCCTCATCCTCCGGCATTCTGCCTCTCTGAACAATATAGTCAAATAGTTCTTTTCCAGCATACTCAATAACCATTATGATTTCATCCTTAGATTTGATTACATCGTATAATTTAATGATATGAGGATGACGAAGCAATCTTAAATAAGAAATTTCTCTTTCAACTCTCCCTTGCATATCAGATTTTGCCAAAGTTTTCCTATTAATTATTTTGAGGGCTACTTTCTGTCTAGTGATCGAATGTTCAGCCAATTTCACCTTACCAAAAGATCCTTCACCAAGGGTTTTGAGGACATGATATTTTCCAATTTTTGGAGTTATATTTTGGTCGTCACCGCTCGGACGATTCTCATGAGAAGAATGGTGGTGGTGATGGTGGTGATGATGGTGCTGGCTATCGCTATTCCCATGCAGCTCTGACATTATTTAATATATTGATTACTTATTTAGATAATCGTGCTGTATAATTTATATATATTGAAAAGTTTCTTACCACAAGTTGTTTGATGGAGGGAGTAAGAAGTGAAACCAATTTAGTGGGGCAAAAAAGTTCCGTGCACGACCGCACCTGGGTAGCCATTCCGCTAGACATGACAGGAATACATAATTTAGATAAATAAGCTACTTTATGTGTTACCACGGGCTTTCACGAACTTTAAGATTAAAATTTGTGTATCCTTGAAGTGTGAAAGCACATTGATGTATAATACAAGAATTTATAAAATTATATTTTTGAATACCTGGAAGACTCCCAATCGTAATTACAAGAGTGATAGCTAGTCTCAAGGATCATCTTCGTTTTCTTCCATTGTAATGTGTACCATCCGGTCGCTTGGATCTTCTCTCTTCTCTGTAAGACTCTGCTTTTCGATCGTCAAGCTTCCATCGTAAATCGACCTTCTCTCTATCTCTTTCCCTGTACTTTCTATCTTCTTTCTTCTCGACTTGGCTCCTATTATAATTAGTCTTGTTTTGGTTTTGTTTCATTTCTTTCTTTCGTTCTTCCACTAGTTCCTGAGGTATTCCCTCTTTATCTTCTTGAGCACTTAACAACAACTTCCATAACTCATCACATAACTCCAAAGACTCTTCATTCCCCAAAAAAGCTTTAATCTGTAAATGAAGTGACTTGATATCAGGCTCTCTATTATTTTCAAGCAACTCGCATATATAAGCAACTACTATATCATCGTCAGGTAATTGTTCATCCAATTTTTTTCCAATCCAATCTTTTATAACTGCAGTGTTGACTTTTGATATATCGACTTTTCTCTTAAAGCTCTTGGGGTACTTGATAGATGAAGTATCTTTCCTTTTCTTTCTTTCTAAATAGTCATGATTAACTGGATTAATCTGATATGACATCGATTGGACTTCCTTTCTATAGCTTTTCTTTTTTTAAACAGATTGCTTAGTATATCAAGGAAGGTATGATCTAGTTTTTTTATCTTTTAAACCAATATGTTGCAAATATTCCAGCTTGATTATCTCTCTTTTTCCTTTGTAGCCAAATTGCAGATGTTCAAGGGATTCGTTTTACCTAAGCTTAAAAAAAAAGGAAAGTTTCACGCACAAAAATTGTTGCAAAACTTATCTGAAACCTCAACCTTAACATATAAAGAGGGCATCTAACATTGTTAGAAAATTAACTCCTTTATCATGTATAATCCTACGAAATTAGATTCCAGTTATGAATTAGGTTTTTCAGATTCAAAGAATTTTACTTTCGAAAGCAACACTACGATTTCAGATCTTTGTACACCAAGGTCCCTCTCGGTCGTCGAACTGATTGGCTCAGGAGATATCCAATTTATGCAAAGAACGAACATATGGTCAACATCATTTAAAGGCAGAGGTGAGTCTCTTTCAACTCCTATTTCATCTCCCAGGTTAGATGATTCCGAAATTCTCACAGCTCAAAAGTTAAATACGTATGCGCCGATAGAAAGATTATCCGTTTCCAATATAGCAATCAAAAGAGCTGGCATACTCAAGAGTAGAGCTTCAGACTCTTCTACAATGTCACTTTCTTTGAGTGGAAATAATTCTGGGAGTTCAAACCATAAACCAATATCAAATCCGAACTCATTTTCATCGTTAAAGACTTTCAAAAGTTCAAAAGGAATTCCCTTTGTTGTTCCTGAACAGTCAAAGTTCTTTGTCATAAAATCTTACAGTGCAGCAGATATTATCTCTTCTTTTGCCCACGAAATCTGGACTTCCACTGAATTTGGTAATAGAAGGCTTGATAGAGCATACGTTGAGGCTTCCCAGAATGGAGGTAAAGTATTCTTGTTCTTTCTGGTGAATTCATCGGGAAAATTTTGTGCTGTTGCAGAGATGAAGAATCGTATTGACTTTACCAGAACCAGCAATATTTGGGTAGAACAAACGAGATGGAAAGGTATATTTCCTCTTGAATGGCTTTTGATAAAAGAAATTCCAAATAGGTTCTTTCAATGTTTGAGAATTGCCACAAATGAGAATAAACCAGTTACACATTCGAGGGATACACAAGAGATACCTTTTGATGTGGCAATGTCTATGATGAAAATATTTTGCTCCTTTAAATCTATGTAATAAAACAATTTCTCAGTAATTCAAATTATGGAAGAGTTCTTGCAGCAAACGTCGAAAATTCAAAAGTTGTTGTATTAAAGTCAAACATAGATATTATTATTTTTTCTTAACTCCACTTCACATTACAAGACAAGAAGTATATTAGTTTCTAAAAATCAAAAACGTTTACGTTGAATCTTATGAATACTTGGAATCAATTAGCTAATTTTGCAGTTCTTCGTTTTAGTGTAAGTTTTCCTTTTCGACCTGTTCAGTTTTGTAATTGCGATTCAGCTATCAAGTTTACGGCTGTCATTAATTAGCATGATTAAAAACAAAATTATTGTCTGTAGTAAAGGAGTTAGGCAATTCTCTACTTCAGTGAGTATTCTTAAAAATGTGCTGAAGAAAGAGCCTACAGATCCCAGCGAGAAGCAAGGGAAACTTGGACGAGAAGATTTAGAATATGGGCCACTATCTAAAGCACAATTAGCATATCTTGATCGTGTGGTTCGAGTTGACCAAGCGGGTGAATTGGGGGCCAATTATATTTATATGGGGCAGTATGCTGTGTTAGCGTCGAAATACCCTCATTTGAAGCCTGTTCTCCGTCACATGTGGGACCAAGAAATTCAACACCACAATACATTCAATAAATTGCAAGTGGAAAGAAGAGTCAGGCCCTCTATGTTTACACCACTTTGGAAATTAGGTGCTTTAGGAATGGGTATGGGTACGGCTTTGTTGAGTAAAGAAGCTGCAATGGCATGTACCGTTGCAGTTGAAACCGTAATTGGTGGTCACTATAATGAACAGTTACGTGTATTAATGAACCAGTACAACGTAAACATCTACGATAAGAAAACTGGGAAACTTTTAAACAAGGATGAACTTGATCTTGGACAACAAAGATCACCTGAATTGACTAGTTTGAAACAAACGGTGAGCCAATTTAGAGACGAAGAATTAGAGCATTTAGATACCGCCGTGGAACACGATGCAGAGAAGGCTGTTCCATACTTACTATTGACGGAGGCCATTAAGTTGGTTTGCAGGGGTGCTATTTGGACCGCTGAAAGGGTATAAAGACACTTAGATATAAATCATATTCTATATTTTATATGCATAAGCTTTTAAGATCTTTGAGTGTCTCTGACCTAAAGATAGCTGCATTGTAGTAAACAAAATATCTATCTGAGTATCAGTGGCAACTTTGTTAGCATGAAACTTTGATCACATTTTGATCGACTATTCTGATTTCTTGTAAGCTGGTTTTGTGTCATAATATTGGTGATAATATTTATGTCCCTAAAACATAAACAAAAGATTCTGATCGTGATTTATTCACAAAACTCTAACGATACTAGGACTGCAGCAAAATGTCGCGGCGTGTTTCTATGTATCGTCCAGGGAATACCATACATCGTCGGACCAATCAATTCATTCATCAGGATGTCTTTCCTTTATTAGACTCCAAGGAAATAACAATATGTTTACAAAGCTGCGATTTCATTGCTACAGAAGAACTAGTTAGTAGACCGACGAGTCAGTTCATGAAAACATTATTCGAGCAGTTTCTAGATACATTTATGGGGATATCTGCATCCACGATTCGAGACAAAACCAAGAAGATAAATAAGCATGACACATCCATCGGCAGGTCCCAGGAAGCTGACAAGGACAATTTCGCACAGGAAGAAGGCGAAAGAGAGGAGGAGGATGACGACGACGACGATACAAGCGAGGCTCTCAATCTAATAATGCTTCATCGGGGGGCTCACAAATTTCTTCAGGGTTGTGGAATTCATGATTTGACATTAATGGATATAATGCGGCCCGAGCCTTATAGGACAAGGCGAATACTAAGTGCTGTTGTAAATTTTGCTAGATTCCGAGAAGAACACTCTGCGGAATGTGAACATTTAGTCATAGAGAGCGAAGAGAGTTTAGAGAGGATACGTAAGAGCCAAGGCGATAATGAAAAGACTACGAATCAACTTAGAGATCTCAAAGCTAGAATTGAAGCAAGTGAAGAAGGGGAACATAAAAAAGCGACCTTGAAACAAATCAATTCATATAACACTAAACTAGAGAATGAGTTAAAAAAATTGAAGAAATCTCAAGAGTTGTTAACATTGGAGCATTCTCAATACAAAGTCGAAAAAGCAAGGTTGATCGAAAAGCTAGAAGATCAAAATTATCTCATTTTGGAATTTGCGAAAGAACTTGAAAAACTCAAGACTTATTCGTCAACAGATCTAGATGTTTTGAATCAAATAATAGCAGACTTGAAGAGCCAAATTATAGACTACCAATCTAGCTTTAGTGATATGGAATCGAAAGATCGAAACCTTTCTATAACCATTGAATCAATGCAAATAGTTGAGGGCGAATTGAAGAGCCTTTTCCGTATCTTGGAAGAGATCATGAATGATCTTTTAAAAGAAAAGAATGCTTTTGAAGAACTTAATTCCACTCAAGAATACCTCGACCAACAGAATGCCGAATCAAATGATTTGGGAAGACAAATACAACAATACGAAAGACAGTTGGTTAATACGCAAGATAAGATTAATAAATTAAAACTTCAGGCAGAAGAGCGCATTAAGAAGAGCCAGCAACAATTAGCAAGCTATAGATCTGATTATACTAAATTAGTTGAAGAGAGAAACTTGAAGGAAAAAGAGTTTACCAAAAAGAAAGAACTAATTGCGGACATTGAAGCTAAAATAAATAAGAAAAAATCAGATTTTCAGATCGAAGTCAAAAACCTTGATTTGAAAATCGCAAGACTTAATGCTCAAATTAAGCTCTACCTTGACGAAGTTGGTAAGAAAGTTTTCGAAAACTAGCCTTCCCAAGGCTGTGTAATATAATGTATAACATACGTACCTATGTCTAATAGTACACAATGACGAATATAAGTTATTTTCTAACTTCGTCGCTTCCATTTTCGGTAATTCTGGAGAAAAGCTTACTGTCATCTTCTCCAGTAGCTTCTTCATCACTACTTTTTTCTTTCTCGTCTTTAGAAGTCTTAACATCTTTATGTTTCGGAATTCTTTTATTAGTGGTGAAGACGGAAGCCACGAATGCAACAAAAGAACAAGCCAATGCAAAGTAAAACACATCTTTGAGCGCCCTCATAAAATCATCAATAACAATGTTTTTAGCTGCTTCAGGAAGTTCGTGAATTAAACTTGGAGTCTGGAGCAAAGTTTTGGGAGAAATACTATGCAATATTTTGTACTCTTCAGATTCTCTAGAAAGCTTCTTGATGCTAGATTTAATGTAAGCTGTGCCTGTGTTTTGCAATAATAATTGAGATATTGCAAGTGAAATAGTTGCCCCAGTAGATTTTGCGAAATTCAAAAATGTTGTAACTAATATGATAGAGCCCTCAATATGAGCCGGAGCTTCTAATTGAGCAGCCAATAATGAACTTTGAAACTGTAAACCTACAGAGATTCCAATCGGAATCAACAATCCAATACGGTCTTTCGCAGGAGAATCCTTACGAAGTAAAAGTAGTAGGCCAGTTCCTAACGGACCAAATATAGCAGATATCATCATAGTTATCTTGACATATCTTGTGAATCTCATGAATGCACCATTAAGAGCCGATGAAACAGAAACGGTGATAACAAATGGAAGCAAATCCACACCCGATTGCCAGGCAGATGCATTAAAGATAACTTGAAAGTAAATGGCTAAGTAAGTTATAATTGACATGAAAAATGCAAAGTTGAAAGTAGCACTCATGCAAGATGCAAAAATCTTAGGTATTGTAATGATCTCTTTGATAATAATCGGGTTTTTTGAAATTCTGAAGTTATAATACCCGAATAATAGTACAAGGAGACCACCTATGACGAAACAGCAAATGACCGCAGCTGACTTCCAAGGGAAATCCAAGCCTCCAAATGAAAGGGCCAAAAGGATCAAGACTAAACCTGACGTAATTAAAAATGTTCCAATATAATCTATTTTAGATAGTTTCTCTTTAAAATTTCCAGCTGGCTTTGGAGGATTAAAGCTAAAAAGTATCATTAAGAAGGCAAGTCCTCCAATGGGCAAATTAATATAAAAACACCATCTCCATGTGACATGAGATGTAAATGCACCACCAATGAATGGACCCAAAACACTTGCCACTGACCAAGTTATACCAAACAATGCAAAAGCAAGTGGTCGCTTAGACATCGGAATAGACTCAGTCACAATGACCAATACCATAGATTGTACAAGACTTCCACCAGCTCCTTGAACAACTCTTCCTCCAATTAGCATATTCATGCTTTTTGCAAGTGCTGATACCAATGAACCAATTTCAAATATCACTATACCTACCCAGACACTATATTTTCTACCAAATGCAATGGAGACCTTACCATAAGATGGTGCTAATGTTGCCATTGGCAACATGAATCCAGTATTCAACCAATTCACTTTCAGAAACTCTTTAAATTCATCACCAACTTCCTTTAACAACGTAGAAACGATTGTTTGATCTAAAGCAACAATGAACAAACTGAATATAGAACTAGTTAATGTGAGTACTAGTTTAATGCCATGAATATGCTGATCTGTCGCTTTAGTTCCATCTCCAGCATCGCTTTCGAAGTATTTCCCTGATTTCTGCACTGAGTCATCTTTTTCTGTCATTTTAGAGAAAAGATTTGACATTGATTTTCTCTTCCTCTTTATCTACTTTTGATGCTAATTATACAATATATAGCCATACCTTATACAATTAACTCGCTTTCGGGTTTGCCATTGGCTAGCACTTGAGCCTGGTATTATTATTTTTTCACTTCTTTTTTGAGTCCATAATAAGATATGTCAGATTGTCATTACACTGTGGAGCAGAGCAATGCCGCACTTCGGAATCTGGAATTCGCATCTCAATTCCATTTAACATTAATTATGCTTGAACTAAAAGTTCTTCTATTTAATTACTTATTAATATGAACTAAAATTAATTCATGTCTTTAGGAGGTCCCTTCTTCAAAAACTCCAAGAAATCCATTTCATGATCACCTTCATCAGAACTAGTTGAAGATTGTGTTTCCTTTACAAAGCTGTCCGTTACTGATGGCTTTTTCGAAGAGTTTAATGCATTTCTAAAAACGGCAGATGGCCGTCTGAAATCTTTTGCTTCAGATTTCATCGCAGTACTCAGGAGGGAATTCCTTGAGCCCACTGAGGACTTTAATGGCGAGGATACGATGGAGTCTTTTCTTTTACCGAAGCTTAATGAATAATTTTCTAATGTAGTTCTAAAATCACTCACTTGAAGATCACCTCCTAAAATATTCGAATAGTCATACAGTTTGCGTGAGTTATGATGAAGTTTGTGGTGGCCCTCATGATTCTCATGTCCCGCTTTGCGAGAAATGTACCTTAACTGAGATTTACAAAGATTTTCTTCCGTAGGTAGCTTAAACAAAGGAACTTTCAAGAAGTCTAAAGTCCTCCGCCACCTTGAGTATTGATTAACATTTACCCCAAAACTTTCACTCAATGAATTCCCATGCATAGTTGAGAGGGCAGATACAGATCCTTTGTGACTTTGCTCCACTAAATAGTCCATTCTACTTTCATGCTCCCTTTCAAATGTTCTCATAATAGTATAGAGCCAAGGCTTCTCTCTGTAAAAGAAAACTAAGGAGTCTATAAAGCCATTGGAAGATTGCATGAAAGCGCCCACACAATTTAACCAATAAATTGGGCCATGCTCACTTTCATATTTAAACTGTGTAACTGATAAGATGAATGGAAACAACCAAATGAAACAATAGGCAAACGGATATATAAAAATACTTTTTAATTGTTTTCGGATTATTTTTTGTCGCTTTCTCATATTAACCAAATTGACGACCTGAAGTTCAGGATCATATGCTATATCGACATCGTTCTCATCGTCGTCATCGTCATCATCATCGTCATTCGACCCACTGTCATGTTCGACAGTAGTATTTCTAGATCTCTCTTCTCCAATATGTCTTGCTCGACTTTCTTGAACTGAAGTTTGCATTCGTTCTATTGCTGATGGCTCACTATTTCTTGAGAAAGGTATTGTGTCTCTCACTGAATTGAGGAAAAACTTCAAAGCTGAAAAAAACGATGGTCGTTGATCTGCATTGCTCTTCACTTGACGAAGATTATTTGATTTATGTATGTTCATAAAAACTCCACCCAATGCCTTTGATTCCCTAACGACATGAAAGTAAATCAAAATATAAACAGAAAATATTATTATAACTATTAGGTATCTTGGAATCCAACTTAGTACGAGCCTATACCATATTGGCTCTTGAGGCAAGTAGCACCAATTGACATACGATACATAACCACTCGGATGTATAAATGCCAAAGATGCCAATATTAATGGAATTAGAAACGATAATCCATAAACCCAATATCGATATAAATATAGTCCTCCCTCTGTTCTCGAGTCAGTAACCTTAGTATTGAGACTTGGTTTAAAAATCAATAGAAAGAAATGAATTGCAAATGACAATATCGCAAAGTCTGCTCCCTCAATTGAAGTAGCAGATAAAAAACCAATAGTTTGACAAAATCCATTGTCATAATAGGCAGAATGAGTGGACATGACTCTCGCCGGATATAATAGTAAAATAATTGACTTTAGTAAGTCAAAGAAGACTAAGAATGCAATGAGCTGATGTCTGAAGACTAATCTTCGTGGGTCGATGGCAAAAAAGGCATAAATGGCCACAAGGCAAAACAAAATGGACACTGTGCTAGAGCTTGTAGCTAATATCCGTTGTACAACCGATTGATGCCATGTGAATTCAGCTTCTTGGTTTTCAAGTTCTCTTCGGGCTGTGGACAATTCCTGTACCACCTCTAAGCCAAAAGGAATTATCATACCTAAATCTAGCTGTCCACTTCAGATTAGCCCTCCTTTCTGTGTTTGCCTGTATTTCCTTTATTTATCTTTTAGGTAGTAAAGCTAGATTTGAAAAATGACAAGAACTGACGAATATGCCTTTGATAAAATGTATAATTTATCCGGTTCCTAAGGCACTCCTGGGCACTTTTTGAGTTAAAAATAATAAGTAAGCCTACTAATTCCAGAATCCCGCCCTAACCAGCTATATTAAGTATTTTAAAAAATATTATATACAAATAGTATTTGTTCCGAGATGTAACACAAAAGAATTCGCTATCTAATAATTTTATTTTGAAGTATATGTCAAATCGAATATTTTTCAGTCAAGAAGAACTGAATGCCCTTAGAAGAACAGTAAAAGTAAGAAGAATCGAGACTTGGTAAGAATATTTACATATCTAGTCTAATTTAAAGAATTAGACAGATCAATAGAAGTATAAGAATCGAGAAATAAAGCGGAGAACTAAATTATTTCAACTCACTTCCAAATATGACAGTGAAAAATCGATCATACCACTTGCTCTGAATATTTCCGTCAGAAGATAAACCCTTCACCTTTTCTAGCTCTTGATAGAATTGCTCCTCGTGCAAATCAACCTCTTTAAGACCGGTCTGCAAGTCTACTTCGGAAGCTTTTCTCCATTTAGTTCTCTTAATTATTTTGTACCCAATGAAGATAGCAGCATCTATGAAGAGCATAAGGTAGGAAAACAAAAATGACTTCACATCCCACAGACCTGGAAGAAATATCGTGTAAGTGTTAATAAATATCATGACGAATGCAGAACCCCCACCAATAATGGCCAACCATGGTTGATACCATGATTTGAAAGGAAACGAGTCTCTATCGAGACCCTGTGCTTTGACTGCACGGTAAAAGAACACGTAGACGAAACAAAGTATAGAAAAGTTGAGTAATTGGCAACTAGTAATCAAGTTGATAATCCAGTCTAAGACGACGGAAGCTTGCTCACCTAATTGGAGAAATGAGATTAAAGCCCAACATAATGAAACCAAGACGCAATACATCGGAATACCTGTTTTCGTTGTCGCTGTTAAAAATTTAGGTGCTAACCCGTCTAAGGCGACTCCATAGAGGGTCCTTGATGAGCAATAAGTATAAGAGTTTCCTGCTGAGAAAGCTGCGGTAACTAACAAACCATTCACAATGTGTGGAAGCACGTTTATATTCATTTGATGCATCGCTATAACGTAAGGTGATCCACCAGCGCCTGGCTTGGAAGACGCTAAATTTGCGACCAAGTCATCATTATTATAAGGTATCAAAACACCAACGCAAAGAGCACCACCAATAAAGAAAATACTTAAACGAATGAAGACCTGTTTAAATGCAGAGGGTAGGGTTTTTCTGGGATTGATTGTTTCTGAGGCAACACTGGCGATATATTCAGGGCCCGCAAATGTGAAGCAGGCCTGGATTAAACAAGCTAAGAAGCCTTCAAATCTACCTAAGGCACCTGTATGGAGATACTCATTCATAGGACCGGGGTTGTTCCAATAGCGAAATCCATAAGCCTCATGCTGAGGATTGCCTCCCACCATAGTGATGAATGTAAACAAGATCAAACCAGTTGCCAAAACTACCTTACCGATACTTAACCAGAATTCTGTTTCACCATAGACTGAGACACCCAATGTATTGATGAAGAAATAAAGGACCGTTTGAATAACAAGTGGGATAGCAGGAGTGAAATCATCTCTCCAAAAGTGAAGAATTGTGTTCAAAGCTGTAATTTCAAAGGGAATTTGTGCACAGCATAAGAACCAAAAATTCCATGCTGTCATAACTTCTAAAGCTCTATCACAGCATCTACCTGCCAATCTCACAAAAGGTGAAGTTATTGGCATGTAAGATACCATCTCAGCCGTAGAAAGAGTGATAAATAAAATAGGAATTGACCATATGACAAATCCTAACAAAAGGTTTAATGGTCCACCTTCTGCAAGGGCCCTTCCAATCGCAACAAATAAAGCGGATCCTATGGTAGCACCAATGCCTAATAACTGTACATGTCTACCTCTCAATGACCTATGAAGCTGATTTATAGACTGACTAGTAGAAGTTGTCGATCGTGAATGTATAGATTCTGTGTCTTTCTTTTCGTCATGTTTCAGATTTTCTTGGACAACCTCTACTTCGTATTCAAAGAAAGCATTGTCTTCAACTAGAGATTGTTCTTTTTTTGGCACATGTGGGACAAAGTTGTCATGCAAAAAGCCAATTACAGATACCACCATTACTTTGAAAACTTAATCTTAAAAGAGCTAGCGAAGGATTTTTGCTGCACTGAACCTCTTTTATCGATGGAAGACTTAATGTTGCATCTAAAAGCGATTCTTTTCGTGAGGTTTTATTCCTTTTTCAAAATTTTTTTTTTTTTTTTTTTTTTTTTATTTTTTATTTTTTATTTTCTTGTAATTTGAAATTTGGGGTTATGAAGTCCCTGAAAGAGCCTTCTTTTTTTTTCGGTGGGTTAGCTACTAGCTTTACTTAAAGTACTGAGACTAGTGAATGACTAACTCGAATACCTCAACTGATTTAAAGATATTAAGGCCAATATTCATCACCCTGAGCAAAGTGTGAATCCTGCCTTGCTCTAGATGTAGGCGAGACTAACGAAAAAAGTACCAAAATTTGTCGTGGGGAACACCCTTAATAGGTAATATGCGGCTGATAAAATTTAAGAGAGCGTAGCACCCATATAATTGGAAGATTCTATTGATAGTCAAATAATAATAAAAATATACATGGATTCATACTAAAGCTTTTTCAATTTTTCTCTTTAAGATGAATTTTAAGGAACCTTTCTTTCAAAAAAAATAATAGGTTACATTTTCGAAAAAAGTATCGTTGGTAGAACTGGCTCTAGCAATATTTCAAAGTTAGGTTCAAGATACTCATACCATCATGCTAATGCAGTAGGAGATACGAAACTCAGCAATGGAGACGAAGTGGGGTTGTTACTGAAAGCGTAGTCTGGGTCCAAGATATTATGGTATGTTTTGGTTTTTTTGAGCCTCGGTTGTGTAGTGCAGAGGTCGATTAACGATCCTTTTATGGGCATACAGATAGTAGCCGACATCGTTATGTTCCAGTTAAGTTCGTTATAAGCGATATCCTGTAGGGCATAAAGTACTCTTCCGAGACTCTAATCTAATATTTTGTGGTTCGTAGCAGTTTTGGAGATGGGAGGCGTTAATTGCTGGATAGCAACCCATTTTTAATGTGTCGGCAAAAAACTATCTCTGTTGTCAGGACTTAAAAGTGTTCAGCATTTTTATCGCACAAGATTCCCCCCAAGAAACTTAATGGTTAATATAAGACTAGAACTAGTCTAAGTGCGAGAAAGATGTATATACCCTTGATAGGCCGCTTGTCGCTCAGCGAATGGCCAGTGATTCTTATATCATTTGCTTTAACTTGGATAGAGTATTTTGTGGCTGTAATCACTACCTTACTCCCAATTGGTGTTATCAATGCATTTTCGAAAGCACTCCTGATTTTTTATAGCTTCACGACCAATCCGATAAGGCTTCTCAACGTCGTTCGGGATGATGAGATTAAGTACAGCTACTTGGATCGTCGGTCGGGGACAAGCATAAGCTCCCAGGAGTATGATCGAATGATTGGATTGCTTAACAGCACTGATATTAGAGAGATGTGCCAGCTTTTTGGATATGATGTCGAGCAAAGACTTGTCAAGACCGATGATGGATATCTTCTCACAATTCAAAGAATTACAAAGCCCGGCAAACAGGCCAGAAGAAGCGGAAAAGTAATATATTTACACCATGGTCTTTTGATGAGTTGCGAGATTTGGGTCACCATGTTGGAGAAAAACTTAAACTTGCCATTCATATTGTATGATTTGGGGTTTGATGTCTGGTTAGGTAATAACAGGGGCAATAAATATAGCCAAAAGCATTTGTACTACAAGTTAAATTCAGAAGAATTTTGGAATTTTTCTCTCGATGAATTTGCATTGTTTGATATACCCAACTCTATTGATTATATCTTGAAGGAGACGGGAGAGAGCTCACTAACATACATTGGTTTCAGTCAGGGAACCGCACAAGCTTTTGCAAGCTGTTCGATTAACCCAGAATTGGATAAAAAGATAGAACAGATAATTGCAATATCTCCCGCAACAACGCCACATGGACTATATTCAAAATTTTTAGACATTTTATTAAAGTCATCACCTGGCATCGTGTACTTGTTATTTTCCAGAAGAATTTTGATGCCTTCAGTAATATTTTGGCAAAAGATTATGTATCCTCCATTTTTTGATACGATGATTGATATATCGAATTACATTCTATTTAATTGGAAATCTCAAAATATAACTAAAATTCAGAAGTTGTGTTCTTATGCTCATTTATATTCGACAACGTCAGTGAAAACGGTGGTCCACTGGTTCCAAATAATTAGTCATAAAAATTTTCAAATGTATCATGATAATTCCCTGTTGACTGGCCTCAATCCAATTTCATATCCTTTAAAAAATATAAAGATACCAATTCATCTCATTTACGGTACTTCAGATTCTCTTGTGGATATAAATGTCATGAAATCACAACTACCGGAAGAACATACGACTGCTCATGCAGTTGAAAACCATGAGCATCTAGACAACTTATGGGGCTATGATGTGTACGATAAGGTATTCAGGCATGTATTGGAGTATCTATATGAGTCGTATTCTTTGGATCCTACTAGTCCTAATGCTTCTATTGCTGATAGCTCAAAAACTATATATAAATCTCATTTGAAGGCTGCAAACGACCATGAGGATATTTTTTTCAATGGAGAGACCGCTGTTGATAATAGTGGTGATGTGATACGAAGAAATCCATCAACTGGAGGCTCTGTATTTATATAGGTAATATTCTAATCTACACCGTAAAATCGATACCATTGCTCAGCATTTTGATTGTCTGTTGCAAGCTCTCTTCCCGTTTGGGAAGTGTAGAGGTCGTTCCCAAGGCGAAAATGTATCATTTTTTAAGTGTTGCACTTGCTAGTCTTTTTGGCAGAAACTGATATCAGTAGTCCGTGACTATAGACTAAAGCGCCCAAACAGACCCTTTTTCTGGGTTAATCATGTCATACAATATGGATGTGGAAGACGTAAGTTTGAAAAAGGTAGTTCGTGACTGGATTCAGGGTACAATTTAGAGGCTACTAGTTGTATTTTACATTCTCTGTTGTCGCATTTGAACTTCAGTTGGAAGATGTGGATAAGTGCCAGAATTCAAGGTCAGATCAATCACGAGGGGACATTCATATTAACTAAAATAGCAGGATAGAGTTGAAAATGAAAAGTTTCGCCCTGAATGTAAGTATTTAAAGTGCTCAAATTTTTTTTGTGTTTGAAGAACTAACGAATGTTTAGCGTTGATTAAACGGATGGAAGCACATATCCCTAGGTCGTCATCTCATATCAGCCAACTTTCACCGTCCTTAGGTAGTGATGACCCTATTTTAACTGATTTGATGAAGTTAAGTCCTCATAAACCTTCAATAGTAACGAAAGACGACAGGCGAGAGAGGCCCCCCGAATCAATAAATGAATATAGCAAAAAGATCAACGTTCTATTGACACAACTTAAAGAGAAATCAAAGGTTCTTGAAAATCAAAGAATATCTTTTGAGGCTGCCTTATTTGATTTGACTTCTTATATTCCAGTTTCGTCGATCATTACCAAAGACTCATCCGCACTGCAAACTATATATCCAAATGAAACCTTATCTAAAATCTTAGTGGACAACTATAGTGATCTTATAGAATTGTCATCAAATTATTTCAACTTGTCGTTGGCTTCTCATGTCACAAAGTATACTGTGGAGCTCATATACTCATTGCAGTATTGGGAGGTTTATCATTTAGTTTACCTAATTCCCAACCTCAAGTATTTCTTGAAATTATTAGGTTTCGAAATATTTCAAACTCCTTTCGGTGTACTAGTCAAACCCCCACTCACCTATGTTGAGGAATCTATGCTAGGAGGCTTACAATACCCTTTTCCCTATCCTTTTTACAATTATTCTTATCACTCCTTCGATGAAGATACAGTTGCTTCTAAATATTCTAAGATCAAGGTTAATCCTTATATTGATATCACGTTGAAGAATGTAAATCGGCAACGAAAAGTGGCCGATGAGAAGTCTAGAGCTGGAGCTAGAATTGGCAACTTTAATAATCAATCACCCCTCCTGACGCCTCCAAGAGCCATATCTAGGAGTAAGTATAGCAGATATCAGGACAAACATGATGAAGGAGATGAAGAGGATGAGGAGGAGGAGGGGGAAGAAGAAGAGGAAGAAGATGACGAAGAGGAGGAAGAGGACGAGGAAGAGGAGGATTACGGCGAAGGGGAAGAGAATGATAGTAGAATGCTCGAAGAGAATATGATGAGTAGTGCTACAAATCATGGAGATATGGCTAGCTCGCCAACAGGAGCATCAAGTAAAAACGATCATAAACAGGAATTAATGTTTATACTGCTTTCTCCGGCAGCTGGAAATAGCAAAACTTCTGCGCCTGGTGGAAGCTCTAATTCTGGCATGGCAGGCTCGAATGAAAAGAAAAACAAATCTAAATCAGGGGTAATTCACCAGTGTCATCTTGTCGATCCGAATACACTTAGGTCATGCTTGAAGATATTTTATGGGAAAAATGAGCTCCTTCGTCATCAAGAATTCGTACACGCTACAAAGAAAAAAATATATAAATGTATCTATTGCTCACGTAATGGCTCAAAGATACAAAGTTACCCCAGACATGATTCCTTGGCTCGTCATATCAGAAGAAAGCATGGGATTACTGGAAAGGAGAATAAAATGGCAGTCAATTATGCAAAGGAAAATGTGGAAATAATTGATGATCCTTCTCAAATCAACATTAATTTGAGAAAACGCCGATCAATAACTGAAGAATCGATTGAACAAGATAAAAAGATGAAAGTGGATAATCTGGATGGAGAGTCACAAAGTGAGTATCAAGAAAAGCAGCTGGAAAACGATAAGCGCCAGACAGACCATGATAATAAGAGACAGAAAACTCTGCAAGATCCACTACCTCACCCAGACTTTTTAAATCCCGACTTTACTATTAAAGCACCATTTGCAGACTTTTTACTGTTTAATAGTAGAGAACGTCCAGAGCCTCGTGCCAATTATCCGAACAGAACTCCTTCGCTGAGAGGAAATACGCTACTTGATGTTCTTGAACTTCCACCTATCGAGAGCAATACAGGTCAAGCTGTATCTCATCAACAGAAAAATTTGCAGAAATCTCCAATTGAGCGATACAGCAAAGAATACCAACCCGAAAAATTTAAGGATATGTCCTTGAAAGATAATTTTCAAAAGTTTCGCATCAGCCAACCTAGTCGTCTGCCTCCTCATCATACACACTTGTCCCAGCTTGACAAAAATCATAGGCAAACAGACCAAAGCTTTCAAAAATATCCAAGAGAAGAGAATTTACAGCAAGAAAAAATCAAAATACATGACTTACCTTCTCCCCCACAAACTCAGCCGCAATTGCAGCTTAATTCTTTAAACCAATATTCAAATATCCATAAACTTCCTCAAGTGCACCTGATTCAGCCACCACCACCTCAATTTTTACATCTGTTCGTGTCTCACAACCAACAGATCAGACCTTCACAGACTTTTGAAACACAGCACCCATCCAGCACACCAGGAGTTCCATTTACTGCCATGAATCCTCAGCAGTTTTATCAGTTTGAAGCTAAGCCTAAAAACGATAAAAAGTCCATGGAACTATCTTATATAAATTCTGACTCCAAGAGAAAATGAATATATAGATTGAATATAGGTATTGTAAAATATAGATTGGTTGCAAAAGGTTACACAAAACCAAAACCCGGGTAAGAGTCTAGAGTCGTGCTGACTGGATGTTTTTGGCAGACGATTTTTTCTATTATTGCAGTCAAAAAGGGCCAAACAAATAGGTTCGTTAAATATCCTAGCTCAGCATACTTTTTGACCTTCACATACAACTCCTGGGAGCTTCTAGGGCTTTATTTTTATTTTCTGGACAAAAGAATTTTAAACGTTGTTCTAATTTGGTCCTTTCTATCTTAAAAGAGAGAGCTCCTTTCGTTACTTTTTCACACCCTAAGATTAAAATATTAAGAAGACAAATATAGGCACTCTGCCGAAGGAAAGTTTTCTTGAAGGTCATATAAATATTGCGGGTGGTGAGCGTGGTGATATTGTTGGATTCAAATGAGCTTTTCTCTTGATCTGATTCCTCGGAGTCAAGAAGAAGTCGCAGAATCACTGTCTAGTGACATCGATCAGGATATACCAATACCTCCTGAAGAAGTGGCAAATTTACTAGTTAATGGAAACCCACAGTCTATTGAAGAGTATAGTGAACATTTACACAAAATTTCAATCATTCTTTTTGAAGGATCTTTTAAAGAACATAGTATAGAGTTGAAAAATAAGTTTTACTCCTTAATGGATCGTCTAGAGGATTTCATAAACTTGGAAGATCCAATTCACTCCAAATTATATTTGATAGTTGAGAGAAATTTTGACATATTCATTAAAATATCTATTGGTCGAGATCATGTTGATTTGTCAACAAGAACAATTCGATTTTTAACAAGAGTAATTATGAACTTGAACTATTGGGAGGTGTATAATTTACTAACCTGGAAACCTGCTATATATCATTTTCTTACGGTGATACAATTTGATTTAAGTGAATGTTATGCAAAATTTATTAGTGACTACTCGAAGTACAACAGCATTGAAATTGCTCAAGAGGAGCCTGTTTTGAAACGAACTATAAAAAGGACTAGGAGAGAAAGAGAGGAAACACCTGAGTCAGACAGCTCTACGTCATTGACTAATGAAGATAATTCGATCAGATCGAGCTCTAATACTCCGTCATCACTATTTTTAACTAGTGTTCCAAATGAAGAACATGACAAATTTGTATCAGAATCTTTAGCTGGACTAACCCCCAAAGAAAAAAAGAGAATACGAGCTGACGCCAAGCTCGCTGCTCACAGAGTGATTAAGAAACCTGCGGCAAAACCCTCTAACAAGTCTTCTAACTATGATCCAGATGTTGTACACGAATGTCAGCTACCGTCGGCTGATGAACCGGGTAAGCTTTGTCTTCGTCGTTTCTCAAGAAAGTACGAATTGATTAGACATCAGGAGACAGTACACTCAAAGAAAAAGAAGTTATTTAAGTGCTATGTTTGTGTGAAGCAAAACCCAAACATTGGACCGAGGATATTTACTAGACATGATACTCTAGCGAAGCATATCAGAGTCAATCACAAGATCTCGGGAAAGGAAGCAAAAGCCGAGGTGGCTTATTCAAAAAAACACGCAGAAGTTGTAGAAGAGGGTGATATAACGGTACATGTTGGGCGGCGAAAAACGAAAGTTGATTTTGAATTGAGAGCACATATGGAAAAGAGAAAGATGGCCAAGGGCCCTGATTACGATGACTCGGGTAACTTTGATTCGAACATCGATATTAGCGACGATGAAATATTGTCAGAATAACGCATTTTAATTCGATCAAGAACAATTCTAAGGATTTCGAATACATTACTGTATTGTATATCTAGATACATTCAAAATTCAATTTTACGAGACTTTTTGATTAATACAGCTTTTCATACTCCTGTTGCTCTATAATAGCTCTCTTAATATCCTCATCTTCCAAGTCTTCAAATATGTCCTTGGGGATTGCTCCCAACCCAGTAAACTTTCGACGAATATTTGAATTCTTGAATCTCATGTCGTAAACAATGGTATCATCTTGAGAGCCACCAACTTTCTTGACCTGACATTTTGTGGGCTGAGTACTTCCGGGATAGAAAGTCAACCCTGTGTAAGTGTCCCTTACTCCCCTTATTAAAGCCAGATTTCTCTGTTCTCTTAATTTTGTATTGTAATCTCTAGTTTGGACAGCAATCTGGTACATCCAGGTAGGGTCGCTTTGATAGTTTACAAGAGGAGCACCAACGACAATAGGAGCAGGTGTCTGATTAGAGTTAGCATCAGAAAGGATGGCAGACTTATTGTATATGCTGTACATCTCGCCAGGGTCCGCATACTCTCCAGGCACGTCACCATTATCTATTGCTCTTTGTTCCCAAAAGTCATCAATAACTTTTTTCCCATCCTTAATCATCTTGGCACCAAACTCTCGGAATATCGATCTTGCAGCTACCAAGTTCACTGATCTACCTTTGTAAGAATTGGGTATTATATGCCTATCGATTAGATCCATTTTCTCTTCGTTCGTGCATACTTTTTTGAATAAAGATCTATGGGTTTTGAATAGTAGATATGAGTCTCGAAATCCAACTAGCCTGGCTGGTTCTGTGGATACCATATAAAGCTTATCACCGTTACCTAAGACGGTGAAGGTTTTTACACGAAATTGCCTACCGTCTTTAAGATGACCCTGCTTGTCAATTTTCTCGACTCCCTTCGGGTCCTCATTATCTATCACGACCTCATCATCATCTATGTTTAAGGGGTTACCTTCCTCGTCAAAGGCACCATCTTCCAAATATGTTATTTTCATCTTCTTACGTCCCCTTTTCTTAGGAACTTTCCTTTCGACCTTTACTGGCTTCGATTTTTGTTCCTTAGACTCTTGTTCCACATCTTCATCACCGTCATCCTCTGCATCATCCTCTTCTGCATCATCGTCCTCTTCAGCATCGAGCTCTATATCATCATCCTCAGCATCACCGTCCGCATCACTTGTGGCTCTCCGTTTCCTTGATTTGGCTTTTCTTTGTAGTGGCTTCTCTGACTCCTCGTCCGATTCAGCATCGGGATCTGAATCTTCTTTTATTAAAGAATCATCATCTTCCTGAACAGGCTCGCTGTATTCTTCGTCGTCGTCATTATCATTAATTTCCAAATCAGAACTGCCGCCTTGACGTGACAGCCTTACCTTTCTCGATGAACGTGTCGCATCTGGTGATCCAGAAGATCTCCTTAAGCGAGAATTAGCCATCTATAATAGTCTTATTTAATTAAACACGATCTAATGTAGTACTACAATAAAGTCAATAAACGAACTTCGAGAATAAGGTAGTGTAAAATGGTTAAAATAGCTCACAACTATATTGCGTATATACAAGATGTCTATAGAGATGAAGTAAGATAGGACTTGTAAGAAGTCTTGAATTTCAAATGTGATAACAGTTTAGTCATCTTTCTTATCCTTTGAGCCTTTTTTGTCATTTTCGAGACTTTCATCATCTGCAAAAGGTGCTCTACCTTCTAAATATTTGTCAAAAGCATCATTGTTTTCTGGCCATGGACGCTTACCCAACAATCTAATCATATCTTCTCTAGTGATAAATTCTTTTTTCAATAACTCTTGTGCCACTAGCTCGACAGCTTCAGCTTTCTCCTTCAATAGAGAACGACACTTATTATAACAATCGTTTACAATTCTTTTAATTTCTTCATCAATGACTTCATTAGTCTCGTCACTGAACGGTTTTGTTAGATCATCGGAGGAGTGAGTGTCAGCGTAGTTCACCATTCCAATTTTTTTTGACATCCCGAATTTAAGCACCATCGCCTGTGCGATACCAGTAACTTTCTTGAAGTCATCATGTGCTCCGCTCGTAACAGAGGAGAAATGTAATTCCTCAGAAACTCTGCCACCGAGAGTCATGATCATACGATCGTATAACTGAAGTGCAGACATTAAATATTGATCAGGAGGCAAGTATTGTGCATATCCAAGAGCCCCTTGTCCTCTAGGAATGATTGAAACTTTTAGTAAAGGATGAGCATATTTTAAATACCAACCACATACCGCGTGCCCGGCTTCATGATAAGCGACAATTTTTTGCTCTTCAGGGTTAAGGACTTTGGACTTCTTTTCAACACCACCAATAACTCTTTCAATTGCTAATTCAAAGTGCCTTAAAGCAACAGCTTTTGCATTATAGCGAGCAGCAATCAAAGCAGCTTCATTACAAACATTTGCAATATCTGCGCCTGAGAATCCTGGCGTTAATGCTGCTAATCTACCCGATAAATCAGGGTCAATATTCGGGACCAATTTAATTTTCTTCAAATGAACATCAAATATTTCTTTTCGATCCTGAAGTTCTGGATTATCAATAGTAATATGTCTATCAAAACGACCAGGTCTCATAAGTGCTTTATCAAGAATATCAACTCGATTAGTACCTGCTAGAACTACCACATGGTCGGAAGTATCAAAGCCATCCATTTCCACCAAAAGCTGATTTAAAGTAGTCTCACGCTCATCATTCGCACCACTAGCATTGCCTTTTGATCTTTGCTTACCAATCGCATCAATTTCATCTACAAAAACAATTGAAGGCGCATTTTCCCTAGCAGTTTTGAATAGATCGCGGACTCTAGAAGCCCCAACACCAACAAACATCTCGACAAACTCAGAACCTGAAACAGAATAAAAGGGCACACCAGCTTCTCCAGCAGTAGCTTTAGCGATCAAGGTTTTACCAGTACCAGGAGGACCAGATAAAATTGCACCTCTTGGGATCTTGGCACCAAGTTTTTCATACTTTTCGGGGTTTTTTAAAAATTTAACGAATTCCATAACTTCTTCTTTTGCTTCTTTCATCCCAGCAACGTCTTTGAATCTGATTTTAACATCAGTGTCCTGATTAAATTTCTTAGCAATTGATTTTCCAAAACCCAAGGGACCACCCATTCCGCCCATACTTGCCTTCTTTGTCATATAATAAATTGCGCCTAAGAATAATATAGTTGGTAAGAAGTTGATAAGCATCTTAGTGAGATTGCCTTCATTCACGTACACTACAGGAACTCTCATTGCTTCCGGAATTTTAAATTCCTCCTGAACTTCTCGCAAGCTACGTTCGAAGGATTCAATGCTCCCAATATTAAAGTAATACTGTGTTTCATACTGTGCTTTACCTTGATCATTCAATTCAATAACGGCCGTCTTGTTATTCACAACAACAACTCTTGAAACGAGATTTTTATTTAAAAATTGAGACGTAAATTCTTGGAAGGATATTTCATTGTTATGATCTTGAGTCAAGCTGTATATCATGTAAAATAAAAGCCCTCCCAAAATTCCTATTTGAAAATACCTCGCAGTCGGACTGTTAAGATTAATTTCAAAGTCAACCTGCTTCTTATCTTTATTTCCATTCTTCTTTTCATTTTCGGTTTTGTTATTTTTACTCAGACTGCTCTTATGCGTTTCGTCAAATTTGCTTTTGTCTTTGTGATTACCGTAAAGCTTAGAGAGATTTCTTTCAATTTGCCCCACTTGGTCAGCAAATGTCTTGAAGCGAGCGTACTCATATGGACAAATTGCACATGTAAACCTTTCATTGCCATCAGAAAATGGGACTGAAGAAAGAGTCTTGAAAATATTGAACCAACCTTCTACAACGTTTTCATTCAATTTAAGATCAGATGCTGTTTCTTTTGATTTATAAGTTAAGTCATCCGTAGGCTCCAAGTTGACGAATTTATTCTGTATCTTTGAAACAATATCATTTTCGAATTTTAACTCATCTAAAAATAATACGTTATTCAGAAGTCCATAATAAATATTAAAATAAAAAAGAACGTCGTCTTTAGTAATGGGGATTTCTTTAGGATACGTTTCCTTAAATTGCGTGATGATTTTCTCAATTATGGAATCTGGATTAACATTTATAGTCATACCGTTTGTGTATGTCTTACACTCATCAATATATTTGCTTAACATAAAAGCATAAACGACTTCATAATGCTTAATGTTGTCAATATCTAAGGGATCAGCGGAGAATGTGACAGATGGAATGGAGATGTTGTCATCAATTTCTTTTGATGATTGTGCTTCTGTTACTCGAGCTTCTTGCTCCATCAACTTTCCACGCAACTTTAAACGTTCAAAGAAACCAGCATCGCGGTATTTATCTTTCAACGTCTTTAGTTTCCTGATTTCCTTATTAACTTTATCCTGATTAGACTCATGTCTCTTGATGTCAAAGAGCCTCACAGAGGAACTTAAGCTCCTAGCAGCGAAAAGAAAGCTTGAGAGTCCGAATTTCTGTCTTAAAATAGGAGACGAAACTCTCCTCCCTATCCGCAAACTCATCTTCAGGGGGGAATATTTTGAGCTTTTTGTTGAACTTCTTCTACAATATGTTTCCGGTGATATATTCTCAAATTCGCCTTCAGTACTAACATTAAAGAAGCTTGACTGCCTAAATAGGAAACAAGAGGCTCAGACTTTCTCGTAGTTTTTCGTTACTCGATTTTCGTAAATTTATCTACTGCCAACTGAAATTACAGCACAGAGCACCCAAGTGGTTACCTTGGTATAATGCTTTAAGGAGAAGTATATGTGAGATTTTTGAGAAATGCAAGCGAGTAATTTGCTTTGAAATGGTTGTTGGTCAGTTTATGAGATTTAAACTGATGTCTCTGAGAAGTTTACTTGAATGATGATTCAACTACCGTAGGCTATCATGGAGGTTTAGATGTATACAGCTTATATTAAGATCATTTTAAAAAATAAATATGAGACGAATTGTGAAATTTTCAAGATCTTTGATCTTTAACGACAAGAATAGTAAGAGTTATCATTTTAATTGATGAGCGGACAAACCACTAGACAGGAGTTCAAATATTATCAGTTTTCTTCTAACTTCAAAACTGCTGTTACTGGTCTGTGGTCACTAAACCGGTAGCCATCATAGAGGTTATCAACCACTTCATGACTGAGAGCAGAAACAGGCGATCCTTCATTGTTGGTATTTTCAGTAGCCCAAATAAAGTCAATTGTTCCTCCAGTGAGATCATCTTGGGGATTGAAGCCAGAATAGGTAGGTAAGCTATCGTTGATATGTTTGTAGGCAACTAACTCAGTATCTTTCATATGTTGTGCGACAGTAATATATGCTGTGTCGTTTCTAAGAGAATTAAAATCACCACTGAAAAACGTTTGGGCGGTATTCGGTACCTCAGACATATAAGTAAGGATCTCGTTAACCCCAAAAGTTCTTGCATCTTGACTTTGTTGATCAAGGTGAGTATTGAAATAGTTCAATATTTTGCCTGTGGCTTTATGTTTAAATGTTGTAATAGTGACGATTCTTTTAGTGTCAGCCCCAGGAAAGATACTGGGGGTAAGAGGAGTCGTACTGAGCCATCTGGAAGTGCCATTAAGCAATTCCCAATCGTTGGTATTGTATAAAATGGGAGAATATTCTCCTGCTTCTTGACCATCATCCCTTCCAACCCCGAAGTGAGTCCACGGGTAATCCGATGAATTTGTTTGCTCGTTTAGACCTAACTTGAGATCAATCAATTGATTGTGCAAGCACTCTTGAATACTTACCAAAATTGGAAGTGATGTATCTTTCGATTTGATTGCATTCAAAACACCAGCTTTTCTAACTTCCCAAGGCTGCTCATATTCGAACAAGTTCGTAGCATTATATCTGATATTGTTGGAGTAAATCCTGAAAGTAAATCCGTCATCCCTTTTAGCGTGAACTATCTCAAAACGCTTCGAGATTGTAGCTCTTTCGCCTACTCCTGCAACCCATATAAAGCCAAATAAGCTGAAGACGAGGAGACAAATTGTAGAAGACACAACGTTTGAATGAAAACTGAATGGTTTTATCATGTTTGACCTTTTTAGTCTATTGCGTTATTATCAAGGTTGAATAACTTTAAAATGAATTTTCATTCTGCGCTCTATGATGTTCTCTTTTATGTTACGCCTAATCGTAGTGCGTCATAGTATGGTGAACGTGGATCTTCCTTGTATTCATATCCTTCATATTTTCCAGCAATCTGATTGTACATTAGGGCCACATTGGCCCTGATTTGCAAATCAATAATTGGCTTTGGGGTGTGTTGCACTGAACCAATCTCTATCGTTCCCCAGTTGTGGTTGTCTATATTTTTGCATCATCGATCCTGTATATAAGTATACTCAATACGGATTAGTGCAGCATCGCTGGATTTTCGATTAAAGCATCATATTATCCGAAAGACTCTGACGGCTGCTAAAACAAGCATGCATAGATCTTTTTTTTTGTAGTTTAGAATCATACTCAAAGGCTTGATTTCCTATGAGAAAACATAACAAGAATACACTAAAGACTGATACAAATCAATATACCTTCCACTTGATCTACACGTTGTCGCGGTCGCACAGTAAAACTTACGTCCAAATGCTAGGCCACTTTAAAGACAATAGCTAGCAAAACGAATGAAGAGCGCAATTACTTTATCTTAGTAAGTCCGCCTGTATATTTCTTAGGACACAAACGATTGAAATTTCCAACAGAGCATTGCGCATTATCATCCGACTTCGTGGCATTTGTACCACCTGGACCCTTGCATGTTCCATCTTGGAATATGGATGTAATTGAACAATGCGCAGGAACGTTTGAACATGTGTTCCAATTTGTTCACGGACCTCCTTTGAGATTAACATACGATGCCGTACATTTCACACTACGACTCCGGTATATCGGTGCATCGACGGATAGACTTCAAATTGAAATATTTCAGCCCAAGACTTTCTGTACCTAATAAAGACTTGATTATTGTTTAGTGTATTAGATATGGTATGCATTATAGACGAGCTTAACTGATCGAAGATTATGTCGTTAATTTAAAATCAGTATACTCGAACCAGTACGGCATTCATGCACATTAAACAGTTCAACGTGGTCGTTGTTCGATGATACTTCATTTGTCTAAAAGAAGCAACGTAATTACAAAAAAAATATAATCTAAGCCTTCTCAATAGTGAAGTTGGAAAGTCTACAAGAAAACGTATATAATTTCAATAAAATCTATTACAGCATTGTGAATATAAGTAGCTAATTGAGCTATATTGCTGAAAAGAACTTAATTTATTTCCTATGTCAAATTACCCTTGCAGACAAAATGAAAAATGAGAAATGGGACATGAGAAATGAGGATGCTATTATAGTATAATTCTATATGTTACGTTATCTCCTAGTTTTTCTAGTCAACTCAGGTAATTTGAATGGCACTTTCAAAGTGGCAACTTTATATGTGCTTGCGGTAATCTTAGGGATACCGAATGCCTCAGCTTGTGCAGCAGTGGCAGACTTAACAGTTGCTCCCAAAGTCTTACAAATACTTACAAGCTTTGTGGGTTTTATGTTTAGCTCATGAGCCAATGGAGGCAATTCAACAGCAAAATCATCAATGTGTAAGGTCAAGGCGACGAGATAGCATAAAAGTTTATCCTCATGCTGGGGATCTATCACAAACGACCTATCTTTCGATTTACCAAATTGAGTTGCTCTTTGCACTGCAAATCTCTCCAAGATTCCATCTATAAGCACTTCAGAAGGTTTATTTTGCAATCTATCCATTAAAGTTTGTTTATCCTTAACTCTTCTATTCTCATAGACACCGAAGAGTAACGATGTGTAGTAAGCAACCTTCAATTTCTCAGTATCTTTCCTGTCAACAAGCTTAGGAATCCTCTTTGAAATGTAAATAGATTTATTATAAGGCAAAAGCTCCAACCTTTTCTTTTCATCATCTTCATTTAAAATAGGATTAACACGAAGAAGAGACCACTCCTTTTCTGGTATAATGTTTTGAAGTGGATAAATATCCTCAACGTTAGTAGCATCAACATTCGCCGCGGGAGTGGGCCTATCATTGCTGACAACTTGCTGCATTTCTGCTCCAGTTGGTATATCTTGAGTAGATTCCTTGACATTCTCCACGATGTCTAACTCCGCATCTTGAAGTTTTTCTGAATCGATCCTGTTTCGTTCTATATTAGTGATAGCAGCCCTAGCTTTTTTCGTTCCAAATGCCTCACCTAACGCATTACGCTGAAGATAATTCTTAATTCCGGCTTGCTTCACCGCTGGACCTTTATATGATCTCTTTGACTTACTGAGAATATGCCCTCTGACGAAAGGCGCCTTTTGCAAATCGACTGACTTATGAACTGGATCATATATGGCAACAAAGTATTCACTATCATCTTTATTGTCTGTTTCACCGTTATAGTCCAATGAATTATTCTCACCATGGAGAATATAGTCATTTGACTTCTTATGCTTATATAGGTTGAAGTCAGATTCTGGTGGAATAGAGATCCCATTAAAAAAGGAACCTACAACCAAAGATGGGCTCTCATCATAAGAAGCTATTCTAAGATCTAAGGCTCTTGTATCTGAAGGTCTTTTCATCTATGATATATGCTTCACTTGATCTTCTTAAGCTTCAAATGCGAGAGCAGAAATTTTTTTTTTCTAAAATTTGGCTTTCTTCTACACGTGAAAATTAGAGATGAGATGATCAACACTTTCCATTCAAAGTCTAACGAGCTCAAAGTCAACAATAAAATTAATGGATCGATGGAGTCAAAATCGTGATAATGGCAGATCATATTATGATATTCTAGGCGTAAGTCCTACGGCAGTGACTGAGGAAATAAAGGTAGCATATAGAGAGAAGTTACTATCGATTCATCCTGATAAATCAGGCAAACACGATGATCAAAATCAAGTTGTAATTGTAAAGGAAGCTCATAGAGTTCTCCTGGATACGAAACTGCGGCAGATTTATGATAAAAACTTGGCTAGTTCAGTTAAGGGCCAGGGGTTCATTCTTAGTGGTGACGGCTTAGATTTATATAATTTAAATGATTTTACCGTCGAAGAAAATAACGAGAGCTTGATATGGTATAAGGATTGTCCTAGGTGCCAAAAACGAAGAGGAATGATGCTTTCTGAGAATGACTTGCAAATAAATGGTACTGAAAATGGAATTGGTGGATACCAGATTGTGGTGCAATGCGATAGTTGCAGTCTTTGGATTTCTGTAGAATACTACGAGGAAAGTGAATCAGAGTAAAATTCTTAATCTTTATAAATAGTAATTATGCATAACTATCATCAAGTCAAGGTATCACAAGAATCAGGACTAGACGTATGGTCTCGAAGTTTTAATAGACGATTATGCTTTTGCTTTCGTTTCTTCTCGTCCCATTTCTTTTCGGCTTCAAACACTGCACCAAGTGCGAGTCCCATGGCTTTAAAATCTGTCATAAGGTTGACATGACCGCATTTGCTAGGGAACTTTCCCACTATTTCACCTTCAGAAGTCTCGTGGTCGTAAAATTTGAAGCCTTTCCTTTCAGGCATTAACCACTTTTGATGAACAACACCATCGCCATGACCATAATAAAACTGGTAATAGTTTCCTTGTTTTATATCTTCAAGGCTATGTACACAGGACCCTCTCACAGAAGGCACCCTATTACCGTAAACAATAGCCAACGGTGGGTATTCGCATGCTAGATCTTCTCTATAGTCTAGACCTAAAATGAATTTCTTAGTCAGTGCTAAAGTCTCCTTTAGGTAATTGTAGGCCTGTTTAAATGTAAATGAGAAACTCAAATTACTTTCATCAGATTGACCGTTCGAAGGTGATAACAATGGAGGGGATTCCGACTTCAAAGAAGATGTGGATGCTAAATTAGATGAGAGACTGCTTTCTAAGTCTGCTGGTTTATGCTTTCTAGACAATGACTTACTCCGGTATATTCTAAACTTGGAGCTAATGCTATTAATTGACGGAAATGATCCTCCAGATTCAGGTAGCTGAAGATTAGGTGATTTATTTTGTTCCATCAACTTCCTTTTTTTAGAAACTAAAGGATTTAAATTAAATTCGACCCAAGTGTCAGGATTGAAGTAGTCTAGGTCATAGTGTTCGTGGGTTTCAGGGTTTACAAAAACTCTTCCACTTAGTGGTAAGAAAAGGAAGCTCGATCTCATCATGAAATTTGTCTCGAAAGTTAATATCTTGTCTGACAAGATTACCGAGTCTCCAAACCTTATTGGACCTAGAATATTCAAGCATTCGCTTGGCAGTCCGACATAAACTATTGATCGGAATAGTTTTGGGTTTTTTTGGAGAGCCCCATGTGCAATTATGCCTCCCATTGAGTGTGCTATTACTAATGTTGGCTTACCAGTTTCATTATATATCTCGGTCAAGAATTTAACTAATTCCTCAGAAAGAAGCTCACCACTCAATCTCCAGTCATAACCAAACTCTTTCACATTAGTGTTAGGATTAGATTCAAGCTTCTTTATTAGTCTTTTGCAAATATCTATTGGACCAATATTTTTCAAGACACCATCGGGATAAATAAAACGAGATGCATTCAACTCATCATCTTTCGTGGGTCCCAATAATAAATTAATCTTTCTCAAGTGAAAGCCAGCTTTTATTGGAATCCATACCCGTTTGTGCGTTTTAGCGTCTCTCAAAATCGACCCTCTGTAACCTCCCATTATCACAATATTACCGTCAATATCGTCATATATCGCTTCCCAATCTTCCTTCGTCCTCTTGTGGATAAATTCCGGAAGCATTTCGTTGATATTACTTGTCAAAGATTTCTTAACAGCTCTTAGCCTGGCGTCATCAGTGCCCTTGAAATGCTTGAAATATTGAGCTTCCTCTATCGTGCTTATCAGCTGTTGCCTTTGAAGTTTGTCTCTTATATCATCCTTTATATCATCATGTGATGGACTAATTATTGGAAGATAAGGTTCAAATTTAAAAGACAGTATTTTAGATCGAATCGTAGATAATCCACCAAAAGGTAATGAAAAGGAAAAAACCTTCTGGGAATCGTCTTGTACATCTTGTGGCACCTTAGCTGGCTTCGGACCTTTCTGTTCTCTGATATCCTTATTTTCTGTCAAATCAACAACAGACTCACCACCCACAATAGAGCTTGCATCAGTTCTGGAGAACCTTCGCCCTATAAGTGGAACCCGGTGTCCTGTTCTTTCATCTATATTCTCTTTTTGCCCCCCAGGGACAAAATAATCCATCGGCTCTTCTGATGAGAACTCATCTTCTTCAGCTCCTTCCCCGTCCCCATCGTTGTATATGTCATTATTCTCATCATGTAGCTCTAATGAGGGACCATGTTCCGGTTTATCCTCAGATCCTGGTGGCAGTTTGGACATGCTTTAGTTACCGCTCACATATAAAATTCGAAGATGCGATATTTGCGATTTGACGTCAAAATTAGCGTTCCATAATTTCGCAACAAAAAACTACAAACAATATCGTGACTAACGGATATGTATCTTTTGAGGTTAATTTTCGGGAAGCATGCTTATGAAGTACAAGTTTAGTATGATTAAAGATATACAGGTGTCAAAAATAATACAGTTCCAATCAATAATTTGATCTGAAATCGAAATGAAGGAGCACTAGAGCGGACCGTAGTCTTAGTCAGACCATGAATTTTGGAATGTCTCGTTTGTCCATCAACCAGAACAAACTGGGGTTCTTCAGTTTTCTTCGATACCTGCACTTGAATTGATTTGGTCACCAAAGGCTCCTTATTGTCAGCAACAACTTGACTTTTATACCTTACAATGTGATCAAGCAGAGTTAGGGCTTCGAGTTCCGTACCCAATCCTTCAATACATTGTTTTTGTACCCCTGTGTGCTTTTTGGAAGCTTCGGACCCCGAGAACAATCGTCTAAAAGTATTTTTTAACTTTTGGCTAACGATGCGAATCAAATTTAACTTTATACTCTTCATGACTCTTGCTTTAGCCCTGTTTTGCTTCAACGCTTTTCTTAATATTATTTCATAAATGACATCTAAACTTTTATTTTCGGACGATATGTTGCTCAGATGACGCGGAAGCTCTGACGAATTAGCCAAAGTATGCGCTTTAGAGGCGTTAATGTCAGTCAGAATTTTGAGAGAGTTGGTTTCATCGCTCATCAAATATTTGTGCACAGATTTGACTCCATTACGGAACAAGGCCGCATTATGTGTCCAAGTAGTTGCATTAAATATTGTTGCTCTTAAATTGGAAGGCCTTGTCGAATCCCTTATGAGTCCTCCCAAAACATATGTCTTCCTTACGAGCCTGTCTTTGAGTTTTCCAGCAAGCTTGAGTACCACTGGTCTCATGACACGAAGAATCAAGTCATCTTCAGACAATTCCCCTTGCGGAGTTTCGAAAGACAGCTGAGGGTCTGCTTCCTTATGGTTGATATTAATGTCATTATTCCTACTTGAAAAATCAATACGAAAAAGTCCCACAAGGTCGCTTAGGGGTGTTAAGCCTCTTCCTGAGATAGCCAGAGATTCTTGAGATTCTTTTGGTGAAATCTCTTCTAGCTGTCTCTTCACCGTATCAGAATAATAAATAGATCTGGGAACCGTGTACGACAAGACGGAAATAATCATCAAAGAGATGCGTATCACAGATGTGACATTGTGAAAGAGCATAATCACGAGCTTCTTTCTACTCCTTGGAAAATCATGGATCTAATGTGAGATCATCAAAGACACAAATACATTTGTCATTTAATATACCGCATGACACCACAAACAGTACACTTATTTTGTGCAAGGAGTTTCTAATGCTTTAGAAAATTCCTATATAGCATTTCCTAAGCCTACTTATCGTTTCTTCATAGTTCTGTTAATCTGAAATACCATTCACTTTTGACTCTAAATCTTTCGACCAATGGTCAAGCTCTTTTGTAATTGCTTCAATTTTGCTAACTGACTTTTCGATGGAGTCTAACATATCCACACAATGTGTGTACTCTTTCTCTGTAGAAATGATTAGTACTGAAACTGAATGAAAACAAATAAAATGCTATCATATAGCTTTTCGTAATGCAAGTTGAGTCTTTACAACCATGATTGAATGGTTCAAACAAGACATTATTTACATTACCTAACACTCTAATTTAACTTACTCATTTGTTCTAAGTTTTTAGCATCCTTATCCAAGATAACGAAGCTCTGCTCCAAGTTGATATAGTTTAGTGATTGATTAGTGTTTAAATTCTCAATTAGATTAAGGTCTATTAAAGTGATTTCAGTATCTGATTCTACCAATTGTGTTAAAGTATTGAGTGAATGGTGAACCAACTTCGATACATCAGCTTTATTCGACATGTTTCCTCATTTATAATGCAAAGAGTTAAAAAAGAATTACGACTCTGTCGCACAGACGTTACAGTTCGCTGTTAAAAGAATACGCTTACAATGTGAACAGAATATGACACATAAAAGTATTTTTGATCGGTCTTCATTTACAGTCTATTTATTTACAGGATATACAACTAACGACAGACTATTAGCGTCCACGATACATGCGGTAAATGTCCAGACGGGAAGCTTGAATATTTGCCCACTTTTTAGTTGCATTGTTATTCAAGTATTCAACATAATCGATTTTCTCTGGCTTGTCGATACATTGTGTGAGACTGACTCTAGGTTTGGAATCCTTGGTTATAATCTCTAATAATCCAGGTAATTTGTCCGCTGCCTTTCGTAATCCTTCTCTTGCAACTCTCTCGTGAACTTGACCCCTGATTTCAAATAAAACCTTACCTGTAGTCACACGACATGCCCAGTGATCGAAAGATCCTTTACCTTTACCCATTCTCGTCTGGTTCCCTTTAACACATACTGGAATATTACAAGAGAATCGAGTTATTAACTGGCCCCCAGAGGGTCTAATTTCTCTTCTTATAACCTTGTCAGCTTCTTGCAACTGGATAGCCGACATACGGATACCATTCGATTTCAATCTCAAGCCATACTCGCCAAACTCGAGACTCTTTCCTTTGATAGATCCACCTGTATTAACGCTGACCCTACCTTTAAATGCTTTACGAATTTGCTTATAACGAGGAGCATACTCATGTTTAAATCTTTTTGTAACATTACTAAGCAAAATTCTCAGACTTAAAGGGCCCATCGAGCCCAGGGTTAATGCTTTCAACGGGCTACCTAAGCACAACCCTAACATAATCTCCTTTCAAAATTCGCTTCCTTAACACACTTTGTTATGAGCTATTTGAATCGTTAGTGAAAAAATCATGTTAATCAACATATGACACAAACATAATTCTCACGAGAACTTTTATTAAATACAGGACAGTTTATATTTCTAACTATATACAATTGTCTTCAACGAATTTCAACGTCAAAATATTTGACTAGATCATCCTCTACGTTCTTATGTATGGTGTTAACTTCATTATTTGTAAGGTTTCTATCCATAGATTGATAGTGAACTCTATAACATTGGGAATGCTTTTTAGATTTAGGATGAATAAATTGATCAATTAATTCGACATTTTCAACCAAATCACCACCTCGATGACGAACGATTTCCATCACTTCATTAGCATGCAACGAGTTGCCATCAATCAACCAGAAAGAAACATCCCTCTTTATTCCTGGATACTTTGAGTAAGGAACAAATGTCAGAATCTTTCCTTGCAGAAACTGTTTCGTAAATCTCTCATCTAATGTCCAGAAGAGTCTAATATCGGGGATTCCAAACAAAATCATAGCAATCCGATCTAATCCCAATCCAAAAGCCCAGCCCAACTTGTCATTTGGCAACCCAGAATTTTTTAATACTTGCTGCTGGACTAATCCACAACCACAGCATTCGAGCCATTCACCCTTCCACCAGACTTCGATCTCCCAAGAAGGCGAAGTCCATGGGAAAAAAGCTTCGACCCAACGAATCTTCAATGGTTCTTTCAACAGCGGGTCAGTCGAGCCTGCTGAGAGAGCCGACTCTTTAGCAGCTTCAAAGACGAGATTTACCATATATTCTATAGTCTTTTTGAGATGAATACTTATAAGTCTTACCTCTTCATTTGACATGTAGTCCTGCTTTGGATTCTCGGAATTAAAGGGCACATCCCTGAAAGGATCATCTACTATGATATTTGTTTTAGGAATAGCATCAATATCATGCAAAATTTGCTGAGCTAGATTAGGCTGGTTCTGAGACCATAACCGAGCACCTTCCATTTGGTGAAAAGCGGGATAATGGGTCCTGTCGATTTCATCTTTCCTATATACATCGGCGGTAATGAAATACCCAGGTGTTGTACATGTCTGGAAACATTCGTGTTCGTGTGCGGAGGTGTGAGTTCTCAAAAGATGATCCTTATTCACATAATATGTATCTGACTTCGATCTTCCCGGGTGATCTTGAGGGAACCCCAAGACGTCAAAATTCTCATATGTCGTTACGCATGGCTTGAAATCATTGTAGAAGGTATACCCTAATCCATTGAAATTATGTTCAATTAGTTCTCTCAAGATGCCAATTGGGTGATTTTTGTCGAGGTGCAACTTCCTCTCAGTTAACTCTAAGATAAATGAAGGAACATTGGTCCACTCGTCAGTCTTGAAAGTATTTCTATCTAGAGTTATCTTTTCAGGATAAGACTTCGTGCTTTGACTATAGCTTTTAATAAGTTTGTCGCGAGCTATAAGAGCTGATCCACGAATAGCCTTACTCGCGGCATATTTCAACGACTGTATCATAGTTCAGGATACGGCTTCTTAGCTGAGTGTTTCTCCCGTTGTCAGCTCCAACACACGAATAAGAGAGCAGTTGTACTGTTTGGACAAAATCAAGAATAAATACTGTATATTAACTTTTCTATATCTATGATTACCAAGATGAGAAGAAACGACTACACACTTACCATGTTTCTTGCTTATATCTACCGCTCCCTTCCATTGACAAAAGATAGCCATCAGCATCTTGGGTGGACATATTCCTAAAACTGGACAATATCTCGACTAATGTTATTCGCACTTCTCTAGGCATACTCCCACTAGAACCGCAGACAAAGACTATTGCATTTTTGTTCAAAATCAAATCTCCGATGAGCATCTTTTTATTAAAGAGTTCATGCTGCACATATTTTGGGCCGCTGGATAAGTCTCTGGAAAAACAAGGATATATATGAAAACTCTCCGATTTTGATAATTGCTGCCACCTATCAGAGAATAAAAAATCTTTATCTTTGTAACGACAGCCGTAGAATAAGTGTAACTCTTGTCCACTGTGCTTCAGCGATATATCTTCAATCAAAGATTTCATTGGAGCGACTCCAGTTCCTGGTGCAACCATTATAATGGGTGGAGGGGGTATATCAGACAGCTGAAACCTAAGTCCAGATCTATGAACTGAAATCGTAATCTGGTCCCCTTCTTTAAGCAGTTTAAGCCATTTAGAGCACAAACCCCGCCGAATTCTGCGAATAATTGTTTTATATTCGACAATAGCTACGACAATCTCTATAAAGTTTTGACTTGGCTTGGAGGCTATCAGAAATAATCGAGGCTTGATAGTGGGAAACAAGTCGAAAACATATTCAATGGGAATTTTCAAGTTCTGTTGAAATTCTAACACTGTTTCTAATATCAGTCGCCTTGGACGGTTTGCATAATTATAAAGCTCTTCGCTTTCTTCGATTCTGCTAAATTCTTTCAACTTTTCTTGTTCACGAGCTCCATCTTCACTTGAAGAATCACAAAAATGCCATAATAACATGAAAAATGACCTTCGTGGAATTGATTGGATATCTAAATGGTACTTGAAAAGCGACCTCAAGGTAAGGTTCAGTTTTTCAATAAAGCCACCAGGAATTGAGGGAACTGTATTTCCAATTTCCAAAGGTTTGTCAGCATAAGGAATCCAATGTGGCTGCAGACGCATCAAAATTTCCACGCTAGTATCATCGTTACAGGGATAGAGAGCGACTGTGTCTCCAGGTGAATAATCTAAATCATTAGATTCGATCAAGATATGTCTAACGTCTTGGAAATGATCGATCAGAGTAATCCTCTTGTTCAATTTAATTTTGCCTACCTTCATACCATCTTGGTTCCTTGAAAGTACTAGTGCCTTGTGTTGCAGTATTGTATCAACGTTTGAGGCGTTTTCACTTATGATAATTGGATTTTCTGGTGGTAACAGAATTGAATCATCAACCTCGACCATTCTAGGTATGTGCAGCTGTAAAGCTGCAATAACCTTCCCTTCCCATTCTTTATAATATCCGTCTATGCCTTCAGGTGATAATTCATCAGCTTCACATCTAGCACTTAACTCTTGGCACCCTAATTGCATGAGCCTTGCATGAATTTTCTTAATAGCATAATTGAACTTTGGATAAGAACTATCTCCTATGCCAAATGATGTTATTCTGATATGACCCAAAAGGTCTTGTGGCAACTTTTTCTTAAGAAGAAATTTCATGAATTTTTTTGAATTATGGGGTAGCTCTCCCTGACCTGTAGTTGAGCAAATGACGATTAAATATTTAGTACTTGTAATCAAGTTCTTCAATGGAAAGTCATCCATAGAAGCCAAAGTAGGCTCTATCAGAAAGTATCTGAGACGCCGACTCAAATATTGGGCATAGTCATGTGCATTTCCAGTCTCGGATCCATATAGAATGCTAATGCCATTAGTATTCTCCATTACTAATACCTTTGAGACTCTAGTTCATAAGCTCTGTGTTGAGCATCGATTATCTGATCCCCTCTAAACTGTAATTACTAGCATTTTTTTTTTTTTACGGTTTTGCCGAGAAGGTAGCATGACGGGATCGAAGTAAACATTCGACTCTCAATCTCAGGTGATATACTCGTTAACATATAAAAAAAGACTACAGAAACATAATGAGTTCAAAAAGAAAAACTCCTGGAAGCTCAAGCTCTTCTTCAAAGAAGCAAAAAAGAGCGTTTTCACAGGATGAGCTAAAGCAGTTTCATAATTCAACTTTGAAATTGGTCAACGAATTAAGAGCTGATAACGATAGGCCTTTGACTGAACCTTTTATAAAATTACCCTCTAAGAAATTATACCCAGACTATTATGTCGTGATCACTAGTCCTATTACTATTTCTGATATTCAGAAGAAGGCATCCAAAGGAAAATATTCAGAAAATCCCGAAGAGTTCTTGAGTGATTTTAAATTACTTCACGACAATGCTTTAGCATATAATGACCCGGAGTCCTGGATTGTTGCTGATGCTTCCAGAATATACGAGTTCGTTGATGATCAAGTTAAAAGCTTCGAGGAATCACATGGAGCGCCCGAAGAACCGTCACCTCTTTCAAAAGATTCAAAAAAGGCTAAGAAGAGCCACAAGAAGGAAGCCGATCACATAGAACCTGAAAACAAATCTTTGGAATTAACTTTTAATAATCTTTCTGGTATTTGTAAAACTCTAGTCAAGGAGGTCGCCGATCATGAGTTTCCTGAAATCGGCGTTATCAGTGGACCATTCATGGACGATATAGACCCCAAAGAGTACCCGGAGTACTTCAAAGTTATTAAAAAGCCTACTTCCTTCAACAATGTACTTAATAAATTAGACAAAGGAAAAATTTTATCCTCCAAAGTATCCATTTTAGACAATCTACAGAGGTTTTATGATGCAACCTCGGCCATATTCACAAATGCACAGACATTCAACGACCCATCTTCATTAATTCATCAAGATTCCGTGAAGCTTCAAAATTTCTTTGAAGAAAAGTTCAATGATGTTAAGTCAAAAGCGGAGGAGATTAGAGAAAGAAAGAATAAGTTGAAATTGAAAGTGAAGAATCCCGAAAGTAAAGATCAAGCACCAGCAAAAGTTAAGCTAAGCTTAAAACTCAAATCCTCGGAGGAAAAGTCTCCCGATGTCCCTAAAAAGCGCTCAAACAAAGGTATTGAAGTGAAAAATGAAGATGAAATTGAACCAGCTGAAAAAGATGAAATAGACGAAGGATCAGTGCAATCTTCTGTGGAAGATGAAAAGGAGAAGAACGCAAAAGAGGTATATTCGGATGATCCTGAGAAAAACTTATCACTGAAAAGTGAACTTTTGATGTCTGCTCCTTCTAATGTTATGGGCAAGTCACCGCCGTGTATTCCAGAATCAGAAGCAATCATACAAGGTGTTTCGTTATCTACATCCCTTTCACATGTCTCACAACTCACGCAGCTGGCCTATCAACAGATCCAACAAGTGCAAAGCTCTGTTTCGCTTTCTAAAATACAAGCTTTTAAGCAGAGTTTGTTCCCCATGCATTCATTCTCTTCTGCAGTAACTATGTTTGATTACAAGTTTAAAGCCAATGGCTATGCATCACTGTCTTATACTCTCTCATTAGCACCAGACACGTCTTCATTTTTGAGCTTAAAAATTTCATTGCATTCATTGCTTTGTCATGTCAAGAAGCCGGATTTAGCGAATGGCCAAACCTATGTTGGTATGGGATCGAATGAAGAGTTCCAGTGCAGCTTACACGTGAATGAGGATGAGGTTACGAATAGTGGAGAGTTCTTTGAAGATAGAGAAAATGGGAAAGAGGATTTGCTCGGCATACTGTATGATTTGAAGCTAAGCTATGGTTTAAATATACTTTCCTTCGAATGCAAAGTTGCACCTTCTTTAAGCAAAAAAATTAAGAAATCCCCACCGAAAGAAGAAAGCGATGAGATATCAGGGCGGCATACGAGGCACCAGCTCCAGCAAATGAAGATGTCATGGGACGTTGAGCAGGTGAAGTTTTTTGTGATATGTAATAGTGTGTAAGATATAGTTTAAATAATATATCATTTCACTCGGTCCTGAAATTACTTCCCTATACAAAAACTGGAAAAGACTACACCCAAAATTTCTTCAACACCAACACCTTCTCCAGTTATCTTACCGATACCTTCTATAGACTGTTTTAAGCACTCAGATGCTAAGACTATGTCATCTTCTTTCTTCCAAATAAAAAACTGATTAAACCCATGAAGGATGTCATTTTCTATCAAGTCCTGAATTCGATTTGAAACAACTATAGGATCTGATTCAGAACTCAATGCAAGTGATTTGAATTCGGTAGTTATTGCTTCTGTTAATCCAGGTATACCACGACCTGTAATACTAGAAACGAAAAAGAACTTGCTCTTCGGTAGATCGAGAATTGAGCTATACTTCTTGAGTATAGTTTCTCGTTGATTGGGCCCATTTAAAAGATCTTCTTTATTCAAAACCACTAAAAACTTCTTATTTTCTTTCTTAAGTAAGTCAATGTGGTCAACAAGATCGCCTATTTCATCGAACTGGTCCACAGGTAAAACTAAGAGCACAAAATCTCCGAGCAATGATTTATTCTTTGCTCTTTTTATACCTTCTTCCTCAATAGGGTTCGCTGTCGATAGTGATCTTATCCCAGCTGTATCTCCAACAACAACCTTATAACCATTAATATCCAAAGGAATGTCAATGATATCTCTGGTAGTACCAGCTATTTCACTTACAATTGCTGCATCTTTGTTGGCAAGGAAATTCAACAAGGAAGATTTCCCAGCGTTAGGAGGTCCTACCAATGTTAGTTTTATACCTTTTAGCAAAATCTCAGAACCTTGAACCTTTCTTAAATAGGCCTTCATTTCTTCGGATAATTTAGTTATATTACAACTCACCATTTCAAACAATGCATCAACTTCTTCAATATCATGGTCTTCCCCAAAGTCAATTACAGTTGTCATTAAGGCAATATTTTGGACTATCTGTTCCCTCCATTTGTGAAATAATTGCTTAGTGCCTCCGGTTGATGATACCAAGGCTGCAATCCTTTGTGACTCTGTTTCAGCGTTTATGACGTCTCTTATGCCTTCAATTTCCGTTAAATCAAACTTGCCATTAATAAATGCCCTTCTAGAAAACTCTCCATGCTCCGCATATCTAAGATATATTCCTTTTGACGGTTCATGCAAGTCTTTAATTGCCTTTATAACAGATCTTATTATAGCTACTCCTCCATGAAGGTGAAACTCAAGAAGGTTTTCTCCAGTATATGAATTTGGCAGCTCAAAAAATATGGTTAAAGCTTCATCGAGAAGAATACCACTAGTTGGCGAATATAATTTCTTCACGGTAGCCTTACGAGGATCTGGAATTCTTTTGGATTTCGTGAGTTTATCGAATACATAAGTAGATTGTGGTCCTGACACCCTAACTACGCCTATGGCAGATGTTCCAAATTTTGTGGATAAAGCATAGATTGTAGGTTGCGTAATCGAATTGACCGAATAGAATCTTTTGGTCTTTAAAATACAATTTCCAATCTTGTTAAAGTATTGAATATGTCGTATTATGTTTACTGTCATCTGTATAAGCTGATTAAATGACTGGTATGAAAACTAGATCTTGTCTCATCGCAAAAATCTCATGATGACTTCATATTGAAAAATATGTATAATCTATATTTTAGTCATCAACTCTTCCGATCAAAATGTACATAACAGAGTCCAGGCTACTAAGTAAAGGCATATCTTCGCTACGTGTACCATTGTTTAGAGGGCTTCATAATTCGAGAATAAACTTGCATGAAAACCCTTTAGGATTACCAAAGATAGGGTCCCGTAACGGTGGTGATGGAGAAGCTAAACGCATGTCTAGAGGATTGCCTGTAAAGAAAAGAATAGCAAATGTTGACAGGGTGATATTGGTATCATCAGCCAAAGGTGGAGTTGGAAAATCTACAGTTGCAGCTAATCTTGCTCTTGCATTACAAGCCAATGGCAAACGGGTTGGGCTTTTAGATGCCGACCTCTTTGGGCCGTCAATTCCACGATTACTAAATTTATCCTCAGAACCTCGTTTAACTGATGATGGTAAGCTATTACCGCTTTCAAATTATGGGATTGAGTCGATGTCGATGGGATACATGATAAGTCCAGATAATGCAGTTGTATGGAGAGGATTGATGGTCATGAAAGCTATGCAACAACTCTTGTTCGAAGTTGAATGGTCTCCGTTAGACTATTTGGTCATTGACATGCCACCCGGTACCGGTGATACCCAGCTTACTATAAGTCAGCAAATTAAAATTGATGGAGCTGTTATAGTCACGACTCCGCAAGAAATAGCTCTCCTAGATGCTGTTAAAGGTGTGACAATGTATAATAAGGTTCATGTACCTATATTGGGTATTGTCAAAAACATGGCTTTCTACGTGTGTCCTCATTGCAGCCATGAAGCACATATATTTGGTACAGACAGTGTTGAAAGAGAAGCTAAAAGATTGAACATTGAAATACTTGGTTCAATCCCCTTAAATGAAGAAATTAGTGCACAAGCAGACGCAGGCAAGCCTATTGTTGTTAGTGATCCCAAGTCTCCACTTTCCACGCCATATTTTGAAATTGCAAAACAGGTCATGTCATCTTGCGATGAAGTGAATAAGTAATGAGGCTCTATGGTATTGGTCAAGATATATACTTTTTATAAACTTTTCTTCAATTGGCCATCATAGTTTTTGAATGCTGATTCAGCCACTATTTTTCAGTCGTCTTCACTAACAAGAGAAAAGTTTATAATGTAAAAAGATATTTTGCAATTGTGTTTCTAGGTCCAACTCTATACATGTAGATATGTCGCCCTAAGTAACATTCAAATTAAGACCTATACTTTCTCAGAGACAATTAGGAGTTAATAGCTAATATGCTTTCATTCATATAGCATGACTTTCAATATTATAAATGTTTGAGTGATCGTCTCAACTCTTATCGGTTTGGTATTTATGTATCACGTCACCAAAGTGCGCTTTTGTACGATATTATGAGAATTGTAAGATCAGGAAAAATATTTTTTATACAAATATTGAGATCGATTAATTTAACTTTGACTAAGGTAAACATAGTCAAGCCGTAATTCATTTCTTGAGCTAAAGTCATGGCTTTTGGTATCCAGCTTCCATCTACACCGACGTCTCAACGCACTTTAAGGCTGAAGCCAGGGACACCTAAACTTAGGCCAGACAAAACAATTTTGGATTTTGACAATGATGGTTCTTACGTAGAAGAGGAGGATGCCACTTACACGGAATCCATAAATATTAGTGCCGATGAATTTGAAAGTGATAATATTGATCTTGATGATGAAGTCATTGAGGTTGAAGCCGAGGTTGTTGATATCCAAGAGACCACTGAAAAAGATGGCACGTCCCCTAAAAGGCACAGTGAGAGACTGTCGTTACAGAAGTTTTTGGTAAAGCATGAAATACCTAGAAAAGTATTTCATTCATCCATTGGATTTGTCACTCTATACTTGTATTCCATCGGTATGAATCCAAACCAGTTGCTTCTTCCCTTCTGTACTATATGTGGAATTATTTTTACAAGTGACTTTCTTCGCTTAAGGAACCCAGGATTTAACAAAGCCTTTGTGAAAAACTTTTGGTTTATAATAAGAGACAACGAAGTCAATTCTTACAATGGAACCTTTTGGTATATATTGGGAATAATACTAGTAACGCTATTTTTATCCAAGGACATGTTGGTGATGAGCGCAGTATTGTTAAGCTGGGCGGATACGTCTGCTTCGACTTTCGGTAGACTCTACGGAAAATATACTTTTCAAATTAGAAAGGGAAAATCATTTGCTGGATCTGCTGCGAGCTTTATTACAGGCGTATTCAGCTCTTATTTATTTTATGGTTATTTTGTGACAAAGTATGGACCAAAGGTTGATAGTCCAGGTGAAATTGCATGGACACCGGAAACCAGTAAATTAAATCTTTTCTGGTACTCGCTTGCATGCGGATTGATTGCAAGTGTATCCGAATTTATAGATTTGTTTGGTTTGGATGATAACTTCACCATTCCCGTCTTGAGCGGTTCATTCCTCTTTGGACTTGTAAAGTTGTTTCATAATTAATTTTTTCGTCAAGAATTGAGTGCACTTTTAGAAATACTATTTAGAAGGCTTATTTCATTATATCATTATATCATTCTGCCTATTTAACATAACTAAACTGGTTTCAATCCTTAATAGAATGCCTAATCTTCATAAATTCGTCATAGCTACAGGACTCTTTCAAACCGTCATATCTTTGTAAATCGAGCCAACCTTCTCTCAAGCCTTTGTTATAAAATTCGACTACAGCCTTCAGACCTACCCCCCTAAAATCCGCCTTTTTTAAGAGATAGTACAACGTTGTTACCTTATCCCACTTTTGTTCCTCAGCGACTTGAGGAAGAAATGTACCTGAGAAGTATTCTTCATCATAAGTAAAAGACAACTGTAATCCGTGCTTCCCAATTTGCCAGTCCGTACAAGTTTCAATCTTTCTGAAGTCATCAAGCAATGTAATAGATGCCTCTAAGCTTTCAAGTTCTGAAGTTTTTATTGGAGAAAACCGTGTGTCTTGAAGTGCTGCTGTCAAAGCAAATTGTTTTGTCCCAGATTCAAGTGGGAGTGATCTGAACGTACCAATGCAACCTCTTAAGTCATGATTCTTGTTCCATGTAACGAACAAGGGCGATTTCAGAGGAAGATCTGAGACCGACTCGTTAAGCTTTTTAAAATAAGTAGAAAATGTAACAGGATCAGAATCTGGTACTAATCTATTGAGCAAGCATTCAAAAGCCCAACAGCACAAGGCTTTAGACATATCAAAATCCTTTCAACTTAAGAGTTTAGCTCAATTAAAAAAGATTGAATTTTGCAAAATGAAGCTATATACCTATTTTCTTGGAATTGACAGCTTAGTTAATGGTAATTTTGGTATGATATGTAGGCATAAGGAGACGTACGAGATAAGATTAAAAGAATTCAGTTTGTGTCACTTTGGTATTCTTTCTTCTCGGCCTTTAACGATTAGTTCGCTTCTCAGTATAAACGAACTTTCCTTATAGCTAACAGGGAGAACTTTGCTAAAACATGGGGATTTGCTTATCTTGCCTTCGTGGAGAAGATTATGAGGGTGAAGGAAATGAGGAGTCCTCTTTGCTTCGAAACCAAAGCTTTTACTACAACGACAACTTGCAAGAGGAACTGCTTTTAAAAGAACAACAGAGACAACAAGAGCTCAATGGTATAGTAAATGACTTATCCGGAAGCTTGATTGACGTGACCTCCTTTTTGAGCAACTCTTCTCGCTTAGGAACTCCTAATATGAATTATTCCATGACCGCAAGCAGTAGTGACTTTGACAAAACTAGTCCTACAACACTAGGAAAAGAAGAGAAACTTCAGATATTGAAAGATTTAGAGGATTTGGATGAGTCTGTAAAACAAAAGTGTAAAGTGAACTCAAGTGGTACTTTATTCTTAGAGTTTTGAGTAATTATCTACCTCACTGAAGATCTTCTTGCATAATGACTACAAATATTTTGGGAAAGCATATTGTCACTAAAAGAAGGTTTTCTCTTTGATCCTTTCAATCATAAACAAGTGAACTCTAATTGTTAGGTGGGCCCCGAATGAAATTTGACCACAAATGCGCCATTCACGAGGCTCTTTGTGGCGATGTAACTCTTTCATGCATAATAGTTTTGAGGACGTGCTGTTTGTGGATAGACTTGACCTAAAGTTTGCAATCATACTTAAAAAGGATTAACACTTTTTATCCCTTTACATCTTAAGTATACGCTTGATTAATCGACTTCAAGTAAAAACGCCAATTCTAAATTGTAATCTATGAGGGTTCAATTGATTACAAATTTCTGTTCAGTGACTTTGTTCATATCCTCTAGCAATGCGATTGGTTTGGGGCTTGCAGACCTATATGCTAAAAATCGTGAATTTTCCGGTGATTTTTTGGATAGGCTTAGTAAACGAATTGAAAACGATATTACGTCTGAACGTCTCTTGATACCCGAACCTGAAGTCATGAATCACGGAAGTGATATGAAATTTCGAATTGAAGCATTTAAACCTGAAATTCCTGGTTCGGACCAATACCAAGCTTCTGGTAGGAAATCTAACAAAGGAGAGATGCAGAAGGACGACGCTATCAATGCAAAAATAGAGAGGGCTGCAACTCATTTAGACGAGAATACAGAAGGTACATATGCGCCGCTTCATGGAAGAAGTGAGGAAATGGTTTCTCATGAAGTGCCAAGCTCTCTAAATGAGATAGAAGCGCATCAATTTGAAAATATACCTTTATCCCCTAGATCTGAAGTACCATCTAAGGAGTTCGAAGATGAGCGGCTGGGTGGAGAATTGCAGGATCATGATATATCATCGTATCATCTCGAAGGGTCTTCTGCTGCTCAAGACATTAATGAAGATAAAAGTGACCAGGGTCACTTATCACTTGAAGAAAAATCAAGTAAATCGAAGTTGGACCGAGGGAGTGTTTCCTCAGAGAGCTCTGGAGGAGCCCAATCAAAGATGGATGGAAATTCCGAATTGAGTAGCCTGAAAGACTACGGTCAGGATACTGTCAATGCGGCACTTTTTTTCAATAGAGGAAGAAATTTACGAAAGGTCGGTGGAACAAAGAAAAAGACAATGGGTCCCAGACCCGTCGTTCCTTTAAAACCTGTCGTTAGATTTTCAAGCGAGGGAAATGCTTCATATCCTTTATCGTTGAACCCTGAAGTTTCATTTGGATTACGTATGTGCACTTCTATTCCAAAAATATTTATTGCTATAATAGGTATTCTCTTAACATGCTAATTAAGCTTCCTGATATAGATGTTATACCAAAAGAATGATAAAACAACCCTTTTGTTAATTAAGTTTTTACTCCTGTAGTGCTTTCAACCTTTCTCTCATCTCATCTAGGGCTTCTGTATCTTCATCCATTCCTTGCGGTGCTTCAATTTCTTGCTTCTCAGGGGTTTCTTCAATCTGCGTGCTTGGAACCTCACTGCCAACTTTGGACAATTGATCCTTCGTCAAGTTCTCTATTATCTTATCAATTTCTTCATTTGATTCACCTTCTAGTTCATCATCCTCGAATTCTAGGTCAACCATGTCATCCATCATCTCATTAATTACCCCAGCCTTCATCAATTCTTTAGATAACTCCTGCATTGTGCCTGTTATAGCTCCAAGGTGGACCAACTGATTAACATCTTTCATTACGGCAGTCAGCGACTGCAATGAGTTTGTTAATTTGTTCATCTGCCACTGCTCATTTACTGACATATTTATAGAATCTATCCTTGTTCTTGATGTATATAATTTATTATATTGTCTGTTGATGTGAACAAGCTCTTTGGCATATATCTTGGCACTCTTCATATCTTTCTGCTTGACTGCTTTCTTTATTAATGTTTCCGTCTTCTTTTTTAAAGGTACAAGCTGATTCATTGACCTGTCAAGCTCCCTTTTATTTTTACGAAGTAACAGATTAATCTTCCTCATCTAGTAACGTTAGAACATCATCTCCAAGAAATCAATGTATATTAATATAATTAAATTTTATCTTACCTGTTCTTGGGGGTCAGGACCCCAAATTGCCGTCTTGATATAGTTCATCGGATGTAAATAAAGATGCTAGTTACCTATTGTAACCTGGTTTAATATTTAATTTTGATAATGCACAGAATAATATTCGAGAAACGACCCTTAAAAGTCCTTAATAATAAGTATATTTTTTAAGTAAAGAGCACACACAAGATACAAATGAGCGAGTTGACTGGGTTTCAAAAGGTCATTTTGACCTTATTGGCATTCATATTTCCTCCTTTACCAGTCTTTATGTTGAATAATTATGTGGTATTTAGTAAGGAAATGTTACTCTCAGTTTTATTGACAATACTTGGTCATCTTCCTGGAGTCTTGTATTCAATATTTTATATCTTTGTTGAGTTTCCTAAGCAGAATCGTTCAACTGAAGGCTACATTCAGATAACTGATGATGAAGAAACAAATATAAGAGCAGCTCCAAGATCAACAACTGGAGAGAATTCGTCGCCTTCGGAGTCGAGACTTGGAACATCTAACGTCGAAAGTGCACCTCTCGTGCAGAATTCTTCTGAGGATGAACCACCTAACTACGAAGAGATTGCTGGTTCCAGCAAACCTAATGTTCGGGATTCCAAAGACAACAAAGTCCAGCACCAGTAAATTAGAATATTTACGTAAATATATATGATTTCAACTGTTTTCCAATACTATCATTGCTTTAGCAGCGAATCCTTCCAAATGAAAAATGCTTTTTGAGCCCAAACTTAATCTCTCGTCAAATACTGCAGCTATTGCAACCAAATTGTCAATAGCAGTGTCCGACTTACAAGTCTTGATTAAATCGAACAATAAATTCTTCAATATTATCCTAGCTGGAATGCAATGAGATAAAAGTTCGTAAAATACGACCCTAATCTTAGCAAGCGATGCGACCGTCCTTGATTTATTCATAGTGTCAGCAATACTTTTGATTATTGTCTCCCAGTCTAAATCAATTATTGAAAGTTTTCCTTGCACATTGATAGTTTCATTTTGCATTGCGACAGTTTCAAAGCTGAGTAATGACCTTCTTAAATTTCTATTAGAATGATTAGCAATTAGTTTTAAGAATCCCTTGATTTCTGACTCGTTTGACGAGCTAAATTTTACTGATTCTTTCTTTCCAATGTGATACAAAATATCACTTATATCATCAGTACTTGGACTTGGAATTCTGATTAAAAGTGTCCTAGATTTTATCGGGGGGATTATGTTGGATATGGAATTGCTCACTAAGATAAATCTTATATTCGAGGAGTACTTTTCCATGGTTCTTCTGAGAGCTGCCTGGGCATCTCTGCTCAACGAATCAGCTTCATTGATAACGACGATTTTGAATCTATGCTTGGTTCTTGAGTTTACTGCACTACTGAAGTCTACCTGCTCAGTAGAGGCCACGTCCTTAAGTAAATCTTGAATTACCACCCTATCATTGTTTCCCATATCAGATGGTGTAATTTCTAAGTGATAAGGTGAGCTTAGTACATTGAATTCCAATTTTCTGTTTGACGGAGTGACAAATGTTTTCACATCAATCTTCAATTTGTCGACTTGCGATCCAAAAATTTCATTTAATGTAGCATAGATTCGTGTTTTCTTACCACTCCCACTCGGTCCGTAAATTAAAAGATGAGGAAAATCACCAGATTTTGAAAGAGCCTTTAAGTTTTGAGAAATATGATGGTGATATGATAGATGGTCAAGTGTCTTTGGTCTGTATTGATCAACCCACAACGACATTCTGATTTTCTTTTGACGTAATCACAAAGTACGAGTGATTAATAAACTTTATTGAAACTTGATTTGACGCGTATATATTTTCAAAACTGAATATTGAATACTACAATAATTAAATAACGAGAAAATACACACTTAACTAAATTGAAGAAAGAAAGCTTAAGCTGCGTCCTGTCACCAGCTGTTTGCTAGTAAGGAGATTTATCAATATTGTGCTTTTGTTTTTTTGCTTTTTTTGCTTTTTTTAAGTTCTTTCTTTTTTGGCTTCTTTTATACTCTGGTGGTTGTTCCTTTTTTTTTTAGGGGGACTATTGTAGTATTCGAAAAGCAAATAAATACTTACATGAGATATTGGTATATTGCTTGATGTGTATGCTTGAAGTTTTTGCTTCTCTGTCTGATGGGCTCAAGCCATTGGCTTAGTTCTCAAAAAGTGAGTAGGGCATTCATATCCACTAGGATTCTTTTTCAAGTATTGCTGGTGGTAATCCTCTGCATCATAGAATGTTCTGATAGGCTCAATAATTGTTGTGATTTGGTGGTTTGGATACCAAGTCTTTTGCATTTCTTCTTTTACTTGTAATGCTATTTTATTATCTTCCTCACTGTGAGTGAAAATAGCTGACCGATATTGAGTCCCGACATCTGGTCCCTGTGCATTGAGAGTTGTAGGATTATGCATTCTGAAAAATATTTGAAGTAACTCTTTGAGGTTCAATACAGATGGCTCATATGATATTTGAACGCATTCAGCAAAATTAGTGGTACCAGAGCAAACTTGCTGATAGTTGACTTTTCCGAAACTACTGATACCATTTGCATATCCAACCTTGATATCTACTATGCCGTTATCTCTGTAACGCTTTCTGAAAAACAGCTCCACTCCCCAGAAGCATCCAGCTGCCAAGGTGATTAACTGTGACGAAGGCGTGGTCTTGAGAGTAGGTGAAACTTGACTTGCCATGTTTAAAAACGAAAAGAACAATTACTCAATAAAACTTATTTCTATTAACCAATGAATTGAATTGTATTTAGTGATCCTCCACTTTGTTTATTTAGTATAAAACTTAAAAATATATATTGCGTTAGTCATCAGGAAACTTGGGGACATCTCATATCTCGGGATATCACGATATCACCGACGTTAAAAAAAAAGTTCGGAACGGTCATAGGAAAAATTTATTTTCTCTTAAACCCAAAGATAGATTTTCTCTTCTCTGAATTACTACCAGAGCTTCCTATACTTCCCCTACGCTCCTCATTTGTATCTGTTCTAGTCTCCCTCCTCTTTAAGCCACCCACCCATGTCTTTTTATCTTTCTCTTTCATCACTGGATTGGATTTAGTATCTGGCTTTTCCTCTTTATGACCATTCAATCTAGAATTCTTCCTAAATAATGCAGGTTTTTTTGCTATTTCGGGGGTATCTTTATTGGAGCCCACAGTTCCTGTAGAAGCCGTATCAGAGTTGAGATCTTCATCAACTTCCTTAGTTGAAATCTTACTTGAAAGAGAATCATTGCGTTGAGCTTCAAGCTGCTGAAATAAGCAAAACTCTTCGCCGTTGTAAAGTTCACCTGGATTGAAACCAAAGTCCACAGTATCAACATCAGAAGGTTCCTGTGGGTTTTGGTTCCTCGTGTAAAACAAAATATATGCGCTAGCAAGACCTGGACCATCGCCAAAAAATCGCATTACGTACGAATCCTCTACTAGTTCAACTGTTTCGTCATCAAAAAGAAGCCATAATCCTGATTTCACTTTGCAGATGGCAACATAGTGGCCATGCATAGGTCCTCCGCCGATATGGATAACAAGAGCATAAAGTTCATATAGAGTGAGTTCTTTCTCGTCGTCAGTGGTATTAAACAATCTCAATTTAAATGGGTAGCTGATCGAATCAAAAAGCTTCACCAATTTGTCGAGACCTTCATCATACTTGAATCTTTTAAAATTTATAACAAGAACTTCCGGTAGTCTCTTTAGTTTTATGGTTTTTGTTGCTTCTTGAAGAGAGGAACAAGTGTTACAGTAAAACTTATTCTGACTAGACAAGATCTCCAGCTTGGAAAAATTATTCAAGGAATAGGTTAATGAGTAAGAGCTCTCACCTGGGGGTATATCTATAGATAAATCAAGAAAGCATTCATTCATTGCAGTTATGGTCTCACATGAAAGACATTTGGTCTCATTTGTAATCAATCCTTGAAAAATCTTGTTGCACCAATTATTCTCAGCTCCCAATTCATCATTCAAGCTCTCTATAATTTCATTGATCAAATAGTTGAAGAATTCATGAGCATCGTGGTGCATATTTTGTGGTCTAAACAAAAAGTTCTTCTCTTTTAGCTTATTTATGAAGTATGACGGACAAACCACCCCTGTAGTCGACTTATTTTCCACCATGCTTTCAAATAAATCTCTTAAGGCATATAATAATGCCGAATTATCAGATTGTTGGCTAGGTAATTGTAAAGATGTGTCTAGATTTATGATAGGGCCATTTATGAGTGCTGACCTCTTGCGCTGATCGGAAGAGGGACTAGGATTGAAAGGATTTATAGGATGGGTCAAAAAGGTCTCAGGAAAAGGAATACCAACAATAACAATGCTCGAATGAGAGCTGACTGAACCTTCTAGTTGAACTTGTTGTTGGCTATCGTTATTCAAAAGAAGCGAAGAGCTCTGAGAATAATCATTTCTGTTATTTGCGTTAGCCATATCTGTAATAGGCCTAGTTACAAAGACCTGTAAATCCTGGAAATCGGAGTTTTTGAAGATCCTAAGGCGTTGATCTAAGCCTAAAGCTTCACAATTCTTTGCTTCCACAAGATAAGAGTTCTTTTTATTATCATCATTCAAACTTCCCAATGATGATTGGCCATTACCATCGCTATTCGAAGAATTGAACTTAATGCCAAAAATTGAACCCTTTCTGCTCGATTTGGGCCTTTCGTCGGCGTTGTTGCTACTAACAGATGTGGCACTAGGTGGATATACCTTTCCTTGCTCTTTAGCCTTTTTTGCAAGTAGCTGCTCATATTTGGTAGTGAAGCTATGTGGTTTGACGCCATTGACGACCAACTTGGGTTCGTGTTTAGTTGTTTTATGTGTAATTAAATGATATCTAAATGACTCTGAGTAATACAAGCATTGTAGTATTGAATTACAATAACATGTGTTTCCAAAGTTTTCCATCCCAAAGATCTTGTTGGAGCCATCACCAAAAGGTAAAACCTCTTCAGTAGACAGCGGCATTATGAGCTGAACCTTTCGTTGCACGAGAATGTACCTTAGTAGAAACTTTTGAGAACAGAAGCACTCAAAAGTTCGGGATAATATCAAATCAGACATATAAATTTTTGAGTACTACTGAGGAACCTGAAAAGTTTACTACACTGAGAGAGATTCGTTTTAATATACTCGTGATCAAAGCCCATCCATTAGGTGACTAAGAGAGAAAGCTCAGCTACTATTGCTATTATATACTTCATATTTGGCTCTTCAATATTCTAATTTGGTTTCTTATTTAACTAATTTAAATAGAAAGTTAGATTACCCTTCAAGAGCATATCCTAGATTCACTCCTTCAAATTCTCTAGATAATATTCTTAATTTGTCAGCCAACAACTCCATGTTATCATTTTCAGGCTTGAAGTTTGGGAGCCAATTAGCGACACCATGCTGCAAAACACCTTTAGCTCTAAACTTTCCATATTTTACATGACCATAAGATCCGTGAAGAGTCAAACGAAGATTCTTCGATGAATAAGTAGCACGATGTAAAATATTGGATTCGTAGAAAACAACGTCACCAGGCTTTAATTCGACAACAATTTGGTCACTTATAAACTCTTTTCTGTTGTCATTAGACGTTTTTTCACGCTCTTCTGGAGTCCTAACCCTTTTATGAGATCCAGGAACCACGATCAAGCATTTATCACTTGTAAGCGCTAAGTTGAATTGAGTTCCAGCAAACGGGTTCTCTAGCAACTGTTCAGCTTCCTCTTGCTCAGAAACTTCAGGTTTGATGTAGTCCCTGTGCCAGTCTAATTCAAAGTCAGTTAAAGGATTGATAAGCATGTTAAAGAGTTCCATGCATAAGCCATTTTTATCTGTCTGTAATATGTCACAAGCTATATCTAATATTTTGTCAGAAGAATAGCACTCTTGAAATGGTAAGGACATTTCCTTTAAATCTGGGTGCAAGAGACCATTCACGCCCCAAATATCCGGATTGAAATCCTTTGGCCATGGAGGAAATTGCTTTCCCCTGGTCCTGACCTGTGACCAATTTCCATCTCTGGCATACTTCACAACATCTTCTGCTGCTTTTTTATATTTTTCAATCTCTTCCTCAGTGAGAAAACCTCTCACAATCGTAAAACCTTGATCTGATAACTCGTCGTGATGAAAGCTTGAAACCATTTTTTTCTAGTCTACTTATAATGTATGCGACGTTTAGTTACAGACTAATCCAACAGAGTTGATAATGAGTATTTATATTCAAATTATGGAGATCTCATGTAACGTCGGGGCACCTTATCATGAATCCAATCCCGCAAATGTAACATTTTTTTAAGCGAAATGTGACATGCGCAAAATGTAACGTTAGTGCCAAATTTTTTTTTTTTTTGTTTAGACGTTACAGAGATAAAGGTTATTAATTGTTTAATATGACCTAACAAATAAACCATACGATTTTTAAACTAAAATGACAATTACTCTTAGATGGGGAGTCCTTGGTGCCGGGAATATTTCGTCTCAATTTGCGGGAGATTTAGTGCTGAATAATACAACTCCAAACCATGAGATTAATCATGTCATTGAATCAATTGGTTGTTCAAGCAAAGATAAGGGTGAAGCTTTCGTTGCCAAGTTAGAGATTTCAAAGAACAATAACTGCGGAGTTGAGCCTGTGATTGAACCTTATGATAATTTTTTCAAAAACTCTAACATTGATATTGTATATGTGGGAACCATCCACCCCTTACACAAGGAACATGTAACAGCTGCTCTTGAAAACGACAAGCACGTTTTGTGTGAGAAGCCAATGACAATGAATTCAAAAGATACGAAACAACTAATTGACTTAGCAATTAAAAAGAAAAAATATCTTATAGAAGGAGTCTGGACTAGATTTTTTCCAGCAATTGGAGCCTTGAGAAAATATATATTTGAAGAGAAGGTAATTGGTGAGGTTAGCAGGCTATTTGCAGACTTCAGTTATAATGCTCACTTTGAAAACATGCCACTGTCTACAAGAAGCAGGAACATTAATTTAGGTGCGGGTTCATTATTGGATATTGGCATCTATTCTGTGACATACGCTAGACTCTTGCTTGATTCGAAAGCTGCCCCCCACCAGACAAATTTCAAATTAAAATCGCTTATGACGATTGACCCTGAAGATGGTGTTGATCATAGCTCGTCTGTCTTAATCCGATATGATAATGGAAAGCAAGGAATTTTAACCTGCTCAGAGTACGTTCAAGGACCACAACCGTTTTTAAGACTTGAAGGTGCGAAGGGTCACGTCGAGATGCATGGAGCAAACCCAGCGAGAGCTGTAAAGTTTCGCATCATTTTCGATGATGGTTCTAAATCCATTGACTACGAGGACTCGTCTGACTTCACGGGTTTTATTTACGAGGCAGACGCGATAGCGAGAGACATTGACAGTGGAAAGCTTCAAAGTTCAATAATGCCACACGCTGAAACGTTATTGGTGGCAGACATGTTGGATTCCATCAGGCAAGAAAATGGCCTAGTCTATCCTCAAGATAACTAGTCTTTTACATACATGTATATGTATATATATAGATCGACACATTAAACTTCTACATTTCATATCTACGTTTACACTTCTCAGACCGCGACATTCTTGGATGCAGCCATATTGTGATACAAAATGGCCCTATTTTATCGTTACCACGTGATACAAATTCATCCCCTTATTTCTTCCGGTTATCATTAGTAATATCCGGCAAAATGCTTCTACTTGCGGCCATCTTGCACACGATAAATTTCTTGGCTAAAACGAAATACGATAGTTCCTATAAAACCCTGAGTCCGAAAGGCAGACCGAAACATTTCCAAATTTTCTTTGATAAGGATGCATCTTCATGTTAAACTTAAATTTCTCTGGCATTTCTTGGATTTTGTTAAGCTGCAGTATACTAAGTTAAAGAATCTACAAGATTCTTGAAACAGATCGAACGCAGGAGATTCCACAATAGTCGATGCAGGAGGCAATCCGAGGATGGCACAAGACGTAACACTTCTTTCGTGCCGCGTAACCTAGATTTATAAAAAATTGCGGAGGTATATGCACACCTCTCACACTACGGTAATGCGTATGCCCACCCGGCTAGGATTCTCCTTGGCTAAAAATACAAACTCTTTTTCAATAATAGATATTGTAGTATTTCTTGTAGGATTGATGTTCACCATTCATCTTTTTAATAGCGGCATAGATATCTGGTGGTGGAATACAAGAGCTACACATTTGTCGCATTAAGAAGTTAATAGACCTAGGTGGGAACTATCCGGACAATCTAACTTTTGAAGATAAGCAAGGATATCCAAGATAAACAACAATCATGTTACGGACTCTTAAGTTACCCAGGAAATCCCTCCTCAAGGTTTTCACGTCCTTATTATTGTTATACACTGTATTCTTGAGTGTTAAGTCACTTTCGGACACCACAATAAGTCAGTATAAACTTCGAATAGAAAATTCTGTAAAATTAAAATTCAAATCATTTTATCTGAACTTCTTACTGTCAACGTTAGATTTGGATATCAATCCTTATTTCATGAAGAAGCTTCAAATTTTAAGAACAGAAAAATTGAAAAACGACTGGAATGGAGAACTATGGGAGCTTGACGAATCAAAGCTCACACCTGCCCTGTTTCAGATTCAAATCCCTTCATACTATTTTGACTCAGAAATCAAGAAGCCTCCTGTACAGCCATTCGATCCCAGACTTACTTTGTCTGTATATCTTAGGTTTTTAACTGAAAATCCAAGGGCACTGGCTCCTTTTCACTGGTCAGACTGGATAGATTTTTCTAAACTCAACAAATATATTCTTAACCCAAAGAAGGCTAAATGCAAAGAGTTATTTGACATTCTGAATAATAAAGATTTAGTAGGAGATGGTGTAATATCAAACTTGGAAGATTACTGTGAAGATGACGAATCATCACCATTGGGTTTTAAAATTACAAAGTTCACTGGACCGCAATCCGTCGAAAATAGAGAAGTGCTAGGTAAAGCATTTCTATATTCCACCGCTCCCTCTCCTGTTAAACTCGTATTTTTAACCGATAATGAAGGATCATATGAAATTAAGGTCAAAAATTTTCACGACAATGATTTGAAATACAGTTTATTGGGAAGTAATCTTATACCTCATTTAATCGAAAAGAATGCCATCTCACAAGACATTGATGTTATGGAGATTTACAAAAGTGTGTTAACTACAGCACCTCCAACTAATAAAGGCGATGCATTAACCGATTATAAGATAAATATCCCAAGTTCTTCGTTTGATGTGGATGCAGAAAAGGTAATAAAAGATTTAGAGATTAAAGAGCGTACCCTTAACAGAATCGATAAGAATTATTTAAATTCAATTCGATTTTCAGTTTCCACTGATAATCCTCCCAAATACTTTTGTGAAGCAAAATTACCTCAAAAGTTCCAGCAAAATTGGTTGGGTGAGCACTATGACTGGAGATTTTTCAATGGATTAACGGTGGGGAAGTCAGTTCAGACTTCTGCTCTTCATAGACTTATCAAAAATTATTTCAGTTTCGCTAGGCAAAATGGAATTATTACTTGGGTTGCTCATGGCTCTCTCCTTTCATGGTACTGGAACGGTATAGCTTTTCCTTGGGACACAGATATTGATGTTCAAATGCCGATATCGGATTTACATAAACTTGGAAAGAGATTCAATCAATCATTAGTTATCGAAAATATTGGAAATCGAAAAAACAATTTCAGCGGAATGGGAAAGTATTTTGTTGACGTTGGATCGTCAATCACGCATAGAGAGAAGGGAAATGGGAATAATAATATCGATGCTAGGTTCATAGATATTGATACTGGCTTGTATATTGATATTACTGGCTTGGCACTAACTAAAACACCAGCGCCATCGAGATATGATTATTTGATAGAGGGTGATAATCAAAAGAAAATGATCGTAGTATCATCTACAGAGGATGGTAAAATTAATAATAGAGTTAAGAACGAACAATTACGAGCTTTTAATTGCAGGAATAATCATTTCAGCTTGTACGAAGAACTTTCTCCCCTCATTTTGACAGCTGTGGAAAATCAGTTGTGTTATATACCCTCAAAATTCTTAATGCCTTTAAACAATGAGTATCATGTTAGGGGACTTACTGAAAAGAATTTCAAGGGATATATTTATTTAAACAACTTGAGACTTTGGATTCCTGAAGGCATTATTCTTAACTATTTAGAAGATCCCTTGAAGTTTGTTCGCCAGCATAATTCGACTTTGAACAACCCAAAGGCTGGGAAGACCAAGAGTGCCGATCTTGAATTGAACCAATCAAAAGATAAAAGAAGTGACAAGAAAACAATTACAGGGTATGATAAAATAATGATTAATCAACTAACGGTGGATGACCACTTGAATCTTTTGCAGCATAATAAAATTTTCAAAGACTTCTACAAAACTTACCCGTTTACCAAGTTTCATTACAATGAAATAATGCATTTAACGAGAGGTGATCTAGAAAGTTCAAAAGAACTTTTAGAGCATTATGAAAATCGATTTCTAATAAATAAACCATTAGAACCAGACTTATTTATGACGAAGGTGGTTAAGGACGAATGGAATTATAGTCTAGAAATTGAAAAAATTATAAAGTTAACCCAGTTTTATGAGCAGCAGTAATATTATATAATGATTAATTAACAATAAGAGAAATTATTGAGCGAAACTTTGTAAGTGAACTTTTGTAATGCAAACAATGAAAGAGCCATAACATACTTGAATTATATTTAATTGCGATTGTTGTCTCTCTCTCTCTCAGCATTTAGTCCGCAAAGTGCCGCAGAAGCTTCTCTAGTGTGAAACTAGCGTTGGTAACCGCAATTTTTGAATGTCCCTGAGTGAAATTTTTTATTACAAGAGGATATTACATTGTGTAGTTCTGCCCTATCTGTGGCATGTGCTTGAAACTTGAAGTATTTAGTCCACAAATCCCAAAAAAAAAGGTATTCCTTGTGGTGCTCATGCGAGTTGCAGAGTTTTTTAATGATTAAGCTCGGTTTAGTCGGAAAATATGTTCTTTCGTGCCTGTATTCCCTGATCAAAACTTTAGATCAGTCATTTATTCTTTTGCAAAACTATCCGACGGAAAACATGGGAGAACTTTTCTGGGACCACAATTTGGTTATGTCAAAAGAATTTGTGAACAGTACGATATTTTGCCCATTATCTTAACGTCCTTTCTTTAGCAGTATCACAAATCCTCGTATTTGCGTAGAGGACTATCGTCTTTGCATTGACGTGGACATTTTTACAGCATATCTATCTGCTGCACTTGCATACGCTGTGAGTCTAAATTCGGATATTAGCTGCATGTTTTCTGCACACAGTTCTGTCTTTTAAGTTCGGTTGTGAAATGTAGTGACACAAATGACTTGAAAACAAATTGACTGTCAGACTATCAATTAGAAACGTGGATATAAATATGGTGGCCTTCCACAAAGAAATTATTGTTCATATCAATCCTTTTTCTTCTAAAATTTAACTAAGAAATCAAACATATCATAATTTACAATGCAAATCAAGACTATCATTCTCACATTAGCTGCTGTTACTGTTGCTTCAGCTGAGAACGCCTCAAACATTAGCTCTGTTTCTGATTCTGGTGCTGGTGTACAAGTTGCTTCCTTCGGTTTACTTGGTGTTGCAGCTGCAGGCGCTGTTGCTCTTTTCTTATGAATGAATAAGAAAATATCCAAAATCGTCGGTATTCTATTATACAAGTGCTCAAGTTAGAGAGTTGAGCTGGCTGCTAAATCATGAAAGATGCCGTTTCGATTTCGATTGGGTAGGCAAATCAGACATATGCTGGCCAGTTGCCTGGGGCCAAATGCTATTTATTAATTTCTTAAATATTATTGTTTACAAGATGAATCAAAATATTAAAACACAGTATACTGTAGTACTTCATAGTCTTTGATTATCTACACTCTTCAATTTGTTTGTTTGAGCTTCAGAGCCACAAATATAGAAAGAACTTTTTCCTTTTGTATTCATGTTTCGGAGAACCAAAAGGACACAGTAAATTAGTATGAATTGGTGAAGGTGTATAGAGATTGCGCGTCCAACTCACATTGTATTAGCTTTTTTATCTTCTATTACCTTGCGGTTTAATTGCAAATCATAAAAACATGTATTTTGCAACATTTTGTGATTCAAAATCATAAAATTATGTATTTGTGCATTTTTCGATATTGTTACTCATATCAATTATTTAGAGTAACGCACTTTTATAAGCAAGGAGGACAGATGTCTTGAATGGTCTCGTGTAACTAAGATAGAATAAGTCTCTTCTTTTTTTTTTTTGAATCATAGTTTTACACTCAAGTTTGCAGGATCTGCATATCTTATGGCTTTGCCCCATAGAATAGTCAGTCTCCACTAGAGGAGAGAGGAATATGTTGCCCCACCTAAGTGATTTAGATTTGATATAAGATGAACAAATCAAAGTGACCATTAATGGAAAGTGACATATATATCCGGATTGAAATCAGGGGTCAGAATATAAGCAGCGTTTTAATACTATAAGAAGCAATACATAGTTCCTTGTAGAAGAAATCTGAGTAATTTGTGGCATCAGTCTGCAACTGAACAGGAAACATTAACGTTGCAAAATTTTACGAGATACTTCGGCATATGACATGTAATTACGAAGATGAACGATAAGTTTAGTAAGAAGAAATCAAGTTTAACTTGCTTGATAGCACACTAGATGTACAGATTGATTTTATAGAAGTACACTAAACCAAAACGATCTGTGAAGTTTATGAGAGTTCTAAATAGTCATTTTATTGGCCTACTATTATACTTAGGTGATTGCTAATCAACTACTCTAAGCTTATATACAGTGTGATACTACTTAGAATCCCTAGTAGAATGTAATCTTCTACTACTGCGAATATCTTGGGCTTATATACTTTTACAACACTCTTCAAATTGTGTATATTCATAAGACTGATACTTTACAGATCCAAAAACTGCCTGCGTAGCGTAATGGTTAACGCGTTTGACTTCTAATCAAAAGATTGCGGGTTCGACTCCCGCCGTGGGTTTGATATATATCTTTTTTTTTTTGCTTTTTTGAATTTGCTCCTGTATATGAGCGCCTCGAATTCAGAACCCCACCTTCGTAGCCCTCTCAAGAATGATGTTCCCTATCATGAGGCCAATTTTCTCACTGGTTCCTCTATAATCCAGCTTCGCTTTCAAAAGTTGGAGTAGAAGATTGAAAAAAATGGATAACGTTAAGAAAAAGCTGGCGAGAGTTTCAGTATTGACAGATGAGCAGAGAAAGGCACATCACATAGCATCAGAACAAAAGAGAAGAGAAAACATAAGATCAGAATTCGATAAAATAGTCACTTTAACCCCGACATTAAACGAGCTGGAAAATAGATCTGAATTAAACATCTTGAGTAAAAGTGCTGACTACATTGATCTGTTGAAGGAGGAAAATGCAAACTTAATTGAGCTCTGCCGACAGAAGGGCATCGAAGTTCCTAAAGAATACATCTACAAAGGACCCGGAGGTGAAGCAGATAGTGGTGTTTAATTATTTATCTCTATTTTCCATATTACTCCATACTTGAATTGGATTCCTTCGAAATTAAAAGTATGCAAGACAGGCACAACTTCGCAGTTGTGATACTTTTTTGAATGATTTGTGAATAACTGTATCGAATCTGTATTGTTTTCCAGGACTCTCTTAATTTTCTCAAAGTCATTGGTAAATAAGACTACAATATGCAAAGCTCCCTTACCGATGACGGTTGAGTAGTGTTGTTCGAAAGATCTTATAATATCAGCCTGTTGATCGCTCAATTGATTCACAAGTGACTCATCATCGTACATATCAATAATGTTCTCATAACATATACCTCCCCATTCTACGTCTGCCTTCTTGGGAAGTGCTTGCACTTGAACGATGAGCAATTGTTTGCCATTCAATTGAGCGAGTTCCCAGGTTTTGCAAACAGTTGAAAGATTTTCTTTATTGGTAATGAAAGCTATAACAAAAGCGTAGTTTCTTAAATTGATTAGACTTTTTACCTTGAATAAATGCTGTAATGATAAAACCGAATTGAATCGGATATTTCCACGACTCAATTCCATAGTTGACGGAATTAATGGTATTTGGCCCGACAAGGTACCAATTTTATAAGTTGACAGTTCTTCTATGACACTCTGAGAGTATGGACCGATGTTCTGAGGCGCCCAGTAAGATCTTGATTGAACGTGAAGTCCCTTCTTGATGCCCTGGTGTTTTAATACGATGCACGAAAAGTGAACCAATGTAGATAAACTAGTTTCCACGCATATTCTAGATGGTGGGAGAAAGTATTTTTTAAACGCTTGCTCGTATATACCGTTTATTTTTTCAAAATTTAGTATATCCGAAAGCAACAAAGTGACATGCTGAATGTTGTCTAATGACGAATTGTATTTTTGTAAAATAGCCGTAAGTTCGTGAAAAATATCTGTAGTTTGCTCTTCAATTGTAGACTTTTGACTTGTCAAATTAGAAACATATAGCTTAGTCTTTGTAGAAGTGATAGATGGCAGAGTATCTATTTTATTGAAGGTAATATTAGTGGACTCATTGGAAGTAGATGTACTAGCGAGACAAGAGTATATATCTGTGAAGTCAGCATCGAGAACATTTGGTGGTGGGTCCAGTAATTTAAATGATACATTCTCTTTATCTATTACCTTAGCTTTCACCTTAAGATAAGCCACGTCACCATCTTGAGATATCTGGCTGTCCACAAGTTCCAATCTCTTTTTAAAATAAGGCGCGTCGAGGACGATTGTTTCAAATTCGCCACCTTCACCACATATATGTACATCGTATGTGGAATTGAGTGTTATTAGAGTTGGAAGCATTTCAGACAAAGATTTACCTAAGCTATCGGGTTCAAGACCAATTGCTGCAACTTTGATCAATCTTGCATCCAAATTGTTGTCACACATCTCTTGTAGCAATTCTAGCTGGTCTCTTTGCCACAAGTATGAAAGGGAAGTGAGCAGTAACCTCCCGCACACATTCTCTACCCTCGTACGTTGATAATGAGATAGTATCGCTCCGCAACTAACTCCTTTTATATCTGGATGTTCCAACTTTACACGACATAGGAGTCTATACAAGTCTTCAATTTCATCCTCCTGCGTGACAGAATACTCAAGGTTTTGATTTGAAGATGTGCCTTTAATCTGCTCTCGATACAAAGGTACATTCAAGCACTGTTCGTAAAGCTCAACAATGTCGTGCCCCACTGTCTGGAACATGTAAGAATCGATCTCATCAGTGTCAGCTTGCCTAGGATATAAATTCGCTAGTGCCACTAATTCGTGACCCCTTGAAAGGCAATGATATATATTAAAGAATGAGTCTTTGCCCCCTGAAATAAGAGCGACGAACTTCATACTGAATATTACTTTGACTTTGTTGCCTTTGTGTCTTCCGTCGTGTCAGATGAGTTCTAAGATGATATTCCATTCAGACTTAAATTTACTCAACTGAGGGTAAACAGTAGTCTGGAAAAATTCTGTATTCTCCTCGCATACAAAAAAATTTTCACTTCCTCAACTTAACTTGAGAGCATTCTTTTCTTCATTAACAAGTAAGAAACTAATTTAGAGACAATATGCCTCGTAAGTATAACTATTAGTATTACATTCTTGATCAGACTATTTTCAACACTCCTTGGATGCTTTGATTCAATGGAATATCTTACTGGTTACTGCCAGTTAGAGTTAACAGGTTGAATAATTTTGACAAGAGGTTCGGGTCCTCAGATTTAAAACAGGATTGTGACTGAATTCCCGACACTTCAGTTACAAATGCATGAAATAGATCATCTTTTGTCTGTGCCGCTGCTCCAACACGTAGTGTCTTGGAGCATTCGGTAGGCATCTAATGACCTATCTTGCTCCGTTTAAATGTAGACTGACCCAGCTATCCCATGAGAATGGCGACTAACATCTACAGGTGCCCCAAGAACTTACTCCAAGACTTACTCTGTCCCAAAGAGACCATTCGAGTCTGCTCGTTTGGATGCCGAATTAAAGTTAGTTGGTGAATATGGTTTGAGAAACAAGAGAGAAGTTTATAGAATTGGATTCCAATTATCTAAGATTAGAAGAGCTGCCCGTGACTTGTTGACTAGAGATGAGAAGGACCCAAAGAGGTTGTTCGAAGGTAATGCATTGATCAGAAGATTAGTCAGAATCGGTGTCTTGTCTGAAGACAAGATGAAATTAGATTATGTCTTGGCTTTGCAACCTGAAGATTTCTTAGAGAGAAGATTGCAAACTCAAGTCTTCAAGTTGGGTTTGGCTAGATCCATTCACCACGCTAGAGTCTTAATCACCCAAAGACATATCGCTGTAGGTAAGCAAATTGTCAATGTCCCTGGTTTCATGGTTAGATTAGACTCTCAAAAGCATATCGATTTTGCTCAAAACTCACCTTACGGTGGTGGAAGACCAGGTAGAGTAAAGAGAAGAAACCAAGCTAGAAAGGCTGCAGCAGAAGGTGAAGGTGCTGAAGAAGAAGAAGAGTAAATTATTTAGAGTAATTTTACTAGTCACTACCTTCCAATATTCGTGTTTATAATCTGTACACCATAGTAATAAACCTAAAACATGTATTTTAGTATAAGTTTTTAGTAGATTGGTGGCTCCGATCAGCAGTCCTTTTATCACGTGATATAGGGTTTCAACATCAGAGTTTTTTCACGTTGTGCGGTCCGCAGGAAAATTTTCAAAGGTAGAGTTTACATTTAAGTGCTTTTGAAAGAAGAACCACACTAGAAGAAAGAAGGAGACAAATAGAAGCAAGATGGCGAAAACGTATGTGTTAATATTTTATTCATGAATGCATTTGGACGAGAGAAAATGGAACATGATTGGAAAACTTCAAGTTTAGTACTATAGCTGTACTCTAGAGATTTTACGCATTGGTGAGAGTAATTGTATTGGAAATCTGAAAATAAACTATACTTGGCTAAGAGAGCCATCAGCAAGATCAAACACGAGGATGAAACCGATATTTTGATTGTAAATTTAAAACCAATACTAGGCATCTGATATCTATCATAGAATTGGTGCGACATACTTTCGACTATGTGGTTTATGGATTTGATACCTTTAGCAAATACTAACATATTATAGTCATGGTTACAGATCTGGTACACGTTACATGTTCCAACGTGACTTCAAGAAGCATGGAGCTATTGCTCTTTCCACTTACTTGAAGACATACAAAGTTGGTGACATTGTCGATATCAAGGCTAATGGTTCTATCCAGAAGGGAATGCCTCATAAATACTACCAAGGTAAAACTGGTGTTGTCTTCAATGTGACCAAGTCTTCTGTAGGTGTTATTGTATACAAGATTGTTGGTAACAGATACATCGAAAAAAGAGTCAATTTAAGAATTGAACATGTCAAGCATTCTGCTTGTCGTCAAGAATTTTTAAACAGAGTCAAAGAAAATGCTAGATTGAAAAGGGAAGCAAAGGAGAAGGGAGAAAAAATCAACCTTAAGAGACAACCTGCTATGCCAAGGGAGGCCAGAATCATCTCTGCTGAAACAAATATTCCTCAAACCTTGGCGCCAGTTGCCTATGAAACTTTGATCTAAGTTATTACCTTCAAAATCGATTTCTGCTTAGGAATAGCTTGGTTAGATTTTATTATTTCGTTTTTTCTTTTTAAATAGTACAGTATACTATTCTAATGCATGTAAACGTACAGACAGATTCACCTCATCAACATCTATATTGGTCGCTGCCCTTATTTGAGGACTGCATAAGCACTTATACAAAGGAGACCTTTAAGTATCATATATCGAGACGGATACGGAGGTATCTCTTTCGATAGTTCAAGTATCGAATCTATAGCTATAAACATGGTTGAGGGCGGCGACATCATCATTGATAGTTCGGCTCGTTCTAAGGATTTGGGGAAACCGAAAACATTGAATGTATTTGACAATGCATTGCAATCCTGGGCTGAAATAGATTTACCTGCTTTGCAAAAGAAATTAGATGAACAAGGATTGTCCCTTAAAGATGAACAAAAAAGTTCGTTGTTGAGCCGTAAGAACCTAGCAGCAAAGACAAAGGAATTCAAGAAGCTTCCAGATAGCCAAAAACTAGAAGGATTTAAGTCCTTATTAAAATTATATCAAAACGAGATTGATGCTTTGACTAATAAGAAGAAAGACGCCGAAAGCTATTTTTTTGGGATTTATCGTATAATAGCGGAGGCACCAGATCCAAGGCCCCTTCTTGAGCTTTCTCTAGATGCAGTTGCTGAAATATCGGATCTTGATGACTTGAGGAGAGATGTGACTCGACTTAATGAAGAACTAAGTAAAAAGGCAGACTATGAACAATTGAAGCAGCGATTACTACAAAATGAGCAAAGATCTGCAGAGACTCTAAGTTCCAAGCTCGTTGCTAAGGAAGAAGAGTTCAAAGCATTAATTGACGAGAAGGAATCTAACTGGAAAGAAAGGGAGAAATCCTTCCAGAACCAAATTAAAGAGGCTCAAAGGAAAATAGAGGAATTGAGAACCTCAAAGGAAGTAACTGAGCTTCAGTTGAATAGTCAGCAAAGCCAAAGCAATTCGTTAAGCTCCGCAGAGGTCGTTGCTGAATTGGAAATTGTTTCGAGAGATGCTGAATCCTCCAAGAAAAGAGTATTCGAATTAGAGAAACGAAATGAACAGTTAAGGAGAGATTTATCAAATTCTCAAAATGATGCTACAATTACAAGTTTAAAAGCTGAATATACGAAGAAGATTTCTGAACTCGAAGGGGAAAATGCCTTGCTACTTGCGCAATTTGAAAATCATAAAAAGGACCTAAAGGATACTTCGAAGCAGAGTCTGTACAAAATTGAATCTCTTAATAGAGAAATTTTGCAATTGAGTTTTGAAATAAAGAAATTGAAAGAGAAATTGGAGAAATCAATTGATTATGAAGAGATAAAGCACGAATTGCAACTATTGCGTCAAATCGAATTTGGAAATGAAGAAGATATAAATGATGGAGCTATTGATTCCGTGATTTTACAGAAGAATAAATCTTTGACTAAAGAACTAGCTGATTTGAGATCTCAGCATGATGATCATGTTTCTAAAATTGAGAATTTAAATGCAGAAGCAACAAATATTAAACAAGAACTCGAGAAATCTCGTGCTTTGAATATAAAGTTGGAAAATGACATGGCAGATGTTCGTGAGTATTCGAATAGTGGTAAATTCAATGATACTTCTAGTATAATATCAGGCATGAGCAAGGTCACAAGAGGGGTAAGAAATGGGACAGCTGGACCAAATAGCTCTTCTGATGAGACATCGATTTTACCTATTATTACGAAGCAAAGAGACAGGTTTAGAGATCGGAATAATGAGCTTGAGGATGAATTGAAGAAACAATACACCATCGTATCTGACTTGAAAAGAAACGTTAACGCGTTGAAAAGAGATAACGAAGAACTTTATGAGAGAACAAGATATCTAGCTTCTATGAAGAACAACTTGGACCATAATAACGCTAGTCGGCAGTTGGCTACCAGAAAATTTCAACCTAAATCAAACATTGACGAAAGCAATCCGTATCGAGAAGTTTATGAGTCGAGATTACATCCTATCGAACAATTCAGGTTGCGAGAACAAGAAAGAATTAGTTCTAAACTTTCACCTTTGGAGAGGCTATTTATATCAGGAACTCGAGCAATCTTAGCAACGAGAACGACCAGGATGCTCTTCTTATTCTACTGTATTGGGCTCCATTGCATTGTAGTCTTCATGACTATTTATTCAATGAGCCTAAGTACGTCTCTCATTCCTGAGGTTGGTTTGAATAGTAGCACCGGCGGTGTCGCTGGTGGTGGTGCGCTTGCCGCAGAACCTGGTGTTGCAGCTCAGCCCGATTCCCCTAATATCTGATAATTAATTCTGTAAAATCTACGTCAATATATATACTGCATCTTTAATCTTTTCGATAGTTCTGTGTAAACTCCTGAACGTGTTCTATTTTTGATTTCTGTCCCGTTCCTTAGTGTGCCCCTCTCGGAATTAAAGTAGACATCACGAGCTACTGACTCGATAATTAAGTTGCCACCACTAGACTTGCTACAGACTTTAAAACTAAATATTTATAGCACTCCTAATACTAAAAAATTTAGAATACTCTTGAACTCAATTAACTCCGTTATTTGTCAACTGTTCTATATACTCGTTACCAAAGGATGTCTGATCAATCAAACAAACAGTCTACCACAGAACAATCAGGTCTGCAACAAAACGATCTGGAGAAGAAAATTGACAAGGATTCCATGTTGGTTGAAATAGGAGGTGAAAAGGTTCCATACAAGGATATTCGCTGGCCACATCATGTTGTCCTTAAACCAGAATCACACATGGCAAAACAAGATCCCTATAGCTTTCCAAAAGTAGAACCGGATGCGAAGAAGAGAGAAGAAGAACTTGAGGCCGCTCGTGCCAAAAATCATGAACTGAAGTGAAGTGAACATTCTGCACCGTTATATGATCTTATAAGTGGTGACATCTGGTATGTTAGATCTTCGACTCAAGCACAGCAATGGGCATGAAAATTGATCCATTGCTATCCCTTATTGATTTTTATAACATCTAAAATAGTACTTTTTTAGAGAGTCTTATAGCTAATTCGAGTATACAAATCTCATAGCTATTAGTTAGTATATACGTAATTGGTTCATTGCAGCCTTTAGTATTATTTCTTGGTGTTTTGATAAAGTTCGCGAAACCCTTAATTATCTGAAACTTAAATTAAAACTACATATTTCTTTCCTAGCGATTAGAAGACATACAGCTGATTATATATCACGTCCCGAAAATGGTGGGGCTTCCAAGAAGATTAGTGAGACAGCTTTGCTATCTACTAACCACTGTAATAATAATTACTGTATTATTGTTGCTCGCGAATCGACACAACGTGCTTCGATTACAAGACTACTTGTCAATCGACTTGACGCCTTCATTCTTCCAACCGGCGGCAGATTCATTCATAGTCGATGTTTCAATAAATAATTGTTTGAAATTAAAGTCGAAGAACAAGGACTGTGGTTTACCAGCAGCAGCAGAAGGACCACTAGGTGATTTACAAGACCTGGGAGGCTGGATTAAAATCGACAAGGATTTGTCTTTAGGTAACTCTTGGATTAAAAAGAAATACTTCTCTTATAAGAGAGTCCTGGCAAAGTCATTGAAGGGAAATGTACAAAGCGGCCAAAAGGAGCCAGAAAAAAGAGATGATCAACAGGTACTTATAGATATTGCAATTTCTAATCCAGACAAGGATGCTTTGATTAATGGTAATAAGCATTTACTTATACCAGAGAAAATATTAAAGGAGTTACATTCCGGAAGGGTTTTCAATGATAAAGATCACGAGGATTTGGTTTTGGATGGAACTCATAAGCAAAAGAGCGAACCACTAGTGTCAACACTACATAAGATTTCAGAAGTCGCTCCCAAAGAAAACAAAGAAGAAAGGAGCGTTGCAGAGGCAGGCAATCACGAAAATTCAAATCAAGAGAGAGATTCACTAGGGCTCGACAACATAAGCGCTGATAAGAGTCAGGTAAACAAGAGGGCTGAAGAAAACGATAGACTTGACCTCGACATTCAGTATAAAATCCCTACTAAGGAAGAATTATTGAACAATGGCTGGCAATATAAGTCTAATGGTATCTGGTTGAAATATGGCTCAAAATGGAACAAAGAAGTAATCACAGGATTAGATATCTTATATGGAGATGACGCTGTTGAACCAAGACCAAACTGGGAATTGCTCCATGAAAATAATATATTAGATGTCAACAGTCCGCCTGGAAAAAGTGCTTATCTCACTATTCGTAGGGGCCCCAAAGTTGACTACGACAAAGCTGAGTTCAAACCAACATTAAAACTAAAAGAGGATGGCAAATTCAAAATACTCCAAGTGGCAGATCTACATTTTTCTACTGGTGTAGGAAAATGTCGTGACCCTGTTCCTCCTGAGTCTGCGGATGGGTGTCAAGCTGATCCGAGAACTTTAAAATTTCTTGAGAAAGTATTGGACTTGGAGAAACCAGACTTCGTCGTCCTAACAGGTGACCAGATTTTTGGCGATGAGGCACCAGATTCCGAAACTGCAATTTTCAAAGCTTTGAATCCCTTCATTTCGCGAAAAATTCCTTTTGCAATCACTCTAGGGAATCATGATGATGAAGGATCGATGACTCGAACTCAAGTGATGAGTTTGTGCTCTAATCTACCTTTTTCATTGTCTTCCATAGGCCCAGATGATGCTGCAGGAGTCGGGAATTATGTTTTGGATGTCGAATCTTTTGATTCAAAGAAATCATCGCTATCGCTCTATTTTTTGGATACTCACAAATATTCCCAAAGTCCCAAAGTAAATCCAGGGTATGACTGGATAAAAGAATCTCAATTAAAATGGCTTGAAAGGGCTCATGTTGAAGTGGATGACAAGCTGTCACCGGGCTTTCATTTATCGATGGCTTTTTTTCACATCCCACTTCCAGAATACAGGAACTTGAATAATCGCATATTTGGAAGACAAAGAGAGGGCGTTACTGCCCCCAGATACAATACGGAAGCCAGAGCTTTGCTTGGTGATATAGGTGTTCTGGTAGTGAGTGTGGGTCATGATCACTGTAATGAATATTGTCTAGCTGATAATCAAAAGAGACGAATAGGAGGAGAGAATGATATTTGGCTATGCTATGGTGGTGGCTCTGGTGAAGGAGGCTATGGCGGGTATGGTAATTATGTCAGAAGACTAAGGTTATTTGAACTTGATATAAGCGCTGGTGATATTATTACTTGGAAGAGGACTGCGGCGGATCCTAAGAAAGTAATTGACAAACAGAGATTGGTTAAGAACGGAAAGGCCGTAAAAGATATTCAACAAGTTTAATACCAGAAAAATTCACCTAATTGCTATTCAACTGGATGAGACGATGCGGCTCACCAGGTATACTATATATTCTATGAAATATCTACTTCAGCATGAGAGTCGAGGGAGGAAAGAGTAATATATTCTTGATTCTGTAATATGAAATGTAGGCATGTAAGCTTATATTAGCAGTACACACCTGTAGATAATCGAGATTCGCGATCACTATCAGTGCCCGTAACAAGACAACTGTTCTATTTTCGATATACTAAGGATCACTTAACTCTGATTCCTCAAAGGGGTTCTATAGTCTGATGATACGCTCAGGACTGAAAGGCACAGAAGTGAGAGGAGATGGTAATGACGTAAAGGAGTTGAAACAATGGCTCCTGAAGTCCAATTCTTTGCACAACTACTCGAAATTTTCTGAGAATGGTATCACGATGGACTTGATTCCGGAGCTTGATACAAATTCATTAAAGGAAATTGGAATAAATAAAGTAGGGGATAGAATAAGACTTGAATTGGCTATATCAGATTTGAAAGCTGAGCGTTTATCTAATAAAATCACTGTTGAAAGTCTATATACGTTGTTGAACTTACAATTATCGAATTCAAATAGGAATGATAACTTCAAGGATTTATATACAGCAAATGACTCGAGCACATTGATAGCATTAAATGGTAATACAAGAGGTTCATCAAGCAAAGATTCTGACAAAAACATTACTTTTATTTTGCAAGATGGATCAATAAAAAAAGTAAATGTGACTGGTTGTTTTAATGCTCAGTCAATCAAGAGAAAAGTGTTAAAAAGATTGGGAATAAAACAACAAGAGGCTACTTATGATACTTATATTCATTCAATACAGAATTCGGAACCAGGTGGCATCAATCTCCTATTCGATGTTGAATTAGTCACAATATGCTATTCTCCAGACAGATTAGAGAAACATAGAATCATGTTGTGTCCCAAAGATGAGAAACCATCAGATGCTGCAATTGAGACTTCCAAGAAGATTATCAACAAATTTGGTAAGTTTCTGTCCGGTAGTCAGAGATCTCCGCCGAGTAATTTGAGTCAATATCATATACCAGATAGGCATGATTCCAATATGCGAAATTTCTTTGGTCAAAGGCCCCCAAGTGAGTTGATTTCATCAAATTTGGCGGAGTACTTTCCAGACACTCATCAGAAGGAGTTGGAGGCTACAATTAGAAATTCGGTGAGATACAGTGTTAGGCTATCTCGTCAACTGTACCTCCCCAATTCAAATACATCTTTAACCAGCTCAAGTAGTTTGGCTGTCAATCAAAAATCAGCGCCAAAGCCAATATATCGTTCCTCTTCCCCTAACAGGGCTTCATCGATCACATCTGGTACGTCTACCGGAAAGAAAATGCAAGCTGCCAGAACAATTGGTGAAGTGATGGTCAACAATGTGAACGCTTTAGATGAAGCAGTTAGCTTGAGTGATTCGCAGTCATTATTGTACAAATCTCCATCGATTTATTCTGGAACTGGCGGCCAAGCGGGAGACGTTAGGTCTGTGTTGTCTGGTCAATCCCGGCAGAGTGGTGTTCATCTGAAAGTTTCTATAGCAACAGAAAATGGAATTAAAAGGCATTCTCGCATTGAGTTAATAAGTGTCGACTCTGATTCTGATGATGCTGATGATTTCATCTCTGAATATGGAACATTTACGGGAGGTGAATTAGGCTCCAATTCTGGCGGAACCTTCGATATTGCGTCTGAAGACGGACCAAAATACTGGTTACAAGGTGCACGCATTGGGTCTGGGAGCTTTGGTACAGTCTACTTGGGAATGAATCCTATGACAGGAGAACTTATGGCGGTGAAGCAAGTTAGATTTCCAGATGTAAGTAAGAGTGAACATTCAAAAGTAGCTGTTTTCGAGGCATTAAGAAGAGAGATGTTCATATTAAAGGAATTGAATCACGAAAACATTGTTCGCTATTTGGGTTCTTCATCTGACTGTGATAATCAAATATTTAATATATTTATTGAATATGTTCCTGGAGGCTCTGTCCTGTCGATGCTATCGTCATATGGACCTTTTGAAGAACCATTAATAAGGAATTTTATCAGACAAGTGTTGATTGGTTTGAGCTATTTACATGGAGAGGATATTATACATAGAGATATAAAAGGGGCAAATATATTGATTGACATCAAAGGGACGGTAAAGATTAGTGATTTTGGCATATCAAAGAAATTAAACAATGACGCTGATAATGAGACAAGAGGCAGAAGAGCATCCTTACAGGGTTCAGTTTATTGGATGGCCCCGGAAGTCGTCAAGCAAACAGCATATACAAAGAAAGCTGACATATGGTCAGTTGGGTGTCTCGTAGTTGAAATGTTCACAGGAAAGCATCCATTTCCGGATTTTAGTCAAATGCAAGCCATTTTTAAAATAGGTACCCATATTATACCACAAATACCCGAATGGTGTACTCTAGAGGCTAAAGATTTCTTATTGAAAACATTTGAAATTGATTATAATTTGCGACCTCATGCTGTTGACTTGTTGGCAGATTCATTTTTGAATACCTTAATAATGTCAAAAACTGTATAGAAGGATAAAATGTCGTTCTCAATGTCTACGCGACATTAGCGTGATGTTTCCCACGAAGGACTGACCTATTTTTTTTAGGTAGGGTATGATGAACTACAAAAATATGGGAGCCGTATTGCATTCTTATTTTAGGTTATAGTTTGAAAATTAGTAGCCTTAATATTCGCAAAGAAAACCAACTTCGTATTACTGAATTCTTCTCTCGTGGATTTCTCAATATACTATTTTTACATTTTAATGAAATATTAATTAGCATACAAATTGATTTATGAAACCTAAAAAGCGACATGGATATACCTTTGAAGTCACAGAGAGAGATTTCTCTGACGGGTCTGGCTGGTAAAACAGCAGAATCCTTTTCTAATAGTATGGAACGGCACAATGTGCCAAGAGTGTCTAGCACCATTGATTTGGGCAACTACGAAAGCCATTCTAATCCCTGCAAGTTGACTAGGGTTTATTCTGAATCTGAGAAAAGCAATTTCGACGCAGAGACTGGGCACCGATTATACGATGACGGTAAAATAAGACCCCAATTATCAAGGAGTAATTCGCATCTTGATGGGGACGATTCTAGTGCGATGTATGACATACGCTCGCAGTCTCATAAAGAATTACCCAATTTCAATGCTATTGGTTTAGAAGACGAATACATTCCTGACTTGAATTTCAAGCATTTGATATATAAATGGAACAAACCTTCGGATCAAAATTTACTGAAATATTATGATCGAAATGACCATATTCCAAGTACATCCACTAGTGGAACGAACACACCTGTGATGAATTCATCATATCTAGATTTGAATACTTTGCACTCTAAAGTGGCACCACAGCCTATCAATCCTAAAGGCTACTCTCCTCCTAAGTATACGTATTCGAAGCTCAACGATGTGATGAAAATGAGGAGCCGTTATGGGGGAGAAAGCTTAAGCAGGCAATTGAGTACTGACTATGAGAAGAAAAATAAAAAAATTAAATCGGCTGTAAATCCTGAAACAGGGACCGTTGATTATGAAGCCATTCTAGACAGTTTGCCATCAAACTTTAATGATCTACCATACTCGCAGCGAAAGAAACTTGTTACCTCTTTTGCTGACTCTGCAGACTATTCAGAATTTTCCCTTTTCGCAAAGCAGTATTTCAGTGACAAAGCTAGCTCTAGCTCCAGTAAGACGCCGAAAAGTGGGAATGGTAGTTTTAGACGTCCAAGAAGGGACAGTAGTAATACAGTCGCTGGGCGTCTACTCGCAATTTCATCATCTACTGATTTACATAAATCTGGAAGTGAGACTCCAAAGATCAATGTTGACGAGAAGGGTGCTTATGTTATGGATCATGAGCTTGGCAAAGTAATTGGGTTTGGTGCTTGGGGCACTATAAGAGAATGCACGTCCTCCGATGGCAGTATAAGAGCTATTAAAATAGTAAAATCATACAAAGAGAATGACTCATACACTTCGAAAGATTCTCAAGCGGTGAGCAGAAACCCGAAGGTTTTGGAAGTTTTCAAACAAGAAATAAGTATTTGGAAGCTGCTTCACCATTCTAATATTTTGCCATTGATTCAATACTTGGAAACTGAGAGAGCCATCTTCTGTATTACAAATAAAATTCATGGAGGCACTTTGTTTGAAATAGTATCTCAATGGGGGTACTATATTGGTAGTACTCTTGGAGATGAATCAAGTTTTCAATTCCAGATTGGAATTCAGAGATCTCGATTAATGCAGTCGGTCTCTTATTTGAAGCAAATAATATCCGCTTTGTTGTATTTGCATCAAGAGAAGGGTATCGTGCACGGAGATTTAAAGTTGGAGAATGTGTTGGTTGATGATAGCAATAAGGAACACTATAAAATGGTATTATGTGATTTCGGAATGTCGAGAATTTACACTTCAAGATTAAGTAGAAAATCATCTAGGTTAGGGGAAGAAATTGATAACATAAGGAGCAGGTCATCAGCTGCTGATATGAGAAAACCGTATTATGGCAATACCGCATCCACTAGACATCTCTTTTCTGACGATTCGAAGATTGGCATTTCAAATTATTTGAAGCCTCATGGCCCTTCATTACAATCAGTAGATTTGACGCCATCTCAGTCCAACATATCATTGCATCGTTTCAACGATACCCTGATTGATACCTCATATCTCGGAATCGATTCAGAATTACCTCATTCTCATATAGGTTCGCTTCCCTATGCCTCTCCCGAATTGCTACTTCCATCTCCACCCCCTTTGGGCCCTTCTGCTGATATATGGGCGCTTGGAATACTCATGTACACGATGATCGTTGGAAAGTTGCCGTTCCAACACCAATATGAGCCGCGTTTGAGAGCAATGATTTCGGCCGGCAGATATGATAAAGAAGATTTGAAAAAGGCAACACTTATACAATGTGTGTATGGTGATGTGAATAAAGAACTGACACAACTTGCGGATTCGTTTTCGCTGAGCGAAAACATCACCAAGTTGAAAAATGAATGGCTTTCGTGTAATTCAAATGAATATAAATGGGTTTATGATGTAATTGTGGGTTGCTTAGAGACTGACATCACGAAAAGGTTGGATATTGAATCCATAAATAATACATTTTCCCTTAAGGACATTTAACGACGCGATGTGTGAAAAAAAAAAAACGGCAAATATGTAAACTGTTTGATATCAAAACTGTTGGTAGGAATATATAGCACCAACTAATGAAAAGTGAAAAGAAAAAGAAAAGAAAAAGTTAAAAAGAAAAAAATCTATGAGGCATTTATCATGTTATATCACTACAAAAGTATCATTAATTATCATGTATGAGTACATTCTATTGTAAATCATGCCAAAAAAATACTCTTATCTTAATTAGTGGATTTATTTTTTTTTTTTTCAATAGTTATATTTGGTATAACTTTGACGCACCAAATCATAACATGATTTCTCGGTAAATAATTTAATAGCATAATCATAAATTTCCAGCATAGTCAACTAGTCGTCATAGAAGATGCAATTACCAGAAGGATATTCATTTAGAAAATTACAGCTTTCTGATTACTCAAAAAATTACATTGAAACACTAAAAATATTGACAACTGTAGGTGATATAACACCAAATGCGTTTGATAAATTATACAAACATTGGCAGGAATATTCAGAAATTTATTATCCTCATGTCATAACTGATGGTAGTGACACAGTGGTTGCTACTGGTATGTTATTGGTTGAAAGAAAACTAATTCATGAATGTGGTCTAGTCGGACACGTTGAAGATATCGCAGTAGCTGAGTCAGAGCAAGGGAAGAAACTTGGGCACGCGTTGATTTCGGGCCTTACAGAAATTGCCAAGGAGAAGGGATGTTATAAAGTAATTTTAGATTGTTCACCTCATAATGAACCATTTTACGAGAAATGTGGCTATCAGAATAAAGGCACTGAGATGGAAAAGAGGTTCTAATCATCAACTGTGATTGCTACGTAAAAAATAGACCCATTGTGCATGTATGTATGTATTTATTAGGTATTTATCAGAATTTATCATCATTACAACATTTATCAACATTTATGAGCTATTTGTTGATTCATGATGGAAATTTAAAGGGTTCTATCATATTTTTTCAAGCGCCTAAATGGGTTAGTAATGGCTGATGATTAAGGTATCTTTAAATTAACGTACCTCTAATGATACTATTGAGTTTCCTCTCACGACCTATATGGAGTTAGTAATCTTTGTTTACAAGGCTGCTAAACATAAACACCCAACGTACCACCGATCCTATATTTATATGTTCACCATCCTTCTGTTCTTCTAAGGAGTCCACTAAAGTAACATTTAAAAATATCTAGAGCAATGTTAGTATATATCTTCTCGTGACTCGTTCATTTTTAAGCCAAATTACGTACATCATATCCTTTCAAGACTCCAATAACTTTCCTGGCTCCATTTAACTGTATAGACACTTTCTTGCCCATGTACTAGAAGCATCGTTAGTATTTATGTTTCTTAAATGCAAGACTATACCATACAAACTTACACCTTTCAACTCTGGTACAGAAGACATTTGTTGTTCTACTTTGATTATATTGATTTTCCAAAAAGTATTAGTTCACAAGGAATTTGAATTTCTTTACCTTGAATTTTAATCGCGATGATGTTTACGAATAGTGTATCTGTATCTGAGAATAAGGACAATTATTAAAATTAGACGGTTGGCTAGATGAGTAATATTCCGGATATAACGTCCTTATCTGACTTATTAGGAACGTCACCTCGAGAGCCATCGAGGGATATACAGAATTCTTTGCAACTTGATGTTGCTGAAATAGTACCATACCATCAGGACCAAGAACAAGAGCAGGAGGAAGAACAAGAACAAGAGCCAAATGATGAGTCAGATTATTCAGATCATAACCGTATAGAGAATTTTGAAGAGCTACTAAGCAGACAGAATATGAAACTAAGTCTAGTTAACGAGAGAGATTCCTTGTTGAGAGAGAGAACGCACCTCAAAACAAAGATTGATGAGCTCGTTGTGAAAGTGCAATACATGAAGGATATGAGGTCCAAGGAATTCGAGAAAAGTAAATTAAAAGATTTGCTAGAAGAGAGCGATCTTAAAAGTGCAACAAACGAAGATTTGAGGGGTCCTAGCGATGAACAAGATGTCATAATAGAGAACTTGCATGTGTTACCATCAAATAATTGGCTTGAAAGAATTAGAATGGTAAAGCTATTTCAAAAACATATTGAGATAGACAAAATCAAGACTACTAATTACTATGATTCAAATTCTAAACTTCGTCGTGCAATTGAGTTCTTGGTTATTTCTCCTCTACTATTCAAGCTTTCAATCAAGGTAGCAGTGGACACCAAGGACGAATCTTTGACTGAGATAATTATCAACCAGAGGATGTTTAATAGTATTGGAATTCTTTCGTCTTCTTTCGCTACTGTGTTATACAAGGATTATGTTCCTAAACTAAAATTAAATTTGATAATGTTCGGACTTAACTCATTATCTCAGTTGCTCCACGTAAGAGCGAATTGCATGCTTACTATAATTAAAACGTTTTCACATCTTATTGAAGGAGAGAGATTCTCTGAGATAATTCTGTTTGAAAATATGAATAACAAACTAAAAGTTATGGCTCGATTGAAGAGTCTAGATCAGATCGTATTTACATTTTCGAAATCTTTGAAGACTTATCGGATTACTCTCTTTTGGGATATAGTACTTACCGAAGTCAAAATAGCGGAGTGTGGATCGAAAATTACACTTACAATAACAGATGGCACCAAGTTTTTACCGGAGGCTGGCTCTCTATTTTCAAATTTACTTGAACAACACAGTGTCATGGATTCGTTATGCATGGTTTTAGGAAACATATTCCAAAAGGAACATTAAGTAGGATTATAGTACAATATCACATCGTAGCTTATTTCATGAAAAATGTACGATATCATTTTCAAGATCAAACTTCATGTCATGATATTCTGATTTGGCATTTTTCAATAGCCAACCGTTGCAGAAAGATATTAAATCAAGCATGTAATTAGTCTTCTCGTTACCTCTGTTGAAGGTATGAATTGGGATGTAGCCATGGCCAATTTCCTCAACGTTCGCAAGGTCCATTTGACCACTTATATCGTTGCTTAGATCACTTTTTTTGGTACCAGTTAAAATTGGGCCATTACCTATAGATTTTCCTAGTTGTTGATAGGTATAACTTTCAACGCCATTTATGAAATCATAACGAATATCTTCCCATTCCATTCCTAATAATCCGTTGGCAGTTGATTTTTTATATTGGAAAAATCTAAAGAGCCAGTCTTTCAAAAGATCAACTTTGTTTAAAAACTCAATACCATTAGACTTCGAAGAATTTCTTACTTGTCTTATAATTTGCTTGGATTTGTTTATAATATTCGTTCGACTGATCAATGATAATGAATCATCTGGAATATGCAGCTTAGAATGTGACTCAAAATATGACGCAGCTATTCTTTCTAGTCCTTCAATTGGGAATCTAATCAAACTATTGTCTGTTGTCAAGTAATCGTCTACTGAGTCCGAAGTCTTCATGTCACCATTTTCGGTATATTCTGTTGCGTCCAAATCAGTTGAAACAGCAAGATCTTGAGGTTTTTTATTTGAATGATCAATAGGAAATGTAATGACACTTTTTGTTAAGGGAGAAGATGCTATAGTGTTATGAACAGCAGGATTTCTTTTTCCTCTCCGCTTCCTCGATTTGTTGTCATCTAAAGGTAATGGCCTCTTTTTTCCATCGTGAGCATCTTTAGAAGGAGTGTCAAGTAACTGAGGTTCTATGCTAGTGTCAGCATTTTCATCAAACGTTCCCTCAGGGTCAGCCACATCCCGTTCCTTTTTGGATTTATTACCACGCTTGGGATTGCTATTATGTTCCTCATCAGCTAAATATCTTAGTCTGGTTTGATACATTTTTTCAGAATATTCAATCTCAAAATCCGTATCTTTATCAAACTCATCAATTTTTTCATCGGGGATATATTCTACCGGAGGGATAACATTTGGATTGAATGGGTTTTCTGCAAGTTCTTCAGGAGTAAAACTGGTTTCTAGATACGTATATAACAACCATAAAAATCTCTTGGCCCGAATCTGTGGCTGAATACGTGAGTTTAAGAAGAACTCCATAAAGCTATTGTTATTATTGTTATAGGTAACCGAATGATCAAGGTGGTATTTAATTCCCTTAATACTACCACTCATTAGAAAAATCAACTCTATAACATTTGTATTAGGCTTTTGCGGAGACGGCAGCTTTAGAATATCATCAAGCGATTTATAGTGATCTTTAGTATCACAAACCGCTTTCAAAATTGACTTCAACCTCGGAGTATCCTGAAGAGGCTTTGAACCTCCAAAGACGGGATCAGCTTGCAAAGATGGTATTGAATGATAGGTTCTTAAAGATGACCTCATTTCAGGCACGAAGTTAATTGTAGTGTTCATGCGGCCAGCATTGACCAATAGACATACCTTCCCCACAGATTTACCCATTTCACTATCTTTTAATAGTCTCTCTTTTAAGATTTTAGAACACTTTGATGACTCTGCTAGTGTTCGGACGTAAAGATCCAGAAATGTTAATTTCTCGCTGTTATTAGCAGATGGCACGTCACAGTGAGGAAACGAGTTGGTGAACACAGCATGTTTATCATCGAACAATTCTTTAAGGAAATCATATTGAATGTCCTTTCTCCAGAAGGGTTCTCCATCTGCCTTCTTTAGATGTCTAACACCCTTAGGGATAGATACATTTGTAGTTTTCTTTGGCCGACCCAGTCCCCTTTTCTTGGTACCCTTACTATCTGCATCTTCTTCGTTTTCAGCATCACCATCTGTGTCATTTTCAAGGTCTAACGAGGTATTTGCACTATTATGTTGCTCACCTCGTCCTCCTATTAAGTTTGAAATTGAAAGAGTATTCGATAGTGGCGTTTGATCACCATCTTCTTTCATTTCAACAGTAGAACTGGTACCCACAGTTTGGTTCTGCTCGGAAGATTCAGAATTCTGAGATACTTCTTTGGATACATTGCCCGTAAAGTTATCATGGATTGGGTCGTAACTCATGATAGTATCTACTATTATCTAACCCCTTGTTAATTGTATGGTAAGAAGAAGCTGATTTATCGTGTAACTTTTTCTTCGGCAGAGAATATCAAAATACTCGGAATCGAAAAAGTTAGTCAAAAGCTCCAGATTAAAGTTAGTGTTGATTTTTAAAATATACAATTAAAGTTTTAACTTTAAGAAAACGATCTTGACGCCATGTCCTTGCCAGCTAGCTGGAGGCTGTTTCAGCTCTTTGATGTGACGCCAATAAAAGACCCGAACTTTGGTACAGATGAGGCTCTATACTCAGACGGAATGTTATCTTGCATGACCTCAACCAAGTTATATTTGGTATTAACGACGAATAATGCTTTCGTGAAGATTATAAATAAAAGTTTCACATTGGTCAAGTCCTTCAGTGCTTATGAGCTTGATTATCGGATAAATTTCGTCGGAACAGTACCTAATTCGAACCTTTTGGTTACTTTGGCAGAACGACAGGGATACCCATCAGTACTCAAATTATGGGATCTCACAAAAATTGTTCATTTAGAAACAGATGATGAAGATTGTTACAAGTACAAGTTTCAATCCCAAGTTCTCGTACATAATGGGGATAATTCCTTTCCCATCAGTTGTATGCAAATGAATGATGATTTAACTTGCATAGCAATAGGTTATACGAATGGTAGAGTTATTTTAATTAGAGGGGACTTGTTGAGGGATAGGGGATCTAAGCAAAGAATTATATACGAGTCTCATGATCCTATTACTGGTATTCAATTCAATGTACCAGAAGACTTGTTATATATAACAACCACATCAAGCATTTTAACTGTACTGGCAACAGGAAGAAACCAAGGAAGACCCACCAGAATACTCTCTGATAAGCTTGGCGTTGATTTGGATTGCTCTGATATAGATCCGAAAACTCAAGAACTAATTGTTGGGATTCCTTCATCCATACGCTACTACAACAGTATTAGCAAGAGCCACACCATCAATTTCGAAATTCCTAAAAAACTGATAGATAGATTTGGGAAAAATTACCTTTTGATTGTATCTCCAACAGAAGAGTATATTGATACCACAAAGTCTAAAAAATTGTTAACCAAGATTATAATAGTAGACTTGTTCAACAAGCATATATCCTTTACCATGACTATCCCTAACGTTTCCATAAAATTGACGTTTGAGATGTGGGACGATCTCTATCTATTGAGCACAGATGGTATTCTTCATAAAATCCATGAAAAGTCAATTAACCAACAAATTGAGTACATCCTCCAAAGAGAACTATTTCCTGTCGCATATAACTTAGCAACCCAATCAAATTTACCGAAGTATAACTTACAGAGAATTCAAAGGCTTCATGGTGATTACTTATATGAGAAACAACAATATGAAGAGTCTATCAAGATGTATATTGAAGCATTGTCTTTCTACGATGCTAAAAGTTCTTCAAAAGAAGACCTAGAGGACTTTACCTTGAGTATTATCACCAAGTTCAAGGACGTTTCTAACATTCCTAATTTGACCAAGTTCTTACTTAAATTATATCAATTGAATTTGGCAAATAATGATCACATCACACTTTTATTATGTTGCTTTTGTAAAGTGAAAAATGTTGAAGAGCTTGATAGATTCATAAACTATTTAGACTTGACTGATTCTTCTAAACTTCATGAATTAAATTTTCAACTAATAATCAATTTGTTCAAGGAATGTGGCTATTTTGAACAAGTTATCAAATTACTTTATAAGTTGAACCAGCCGAGCTTGATTGTTGATATTGAATTAAATGATTTACACCAGCCACGAAATTGCTTGACATTCATCAAGAGTTTGTCCATTGACGAGCTCTTATTAATATTGGTAGAGCATTCAAAAACTTTTCTAGATTATCTTCCAATTGAAACTACAGAATTGCTAATCAATGTTTTCACTGGAAACTACGTTCCCATAGAAAATGCCAAAGAGCCAGCGGTAGACAAAAGCGAAGAGATTAATGAGAAAAAGCATGAAGAGGATCAGTCTTCGTTTCCCTTGGATAGTTACAGGTCTTTTTTAGCATACATCAAAGGATCCTCAGGCTCAGACGATGAATCGGAGGGTTCGCTGACGAAGACACTGCATTTGGTGAATCGACCGACCTATTTACCTCCACGCCCAAGCATTATATATTCAAGCTTCGTTAATAATCCGAATGAGTTTGTCATTTTTTTGGAGGCTTGTATTGAAGCCCTTGATAAGTATCAGGGTAACCTTAACGATAAACGCAACTTGCTTATGACCTTGTATGAAATGTACTTATCATTGGCCAGCGAGCAAAGTGAGGAAGCAGCTAAGAGGGAGTGGACTGACAAAGCGAGTGAATTATTGAAGCACCACGTAAGTTTGTTGGACAGATCTGCACTCCTAATTATATCTCACATCTACAACTTCAAAGAAGGTGAAATTATTGCGAAGGAAGAATCGGGGTTTGAGAAAAGTTTGTTCACTGTTTCGCAGTCTCTAGGAGATGTTGATGAATGCATTCATATTGTATATAAGTATGGTGAGTCTCAACCTGAACTCTATAAGATGATGCTAAAATATGCCGTTTCAAAAAAGGAGATATTTGACAGGTTGAACAAGAAGGATTTTGATTTTGTTCTAAATCAAATAAAGATCAAGAAACTAGTGACTCCACTTGAAATAGTTCAAATCCTTAGTGGCAATGACTTCACAACGTTGGGTCTTGTAAAAGACTATTTGATTGACTTCATTGATGAACAAAAGACAGAAATATCAAACAATGTCCTGTTAGCAACCTATTACGAAAATGAATCTACCAAAAACACGCATAAACTTGCGGAGCTTGTTCACAAACCATTTATTATGCAAAATAACAAATGCTTTTCCTGTAACCTAAAGCTTGATTTTCCTATGGTGCATTTTATGTGTAAGCACAGTTTCCATCAAAAATGTCTCAGTAATAATCTCATGGTTTCTAATAGTGTAGGAGATAGCGAGAAAAGGTGCCCAATTTGTATAAACGAGTTAGATGAAATTCGGTCCGTTAGATTGGAGCAATTTAAGTCTAAAGATAACGTGGCAGCTTTCGAGGATTCTCTAAATGATAGTAGTGATCGATTCAAATTTATCTGCGACTATTTGGGCAAGGGGGTTATGGAAAATGAATCGGTTACCGTTTTAGATGCCTAGATTTTGCAGTCGACCTTTTTCTAGGTTGCAATATAAAAAGGTCGAGATTATTTCAATTTGATACAATAGTGAAACGTCCTCGATCATATAAATAATAAATAGATATCTATAGCTTTAATGGTTCTAAAAATGTATCTATCTTCTAATAATGGCTTGTTTAAATGAATTTTATCCTAGAAGCGATATTGCACGAGAAATCAATGTGTCTCCTAAAGATGTAGTTGTTGACTCAGACGAGAGCGATGAGTTTTGTCCCAGTTGGTTGAAAGGACATAAAATACAGAATGAGACTTTTGATAGCAAAGCATTGAATGATCAATTGCTAGAGAAACCAAGACACAAAAGAGACTTGGAGGTGGACGTGTTGGGAAAACCTGTAATAAGAGATACCAAGAAAGTAGATTCGCCAGTAAAGCAGCATTTTTTTGTCGATGCCACTATGACGAGGTATCAGAGAGCTTTGGTTGATTTCATAGAAGGGGAGATTGCCTATTGTAGTCAAATTCGCCTAGCTACTAAGGTCAGTCGGACTTTGTTACAGAATGTTGGAAAATATTTACATCTTTTTTCCAAAGATGAGGAAAATCTTATATTTGATGAAATATACCAAATATCAGAGTTATCATCCAATTTTATCAAAGCTATAGTGAATTGCTTGAAATTTTCCAATGGGTTTAAAGATTTCGAGAGTCTTCAAAAATTAAAGCTGAATTATCGGAATGAACGAGAAGAGCATTTAGACTACAATATTTCTCGATTGGTGTACAACTGTGATGTTACTCGAGCCAATTTTGGTGCTATTCTCAACAACATGGTCGATTCACTAAAGTTCAAGACAACTATCATATCCTACTTCACCAAAAATGATTTCAGAATCGATTTGTTAGCTCAAAAACTGAAAAGTGGTGGTCATTTAATGAACGAGTGGCTCCAAGAAGCAAAAATTGAATCAATGGATAATTCATTGCATGATTTACTTTACATGCCTATTCAAAGGCTCATCAGATATCCACTGCTTATTAAAGACTTAATAAATTCGCTTGGTTTGCGAAATGATTCATTGAAGCATGACATTCATTTATCATTGATAAAAGTTAACCAACTTATTGCGAAATGTAACAATCAGCCTTCAGTGACCACATGGAAAGAATTGAAACAGTTTGAGTCCGAAAAATCTTCTTTCTTCCCATCAAGAAGTCTAGCCATAAATGACTTTGATCAGGAACCTTTGGCAACGGCTGATGATATGAAACTAACCATTACCGGTAAAAATAGTGAGAAGGTTACCTACGGTAAAGTAGAGGACATTACTAAGTCTGGAAACATTATCACACGTCAAAAAGGTGACTACACCACGCTCATTCACATTTTCAAGGAGAAATACCAAAACTTGAAAAATTTAGAGACTGGAATCATTAGTCTTAAAGTTACCTTATTGAATTTTATGAAGTCTCAATTAAGATATTCTGATTTATGGCTGCTGTTTCTCGACGAAGAAAATCCAGAAACAGATAAACGATTCATTACTTCCATATACTCAAGTTTCTCTGAGAAGCTCAAACACCAAATGGAGCTCACACTGAGCATCGTTGATAAAATAGATAAATTAGTTATCCAGCCACTAGCGCAAGCACTAGAATGCTGCGATGACGTTAGAGCTCTTGTAAAAACCCACAGGAAGTATAGAAGTGCATACATCGAATACATTAGATACTGTGGTGCAAATTCTAAGCAGGGAATTATCAGTCAAAGAAAATTTCATAAGGCACAAACATGCATAAAGATAGAGAACAGCATAAAAGAGAAGGTGCCTCGCCTTCTTGACTTCCAAGATGAATTTGTTGTAGCAATTCTTGCTAGTTTGAATGAATTCTGTTGCAATTGGTATTTTGTGTTAATTGGTCAGCGCTCATTTGATGAGTATAATCGTCTCTTGGGAGCAAGCAATGATGAGGAGCAATTATCTGCTCACCAAGATATTGTGAGCTCGTATAAACGCACGCTCTTTTTGACTAAGCTGGCTATCATGGAAGCTAGTGATTCATACCCAGATCATGCCTTCTTCTTCGCGTAGCAAGACTCATTATAATTGTGTACTTATATTTAAATTTCCTGTTCCTAGATTAGCATCTTGTGACGAAAAATTAACTTCGTGTGAAATTTATAGACATAATCGACGAATTTTCGATCCCTTAATCGCCATCCTTTTTAGCCACGTATATATCAAAAGCAATTGCAATTGATATTTTAACAGGATAATTTAGCAAGATCAGTTATGTCAGCACAAACAGAATTCACTCCAGTTACAGCCAGCGTCCTGAAAAACAGTGATTTATTTACCTGGAAGGATCCGGTGAAAACGGGTAAAGTTTTCGGGTCAATCGTTTTAGCACTTTTAGTGTTTAAGAAAGTTAACTTATTCAATGTGTTCTTTCACTTGGCATACATTGGTTTATTAGGTAAGTACTGAGAACTCTAGTGAGACAATTGAGGGAATAACTCAAAACATCACTTTATATGTGTTGTCGGTTAATTGAGATAGCGCAATATTTAATTCAATCATACTAATAATAATTTATAGTGTCAGCAGCTGCTGAGTACCTTGGGAAACTTCTTACGGGTCAGGGATTCATCACTAAATACAAACCTACAAATAAGTCCTACGCCAAAATCCTAAATGAGGAGTTCTTACCTTGTGTTGCTAAACTCAATGTAAAGGCGGAGGACAAAATACAAGAAATCCTTTATGCACATGATATCGAGACCACCTTGAAAGGGGCTGGTATTTCTTATATCTTGTACAAGATCACTTCATTATTCTCTTTGTTTACATTAATCACTGCTGGAGTGGTGATATTATTTACTATTCCAGCAATTTATGTTAGAAACAAGAAGGAAATTGATGCAGCAGTAGCTCAATATACTAAGGTTGCTAAGGATAAGACTTCTGAATACACCAAGTTAGCTCAAGAAAAAGCTGCTCCGCATATTGACAACCTTGTCAAAAAGACTGGTCCAGTCGGGTCCTTCATTGCCTCAAAGATTCCAACTAGAACTGCTGGCTCCACTGTCGGCACAGGAAAAGAGACTTCTTTTGCAAATGATGCACAACCTTCAACAGCAACTACTACAGGGGCTTCCCAATTTCCTAATGTTCCTGAATCATCAACTAGCACCACCACAGACCTTGACGAGATTGTTGAATCTGCCAAGTCTAAAGCCGCTAAGGGTGAGATTCCAAGCTCCTTTTAAGTTTCGTATTTGAAGGAGTTTATTTTTTCTTATTGTTTTTATTTTCACTTGAAATTTGATGGAAACCTTTGCTTATTCTTTCAAGTCTTTTGTAATGATAAGAATTTCTGAACATGTTCTGCAATTGTTTTTATTTTAATATATTTATTACTTATTTCGATTGTTTCGATAGTAATAGTATTGGAGTCAAGTTTTTATATACTTACGTACTAAAGCTAACTATTCAATACACAATAATGTTCAAATTGTTAGTTTGCCGACAAGTATATTAATTACTCGTTGTCTTGTGGGTATGGAAGCCTTTTGTAACAAGCTATCCATTTTTGACCTCTATTACGGGTTACCTTTTGACCCTCTTCAGTACCATTTGTCATAATATTGACACATTTATCCTGAAGTTCCCATTCTTTGTCTAATCTTTCAAATAATGGATGCTCTTCCAAATGAGTAACCATCCAATCATGCAAATCCTCAACGTCGGTTATGGTGTATATTATTCCTCCCTCTTTGAGAACAAAGGCGTACTCAGAAAGTAAAGTATTAGTAATGATTCTTGCCTTATGTTTCCTTTGTTTGAAATGCGGATCGGGAAAACAAAAGAACATTTTGGATAATTGACCTTTTCTAAAAAAATTGGGTAAAAACTTCATGGCATTACCTCTTAATACTGCAACATTTTGATAGTCAATTTCTTTACCAGAGTACTTCTTCCTCAAAGCAATTATTCTATCTTCAACATACTGAGTGACCTGGACTCTGATTTCCATACCAAGTATCAAAGTGTTAGAGAACTCTGGTGCTAAGCTTATAAGAAGTCCTCCATATCCACAACCAATGTCTGCAATTTCAACATTCCTCATCATAATATTTTTATCCTCATCGTAGTATTTGGGATAAAGCTGATTCCATTTCATTTCATCTGGACTCCTTGGGTAGTCTAATCTATGATCAGAGAACGGGTTTGAATGTGCTCTTTGCCTATAAAACCTCTTTCTTGGTAAATCTATGCTACTTTCATTTTTAGAATTCTGATCGAACCTGGCATTTTTGTTTTGTTTTCTAACTGTTGCTCTCTTATGTCTATACGAGAGTCTCTTTGTGGTAGCGTCTTCGGCTTCAGACTGATCAACCATTGTCTAGTATTCACCAATAGCAGAAAATATCATGAGCTATAACTGCAACCAAATACAAAAAAAAAAATAGTAAGTCCTAGAACTGAAAAAAAAAAAAAAAAGATTTATTTAAAATTGATGAGCAGATAAAGAAGGCTCTCTTCTCCCAATAAAGTTTAGGATATTAACAATTCAAAATGTTGAAATTGGATATCTACATATGAATTATGCTATATTATCTATTTACAGATGTGTATAAAATGTTTTTAAACGAGAAGTATGACCTCGTTCCGAAGAGGTTTTAGTCTTCATTATTCTCAGTACTATTAGTTTCTGACTTTTTTGGTTCCATATCTTTGCGACGCTCTTCTAAAGTCAAATACAATGTATTGCCGGCTGCCTCTAAAGTTCTAACTAAGCCAGCACCTCCTAAGACGGTAAGCAAGCCGGCCAACTGGCTCTGTAATTGCTCTTTATTAGGAAGGTCTTTGAACTGGTCAACTTGCTTGACATCATACACGTTCAGTTCAACTTTTGCACCTATTAATATAAGTTTTTCCTGGGCTCCTTTTATCACTTTTAAGATTTGAGCCACAGCGCTAGGATCACATTTAGGTATGGTGATGACTCCCGTAGGACCACTTAGCAATGGGGATAAAGGATGAGTAACATTCCTATTTTTCGTCGACGTGGCAGCGTCAGCAGGGTCTAGATCATTTTCCGACCTCAAGTAAATGTTGTAGATGCTGTTTCTAATAATATTCAACTGTCCGCCAGCTTTTTTTATTTCAGAACGAAGCCTCTTGTTTTCTGGTTTAGTTATATTGTTATGATGTACATAGAGTAAAACCTCATTTCTATCATTCAAGTATTTATAGTAATCAACTAAGAAAGTTTTTCTTGACAATATGTGTTTGCCTGTGCTTCTGTTTTCTACTGAATATATCGACGACTTGGGGCCATCTGCCGAAGTACTGTAATTCAGATAACCTGAAAAAAATATTGGCTTGAATGGTTTGAGAAAACTCCTTTTGACTCCGTTTAGTCCACATAAAGTAGCTGTCGAGATCCTCATCTTGTTTTATCTAAGTCTGTTCTGTTTTGGAATATTACCTATTTTATATAATTTTTCTGAGTACCCAGTATGTCGACGATAATCCTAACGGCACGTTACACGACTGTACGATGGCATCAAATATTTTTTGGGAGCAGGTTTTAACTCCACTTAAAAGTTCCAATTAAGATAGCATATTTATCGCTTGCTTATAGGGACCTATAAAGGCACCCAGGTAGTAGAGAAGCATTCAGCAATATTATATAATTTATTAGAATTGACACAACGTAAAGCAGAAAAATTTCGCAAAAGGAGAGCGTGATATGAGAGCTTCTTACCACTACAATCAAGAACAACGAAACCTTGGTTACAAAGAATCAACACAAGATGACGATGACAGAGCTATAAAAAGAGCTAATATGGGTAAATTAGGTTTTGACTTGGGATTAGTAGACATAAAAAACTTGGAGTATGGAGTAAGAAATTTGCAAAAGAGTATTAAATTAATTATAAAAGACTCTCCCGACTTGAAAGAACTCGATAACTTGATGAATTCTAGCTTATGTGATAGCTCGATTAGACGTGATATACGCCTGAGCAACTTGATGAAGTTAGCAGCAAAATTAAAGACGAAATACAAAGTTGGCGACTTGAGTATTTTCGATTCTATAGTTAATAACAATGTTGCTGTTAATAGCGAAGATATTATAGATAGTGCTTTAACAGATCCACAATCTGAGAAAGATGGTGAAATGCTCCATGCAAATGAAGATGAGAAAGACATTGATTCAACAAGTGGATCATATCCTGCATTACCTAGTATTAAGAGTCCAGCCTTATACGACAGAGTGTTTCTTCACAAATCTATTGTCAATAATTTGTCATATCTTGAACAAGCGGAATCAATAAATAAACACAATGAAAGATTGGAATTTTTAGGTGATTCCATCTTGAACAATTTGGTCACGTTTATTATTTATAAGAGATTCCCGAATGCATCAGAAGGAGAGCTTTCTAAAATACGATCGCTGCTCGTGAATAACCATGTGTTAACAGAATTCTCGTTAGAGTATGGTTTTGATAAAAAATTGAGGAGTAATATCAATGAATCAGCATTAAGACAGGGAAAACAAAAAATTTATGCTGATATTTTTGAAGCCTACATAGGGGCATTAGCCATGGAACATGAGAGTGACTACTCAGAGATAAAGCAATGGCTACTGTTGCTCATGGAACCTAAAATAAAGCTTTTCGATAAAGAATTCGAGAACAGAGAACCAGTTAATAAGGATGCAAAATCTGACCTTTATTCTCATATCGGGTCTGCATTGTTTCATCCATCTTATGAAATCATTCAACATGGAGATGGCGCATCAAAAAACTTCGTTATTGAGTGTAGGATGGGCGAAGAGACTTTAGGTGAGGGAGAGGCGCCTAGCCATAAGGAGGCTGGTTTAAGGGCTGCCATGGCTGCTTTAAAAAATAAGCCTTTGGTTGATAAATACAGTCAATTCAGACAAACGCTAGACAGAAATGAATCAGTAATCAGCAGTAAAGCTAAAATCTCTAGTCCTCTTCCTTACCAGCGTATGGATAAGCTGATTGGGAAGCTCAGCAGACCCTCTGAAGCTGATATATTTCCCCTTGAAGCAGATGACCTGAGCCCTATCAATATAGAGGCCAAAAATGAGCTTTATGCTATCATATTTAAAAACTTAGGTGAATCACCAGAGTACAACACCTTTGACGTGGGAGATCACAAGATGAAGACTGAATTAAAAATACGTGGTATAGTTGCTGCCACTGCAACTGATAGCTCTAAAAAGAAGTCACTGAGTCGAGCTGCAATGGCATTGTTAAACAATAACGATGGTCTACATTATTTTAAAAGTTTAGCTCCCAAGTGAATAATATATAGCTTTCCTTTAATGAATTTGTGACGATTTAAGCTCAAATCTATGCGAATGTAACATAAAGTCGATTCCAATCTCATATGACAATCCACTAGAGGAAGATTGCAAAAGGCTTTTGAGGCTTTTTTTTTTATAGAAAACAAATACGTTAATGCGATGGTTGTTGTGACTATGACGTAAAGCGACGACACGATACCATGTTGAGACGGAAGCAGCACCTAAATCAGAGAACTTTGTAAAAACATTGCACTATTAGGTGATTTATTGATACATGTTAAATTAAACTAATGTGAAACAACATTCAGTTGCCTGTTGCATTAAGATATTCCACGTTAGATGGCTACATAAGAACGTAGAAGAACCAGAAGGTTCAGTAGTTAAAGTATAACATGCTCATTAAAAACGCTAAGATTTTACTTTGCGATTCCATATAAATCCACTAGCTAATAATTGAAAAAGATAGGGTCCCTTGGCCTAGTTGGTTAAGGCGTGGTGCTAATAACACCAAGATCAGCAGTTCGATCCTGCTAGGGACCATTTCTTTAATTCGGGCGTGTGGCGTAGTTGGTAGCGCGTTCGCTTAGCATGCGAAAGGTCTCCGGTTCGACTCCGGACTCGTCCACTTTTTACTTTTTTAAAGTGTATTTTAGATTATGAAGATGATATGCTACATAAGAGTATCTAAACGCAACATTCTTGGTATATTTCGACGTCTGACATTTAGTATAAACCGTGTATTTGTTTTTCGGAGCGTAGCTGGAGCGAGTTTCAAGTGATGATGGCGACCAAATCAAATAATATCGCGACTATGACAAAAATGATAATACAATAATCCTCCTACAATACAGTTTTTATCAAGGTCCTTATTTGTACCATTTTTTAGTAAATTTCCAATTTGATATATTCAACAGTACTCTGATATACGTTCTCATAACATATGAATGGTATTCAAACCAATGAGGGAGAGCATCCAGAAGCTACCAGCGTGCATGGGGATTTGGCCGATAATAGAGCTTCAGCCCTGACTTCAAGAGGTAACGGAATACAGCGCATTATTGACAAAGATACGTCAAACCCTCCTGAGCACCTATCAGAATTTTATTCATTCGTGAATGGTAAATCAAATGCACCAATTTCACCTACAAGAAGCGATCAAACAAGGTTTTCTCTGATTGCGGATTTGAAATCCAAGAAACAGCAAAGACCACCATCGATCAACACATTTACTTCATTCTCGCCTTCTGTTTTAGATTTACCCAGCATAATGACTTCAAAGGATTTCCATGATACGATGCACATTTATGAAACTTTGATTGACAAGGCACAGGTACTTAGCGATTCGTTAATGGGTGTATCCAATGCTGCTAGTGAATTTGGCCAAGCCTTAGAGAATGCGATTACCAAATGTCCCAAAGTCCCTAATCCAAAAGTGGTTTCGGATGGTCTCATTAACTCTGCAGGCTTACAATACGTAATTGGAAGTAATCAGCAGATTTTAAGTAGAGTAATCCAACAAAATTTCCGGATCCCTTTAAAAGAACAGTTAGAGAAGCTAGCGAAGGATTATGAGATAAGCTACAACTCATATCAACAAGAAATAAGGAACAAATCTAAAAAGTTACGAGCAAAGGAATTAGAAAACGTGAAATTATCGAGATCAAAAGTACGCAATCTCACCGCCTATAAATCACAACTTCTCAACTTAACAAGCCAATTGGAGGAGATCGATAGAATGAAATATGAATATTATCATGATGTCAATTCTATGATTGAAGAGTTTAATCAACATCACCTTTTAATCAAAACGGGGTCTTTGGTAAGAGCTCAATTGGAGATATATGAAGGAATTGCGAAGAAAGGTTGGTCAGGTGGTGGATTGGATGATCTTTTAGCTATCTCCCCTGATTTATTTGGTTTCACTTACGAGCATGAGAATACTAATGATGGTATAGAGATGTCACAAGGAAGTAAGAGTGCGGATGCTGACTCCATAGACAAAGGTGATGTTCATTATGACAGTGGTAATGTAGCCGATCACAACAGTGATATTTCCGTGGATGATCCTAAAAAGTCGTCACCGAGAGAAAGGGAAGATAAAGGATTGTCACCTTCCAGTGCACGAGACATCGATGAATCATTCTCCTTACCTATGGTCAATCAATCAAATTCGTTGATAGGCTCACGCGGTAATTATTCGGATGACGAGCAGGATTCTGTTATCCTGCCCACGATATCAAGAAACAACATTCTAAACGAACTACAAGATCATGATTAGTGGCTGGGTCTGTGCATTTAATATATCCAGAAAATACTGAAATAACAATTTCATGAGTGATTAGGAGGGTCTTAATGGAATTATGTATGTGTGTCAAGGATGGTCATATGGTCTTCACTTCAGAAATGGCGTTTTTAAAGTTGGTGCAGATGATAAGAAATTAGAGACTCTGTGTCAACGAGCACGTGATGAATATTCTGAAATCTTTTTTGTGATCGAGCATTTTTTTAATGTGGTCGTGCTTAAGGAGAAATTATTAAGATTTTTCACTAATTTTTCAAAATTTTCATGAAGAATTTTTTTTAAATACCTTTCAAACATATTAACTATAGAATCAAAAATGGCTCCAATTGTATGTATACTAGTTTAATGATTCTCAAGATGAGATATGGCGATAACTCTGTACGGGTTGATTAACTCAAGTAGGTATTTGGTGACCTACTATTCTTTAATGAATTGGCAAGTTTTAAACTTGTTTAAAGAGTTTTATTTTAGGAGGCTCCCTAAGTGGTATACTTGATATCTGACCCGTCCATGGGCTTTGCTGTGTTTATCTTTGCAGATAATAGTGCGGTAGGCTAACATGGAATTTTAGACCAATAAGAAAGCTAAGGCTGCTAAGAAATTTGTTGTTGACACTTCTGCTCCTGTTGAAAACGGTGTTTTCGACCAAGAGGCTTATGTCAAATACTTAGTTGAACACATCAAAGTTGAGGGAATTGTTAGCAACTTAGGTGACGATATATCCGTTACTTCTGAAGGTAACAAGGTTATTGTTGTTTCAAACACTAAATTCTCCGGTAAGTACTTGAAGTACTTGACAAAGAGATACTTGAAGAAGAACCAGATCAGAGACTGGATCAGATTCGTTTCTGTCAAGAAGAACCAATACCAATTGCAATTCTACTCTGTCGCTGACGAGGAAGAGGAAGAAGAGGAGTAAATTAATTCTCAGTAATATAAGTATACTGTACAGTAGAATTAAATGTTCCCTTTAATAGTTTAAACCAATTACACAAGTAACGATTCTTCAATATTTTGTAGTTATAAGATCTTTAACTTCGACCCAAACGGATGGAATAGAAATACATTTTGAATTTTCTTTTGGTTTGCATATAACAAAACCAATGTTTACATATGAAGAGTTGTTGATGTATAAGAATTGTTTCGGATTAAGCATCCTTGGTTTCAGAATGGAAGACAAAGATCGTTGTGAGACTTCCAATGTTGATACTCTAGCGGAATCTCGTTCCCTGGATTTGAACATACCCAAATGCAAGCGTTACTCAGACATGGATCTTCAGTCAGATAGGAAACACCGTAAACTAGTTGAGAAAGAGAACATGGATACTACGAGAAAAGAGCCTTCCATAACGTATAGCGGTACAGGCAGAAATTTAATTGGGAGATTATCAAAGATAGAAGGAGAGCAGCAATTTAAGCTAATAAAATCTAATAGAATCATAGAAAATAAGTTGGACGAAGTTCAACATTTGAAGAATCGTATAATGACCCTAAAAACTCAGCGGGCAAATCAAGAATTTGAGAACTTTAAGATTGAAAGTGAAATTATTAAGCTGAAAGAGCAGTTAGCATTAGCTGATGGACAAATAGAAGAATTAAAACATCATGAGCTGACATCATTACAGTGTTTACAAGACAAATATGAGTTAGTCTCAAAGCAATTGAAGGTTGAGCATCAAGAAAGGTTAGACAAGTTGAAAGAAGATATTTCTTTTCAGATTGAGAGAGTGATACAAGAGAATATTACCAACTTTCAGTCTGATAGAAGAGCATTGTCCAAAGAATGTGAAGACATTTCCAAAGAGATTAAAGCGCATGAACAGGACTTGAATAGAAAATTAATTAAGCTAAAAGAAGATAATAATAAAAAATTAATCCAGCTGAACAAATCTTTGGATGACTCAATTAACGAATTGAAAGCGGAAACTCAAAGAACGATCGAGGAAAAGCAAGAGACTTTGGAACAATTTGAGAGCTTGAAACAAAGTCTATCTACTTCTTTCGAGAATTCTAACTCTGAATTATCTTCAAAACTTTCTAATTTGAAGGCTAACTTTGAATCAAAAGAGCAAGAATTAGGCACCTTGCGGCGCAAGATTGAATCCACAACATGTTTAATTCATGATATGAAAAATACCTGGCAGGCGAGTGCAAGGGAAATCGAAACGTATAATAATAAGACTAGAGAGCTTAACAAATTCTTAGAAGATCAGGAATCTGAAAGAAGGCTTCTTCATGACAAGCTTCAAAATTTGAAAGGCAATATTCGTGTCTTCTGTCGTATAAAGCCGCCTCCGAATGGTGAAGAAATAGCGGCAATAGATTTCCCTGAAGACGAAATAAACCTTGATTCCAACCAAGAGCTTCTGATTTCGAAAGGTTCCCCTGATTCGAGTTCGTATTCTGGTCGAACTGTCCAGTCATATAAATTTCAATTTGATAAAGTTTTCCTGTCGACACTGGGAAATGATGTCGTTTTTGAAGAGCTCTCACAGCTAATTCAGTGTTCTTTAGATGGAAGGAATGTGTGCGTATTTGCATATGGCCAGACTGGTTCTGGTAAAACATTTACGATGTCAAATCCAAATAATGGTATGATCCCATTATCTATAAATAAGATATTTGACGATATTGAAGATCTTAAGCTAAAGAATTGGGCGTATCGTGTTGAGGGGCAGATTGTTGAAATCTACAACGAAACTGTTATTGATCTTTTGGGACCTTCAAGCGCAAACCTAAAACATGAAATCAAACATGATGATTTAAACAAGAGAACTACAATTACTAACGTGACATCTATCGAAATAGGTTCCAAAGAAAAAGCAAGGCAAATCTTAGAAAAAGCACTGAGGAGCAGGTCTACGGCAGCCACTAGATCCAACGAACGTTCCTCGAGGTCACATTCAATTTTTACTTTAAGAATATACGGTGAGAACACAAGAACATCAGAGAAATGTGAAGGCACATTGAACTTAATTGACTTAGCAGGCTCAGAAAGATTATCAAATTCACAGGCCAAAGGAGAAAGATTGAAAGAGACTCAAGCTATCAACAAATCACTTTCTTGCCTTGGTGATGTCATCTATGCTTTGGGTCAACAGCAGTCTCACCTGCAAGTACAGCAGCACATTCCTTATCGAAATTCTAAGTTAACTTATTTGCTTAAACATAGTCTTGGAGGTATGTCAAAAACTTTGATGTTTGTCAACATTTCACCTTTATTGCGAGATTTCTCTGAAACAGTTAATTCTTTGAGATTCGCAACCAAGGTAAATACTACAAAGTTAGCTCTGAGTCAAGGTTCTACGTAATTTCAGAATCATATTTACAAACTTTTAGTAACTATATAACAAATAATCATGACGAACTTTCAGCAATCAAGTTGTTCAGTGGCATATAATCACCAGCCATGCGCAAGGAACCTGAGGAAATGGCTTTATCCCACAACTCTCTATGATTCTCTTGAGCCCATTTCGCAATCCTTTCTTGTTTATCCTTCTCCAAACAATAGTTATATAAAGTAACCATCGTATCTTCGGTGAATTCGAAATCGTAATCTTTCATTTCATCAACCAACTGGAAGGCATCATCCACTAGTCCATGGTATACATGAGCAATTAAATATTGGCGAAATATAAGGTAATTTGGAACTATGTTGTATTTTGACAAGTTATTCCAAAACTTCTCAACATACATCATGTCACTGTAAGTGTAAGTTTTGATCATAATAATAATAGTATCCTCATTAATTCCACCAAACTGTTTTGAATTCGAAGAAATAGTCAAGAAAAGGTCTTTGGCCTTTCCTACTTCTTGTAAATTCGAATAGGCATTTAAAACACAATTCTGTAAGTCTATATCTTGCCTCTGTAGCGATAAGTCCATTTTCAAACTCTCATGTATTTCCTCAACACCATCTTGATAGAATTTGTCTCCAAATGTTTGAAACAAGTACATATATATTTCTCTCAGCGGTGGGAAGTGCTGGACGTCACCATGTAATTCATTTAACATTCTCATTTGGCGAAATATGAGTAGTGATGCATTCAATCTATCATGATCGCAAAAAAATTTCATTGCTGGAAGATAAGACTCGGGTGGCGCATTGAAATACTTGTGAAGCTCCCCATACAAGACCCAATTAGTCTCATACGAGTCTTCGTTGGTATATGTTATAACGAAAGAATGTAAGATATCGAAAAGCTCTCTATAATCTTTACCAAACTCTTTATCTATCGGAAGCTTCACTCTATCATCCTTCTTAATTGGAGGTAATTCCCGCTTTAAAAACTCAATCAAATCACCAACATATTCTGATTCAAGCATTTTTTCCGATAATGCTTTTATGGCCCGTATATTGCAAGTAGTGTTTACCATCTGCTGTTTAATTCTCGTAAAAATAGGAAATATATCATCAATACTTCTTATATTGAGACACAACAAAATGATAAGATTATTCAAAGTAAGGGCCAAAGTAGGCTGCATTTCAGCTACCCAAGAACTTCTCAAGCTTTCATCGAACAACTCTAAGGCTAGTTTATGATCTTTTAGTTTAATAGCTGCATCAATCTGGTATTTGTAAGAGAAGACTGAGCGTTCAACCCCAAAATGTCTTTCAAAATAACTAATTAAGCCTTGAATAAAGGGCCCATTTGGTAAGATCGATCCACTGGCGAGCAGTAATTTTAGAATTTTATTCAAATACTCCTCCGTGTTAGAGACGGCTATGATACCACTTTTATCGAGTTCCTCTTTTACTATATTGAATCTATCCGCTTCCGTTCTTTCAGAGAGGCACAGTTGAAAAATTAGGTATGGGATACTTAAGGGTTCAGGGAACCTTATGCTATCTGTCTTCACAAAAGAAACGATGTCAAAAGAAAATTTACTATAAGAAAGTGACGACGCAGCCACAAGTAAGGATTCAACTAATGTATCATCATCAAAATCTTGTTGGCAGAGTACTTGTTCAACCAGTTTCAATTTAGCCAGGTAGTTTCCTATGGTTAGATAATTCAAGATCTTTTGCATACTTTTCGTTGAGGCATCACTACTTTTTACTGAAGAAATTTCGGAAATAAGTTTTAATATTTGCAAAAGTATGTTGATGGAAACTTTTTCGAATTCAATCAGATTAATAATCTGAGAATTGGTTAATAAATCGATCCTGTCTATACTTCTTTCAAAGAGTTTATATTCATGAACTTCAGGGTAAGAATCTTGAAAAGTATTTTCAATATGGGTGATGTAACTTTTATAGAATGTGTCATTGAGAAGCGTAGAGTTTCCACTGGCCTTCGACGCCGAAAGAATATCTTCATAGAACTGCAAGTTGACAGTGCCTTTTGTTTCGTAGTGATCAAATAAGTATTCGGTGAAGGTCTCACTTATTATATTCGAACGCAAAAGAATAGTCAATGACTTTTTGAAGCTACCGTGTCTAACAAGAGAAGCTAGGTCAAGAATATGAAGCAAGACCTTCGTGGGCACTTCATTCTTTCCCTTAGCCAAAAAATATTGTGACAACATACCCATATATTGAGATAACTGAGTTTTATTCTGGGACTGAGCTCGTGATGCATTTAATGACTTTTCAAACAATAATAAACAATCATCATACATTAGTAAGTTGTCATTGATTTGACGATCGTTAATTTCATAAAGTTCTAAAAAGACTTTGTTTAACAATAGAATAATATCAGGAGTGAAGTTGGTGTCTGGCGAACTTTTAATGAGATCGGATAAATTACTTCTTAATATCTTCAGTCTAAGTTTTGTGGGCACATCAGTCGACTTTAAATAATGCTTAATTTGCAGAACATAATCTTCATGTTTTGTATTTCTCATCGTCTCTGGCTCTTCTATTATCATATTTTTGGCTATCGATGGCTCATTCTTAATATCATATCTACCCAATGGATTTATCCAACTTTTATATCTTGATTGAATAAGGCAGTGAGGACACACCCTTGGAGGTATCTGCTTGTATATTTTAGCAGGTCCTCTTAGTCGGGCCGAAGCCCTTCTCAAAAATATCATGTTCTCGTCAAGGAATGGATCAAATGTACGAGGAAGTAGACCTTTATTTATCATGAAAAGTTCGCACGTATACAGGTTCGTGAAATTCCAATATATGAAAATAGAATACAGGGGACAGGTATTTATATGTACATAACAGTGAAGAACACTAGTCTTCTCGAACACCTTCAGGAAGATGTTTTTGTAATCGTTTGATCGCCCAATTTTCGCCAATGAATTTAACATCAGGATCGCTTAAACCTTCAGTTTTGGTGAATTCCTTCCAAAACTTTGGGCTTTTAAAGCGAGGGTCTTCGGGCTTGAAGAACCCAATCGAATTTCTGATTCCTAGAACTGCATCACGTAAATCAGCCGCCAAATCGCTTCTTAAATGTTGGGCTTCGCTTCCAGTTTTCAATTCAGGTGTCAAATCCTTTGGATTCTCTGGATCAATATACTTCTTGCATAGTTGTCTCCACTTTTGTCTATAATCTTCAATTAACTTATCAGATACTTGACTTCCAATATGGATGTGGATCTCTGCACCTACATTAGCTGGGAGCCATCTCTGAATTCCCTTCCCTGCAGTATCCTCCGGGGCAACCTTTTCAAAGCCGTAAGTATATATTGGGACAACGACAGGTGCTCTAGTACATTCTAAGATCAATCTGGAGATACCCCATCTGAAATAGCGCATCGAATTATTATGAGGTTCCTCTAGTTGTAATACAAACCCTTCAGGGAAGACGTGAAACCATGAAGTCTTGTTTCTTATGAATGGTGACTTTGACATTAAAACATTTGTAGTCTCAGGCCCAGGTTTCGCAAAATTAACTAGCTCCTTTGAAACGGTAGGCTTCAAATTATTTACCTCTTGTAAAATGAGTGGTTTCGCTGCTTCTTGAACACCAGGGGTATATTCCAAATCTAAAGTGTCATCTGGACTTAATATTCTTATAGCAGCATCTATTGATCCCTGGAAGGGGCCAACGCCAAATCTATCGGTACCCAAAATCTTACCTAAGTTAAAAAACCACGACAAAGCCTTATTGGAAAAGCATATGTTTGCTGCACCTAACCCCCATCTTATATTGTCCACATCCATATGAAATCTCATAGGCAATGCCGCAAAAAAAGCTGGATCGTCTACAACAGACATATGATTCATCACAGTGAGTAGGCATCTGTTTTCATCTCTTGCTTTTTGATAGGCTTCATCTAGTTTTTCTATGTGATGGAGTCTTGGCTTATACAACAAATTAAGAAACAATTTCGATTGTAAGATGACAAATAAACAAGTTGAATGAGAAGCAATGTTCCACAACTTGGATGTACGAGGATATTGATCTAAGAAGTCATCTCCTCTCTTCAAGACGTCTTCGAAAGACATTCTTTACTTTAATTTCGCTCCAGTTCTCAAGTGGCAGCTAAAACACAATAAACCGATCGTAAAATTTTTTGAGAGCGAGCTATATAAAAAATTAATGATACTTAGAAAGAGGTTTTGAACTACTCTTATGTTAGCAAGATTCTTCGATGGATTCTTCAAAGTGATCTTCTTGATATGATTTTTCAAGTCGGTACCGACTCTTGTCAAATATCTCATCCAAAGAAAGCCTAGTGTCGAAAAATGGTTCATCCAGCTTCTCCACATTCTTTTCAGCACCGTATAACTTTCTTTTTTGCTTCATTCTTGCACGTAATGAGTAACAGAATTCATTGTTAAAGTAATTTTCGAATGTTTCAATGCTTTCGGGTCCTATACTGTAGTATTTAGGGCATATTTGGTTCTCATTGGTGGCATTATCCTCATCACTAAGTCTGTATGATGAAATCTCTTTCAAAATATCCAGCTTAAAATCGCTGAAATCGGATTCGTGGATTCTTATTGAGCTCTGTGGATCTATAGAACACAATTCATACAATTTCTCAATATCTAGATCCTTCGTGATTCCTTTCCGGTACTGATCATATGTTATATTTCTGGAAATGAGCTCATCCTTCAAAATAGTTTTAAACAAAGTATTTTTACAACGAAAATTAAGAAGGGGGATCCCAGCTTTGACAGTCACTAAGAAATAGGAATCATTGGCGCGGAGTTCTTGTCCCTGAAGGATTCTATCAAAGCTTGTTTCCTTAAATTGTGATTTTAATTGTGGAATGGTTGCAAGCTGATACTGTGAAGATGGGACTACCTTTTCTTGAATTATCTTTTGATTTCTGGTAACACTATTTGTGTCCCTGACTTCTCTTGTTGGCATGTTGTGGAATCTCGACTCTGGGTGCAAGTATTTTGGACACAGATCGTAATCTTTATTGAACTCTCAATCTCGGCGCCTATTCGAAACACAAATATCGCATTGAAGAAATGGCCACTACCGATCCTTTCATAGAGAAGGCCAATCGTTTTGAAGCTAAGGTGAAGCGCTTGATAAATAGCTTCCAATTTAACCCGAGTGAAGAAAGGAGCTGTGACACATCATTACTCTATCTATTGCTACATTCAAATGTCGATTGCACGTATGATGAAATATCTGAAATCTTGCTGCTCGATATGTCCAACAGTACTCACCAAATTCTTTTCAACAACATAAAACTGCTGGTTCATTCGGTTGCAAAGGAGATTTATTTTTTTACTGGACTTTCAAGCTTATGTGAAATTAGTCTCACTGACATTAAAGAAACTTGCTATGTGTTAGCAGCTTCCTTCAAATTGGTTTTTTTTGCCCCAGTTATTAAAAAGATTTCTTGCATACGACCTCCTTCTATCGGAAGCGGTACAGACACCAGTATGATATTGGAAGATACACTTACCGCTATGGCCAACGGGACGAGCTACGATGCTTTAGTTTCACTAGCAGGCACGCTATTTACAAGGGCAAAGTCGCAAGATAGGAATGACACCCTCGTTGGTTCTAAGGGAGACTCAAAGGATTATGAAGAGGTTATATATTTTGTCAGCTTATTTAACCAAATGTGGATCATTGCACTAATGTTGAAAAAAGAATACAAAACTGTCGTGCAAGAGAATACATATCGAAGATGAGTGTAAATTTTTCACTCATATTCAGGCTTATTTGAAGCTTTAAGAGCTCTTGTCATTGAACGAGGATTAAATTTTGCTACCTTTCAGTTAAAGAATTTGGCTGCAATATTTTCTGTTGAAAATAAAGAAAAAAGAGGTTTGCATATTGATCGCAATAAAAAAAAAATTTCTGGCTCATCGCACTATGTCCTAAATTTTAGTGAAAAATAGTCGATATTAGTGAATCTTTGTTGTTACTTAGTGGGATAGAAGTAAAATATCAATATGAGAATTAAGAAAAAGGGAACATCGGGAAATGCTAAGAACTTCATCACCAGAACCCAAGCTGTGAAGAAATTACAAGTTTCTTTGGCAGATTTTCGTCGTCTTTGTATATTTAAAGGAATCTACCCAAGAGAGCCCAGAAATAAGAAAAAAGCTAACAAGGGATCAACAGCACCAGTAACCTTTTATTATTTCAAGGATATTCAATATTTATTGCATGAACCAGTTTTAGCAAAATTTAGAGAGCATAAGACATTTGCTAAGAAGCTCCAGAAGGCTCTTGGTAGAGGTGAGGTGAGTGATGCTCATAAGTTAGAATCTCATCGCCCGAAATACACGTTAGAGCATATTATCAAAGAAAGGTACCCTACCTTTTTGGACTCATTAAGAGATCTTGACGATCCATTAAATATGCTATTTTTGTTCTCTATTATGCCTGCAACAGACAAGGTCAGTCATAGGGTAACCAAAGAGGCTGAGAAATTGTGCAATCAATGGCTTGCTTATATCTCCAAAGAAAGACTCATCAGAAAGGTTTTCGTATCTATCAAGGGTGTTTACTATGAAGCAAATGTTAAAGGGCAAGAAGTAAGATGGTTGGTTCCATTCAAATTTCCTGTTAATATTCCATCGGATGTGGACTTTAGAATTATGTTGACATTTTTAGAATTTTACTCGACTTTGTTACATTTTGTTTTATTTAAATTATACAATGATGCGAACCTTATCTATCCTCCAACGATTGATATTGAAAAGTTAAAAGGGATTGGAGGTTTGTCGTCTTATGTATTACTGTCAAAGGAACAAGGTCCTGGTGCGTTGCTACCAAAGATGAGCAGTACAGAAAACCAAGATCCTCAGGAAGGTAAAACCTTGTCTAAGGAAGAACTTGCAAAGGCTTTGAAAGCTGATGAAAAAGATATTTCCTCAAACGATGAAGCTGAAGTCAATGAAGAAGAAAATTCCAGATTAGATGATTTTCTGTCTGTCAATAAGACTTCTGGAGATATTTTATTGCAACCGTCTCAATACTCTTCACCAGCATCTACTTTATTTTCAAGTCTAGTATTTTATGTTGGACGTGAAGTGCCATTAGATATATTGGAATTTTGTATTTTATCAAGTGGGGGATCTATTGTGTCTGAGATCGCTTTACAAGACTTGCAATTAAACCAACCTGAAGCATATAAGAAGCTTGATTTATCTAATATTACCCATCAAATTGTGGATAGACCGAAAATAACTTCAAAAGTTCCAGGAAGAACATACATTCAGCCTCAATGGATTTTTGATAGCATCAATAAAGCTAAATTGGTTCCAGTGAACGAATATGCTCCTGGGGAATCTTTACCCCCTCATTTATCGCCATGGGGTGACTCTGGTGATTATGACCCTAATGCAATTAAGGGAGAAACGGTAGAAGACGAAAGCGATGAAGAAGAAGAAGAAGAAGAAGAAGAGATCGAGGAGAATGGTTCTTCTGGAGTTGAGACGGATCAGGAAGAAGAAATTGATGAAGACCTCCAGGCTCAAAAAGAGCTAGAGTTAGAATCATCCGGTGTCAAATTTTCTGATATTCCTGAAACTCTGTCGAAGCCCACGAAGAGAAAAGCCGATAAATCAATGGATGATGAAGAAAAAGAATTGAAAAAGATCATGATGACTAATAAGCAACGTAAGTTATACAAGAAGATGCAATATGGTATAGCTAAAAAGCAGGAAAGACAAGACGACTTGAGTAAAAAGAGAAGAAAGCTTCAAAAGACGAAGGGGAATTTGGGAAAGCTCAATAAGTAGAATTAAAAAAATCAATAATTATATATAATTAATTGCATTCCAGTTTTGTACCTTTAACTTTTTTATATAGTGCGATTCAATGAAAATCCATGTAGAAGCTAATATACACAGATAAAGAAATGTTAGTACGAGCGAGCCAAATAAAAGCGCTTCGTGAAGTAAGATTAAGAAGATTCAAATCAGGAACGATTGGCAAAGTTTTGAATTCGAAAAAGGAAATTGCGGAAGTCTTGAACAATTCAACATTTAATTTACAAGAGGTGTTTTCCAACAATAATAATGATGTTAAAATAGATACGAAAATATTGAACAAAGTGCTTAAACATTCTGGTCTAAAAACATTTAATAAAGAAGAAGAACTTGATTATATTAGAGCGCTTGAATCTCAACTTAAGTTTATCAAATTTTTGTATGATGACGACAAAGAATTTGACAGAAAAGAGAATAGTAATGAGAGCGTTTTCAGATTACTTCATTCTGACCATCAACCCACGCTGTGTTCATTAGAACTGGTGTTGGCTGATATAAGGGAGTTACACAAACAGAGAGACGATGAAAAGGGTGAAACAGATTTTACTTTTTCGATCAATCAGCTAAACAAGAATCATAAGAATTATTTTATAATTCAACAAGGTTCAAAAAAAGAAGACTAACGTCGCATGCATCTATTCATTATTTACCCTAGAATCCATGTAAATCCTGTCGGGGATTTCAAATTTGATAGAATTTTTTAAAATCTCCTTCAATTTGAGTAGTTCTCTTGTTCCCTGATCTTTCAATTCAACGTCTGTTGACTTTGGAATGTTCGTATATGCTTTAATTTGAAAAGTATTTGATTCATCAAGAAGTTTGAGTCTTATAGATTCATTTGCAGAATCTGAACTTTTCGCTTCATCGTCATTTCTAATGAAGACTTTATACATTTCTATAATGACATCGCCGTAAAAAAATCTTATACCTTTGATCCAGAATTGATTTATAACATCATATCCTAAGTCTTCAAGGAATTGTAAAAAAGAATCTTTCGACTTTTTTGTTTGACTAATAGAAGATTCATGTTTAGTATCCTTGTCAGCATTCTCTTTTATGTCTATGTCAATATCTTCAATTTTTATTTCTTCAACATCTTCCATCTTGCTTTCATTCAAATGGGCATCATCAGTTACAATGTTAATATTTGTGTGATGATGTACTAATGTACTTTCAAATATTGTTTGAGCAGAGCATACCTGATTTTTGCCAGCAATAGGAATATCTGATATTTGCAAAGTCCAAGTTCTATCTGTTCCATCTGTAAACAATTTATCGACCGTGATGTTGTCACCTTTTAAGATAGGTTTTGCTACATCCGAGAGGCTTATATCTTCGCATGGCCATGTGGTTATACATTCCATATAGTATTGTTCTATTTGGTTCACTTTTCCAGGCTCAAACTTCGGTTTGAAAACATTGTGAGGTTTGGTTGTTAACGTATATGTAGCAATTGGTTCTGGTGAAATCAATCCTGTAAGTGCCTGTAAAGTCGTTACGGTTTGGGCAAAAGATGTATGAGGAATTGTTGAATGTAACGACAATTGATGGACCATTTTTAACAAGTATTTAAAATCAAATATCTACAGAGTTTACATCTTTCGTTATGTATCAATTACATCCATTACACAAAATAGTATAGATTCGATGACTAGCCAAAACTCGGGCACACCTAAAACAGCTACAGGACGCAAAGCGTACCCGTCTTCCTATATGTTCTTCTTTGTCTCCTGGAGACTTTCTTCGGATGTATCTTCCACGAAAGCAGCGATCACATAGCCAATAAGCACCACATTTGCAACTAAAGCAGCAAGTCCTCCACTAACGATCGAACTTTCAAACAAATATTGAAATATGAAGAAACTGAGGACCGGGAGTATAATCATGGCACTGGTGAAGAACACCAATTTCTGCACTACTGACCTGCTTAATAGTTAGTATTTAATCAATTGGCACAGCGAATGCGAAGAGTACTTGTAGTTATAATTCTTGATCGTCTCAAAGTTTTACACAATTCACTTGAGCTTTATATAGAGATCAATGGGCTACTTACTTTGGAATATCAGTTGCCATATTGCTTTGAAATGTAAATCAGCCCTCTTTTATTGAGTGATAAATGAATAATCTTCTTAATGAACGATAGTTGGCCTTTCAAAAAGTTTTGTAACACAAAACCAACAGCGATAATACACCGGCAATTTCCCTTGAATAAAACAGGTAATATTGGATATCACTAACTAAACACTTGGAGGCTACTACTAAAATTCAAAGGAAATGAAGCTTTCAAGTTTGAATTTACTTTCAATGGCTGCAATAATGTCGGTTGTGTTCGCTTTTAGTGATACGGCACCGCTCTATTCTTCCAAACAACTTATGGGAAAGTTCAACTATATCACTCAAGCATCTGCGGTGTCGAACGCTATAAAGACAATCAGCTCAGAAATTTGTGAGTCTGGTGACGGAAGATTGATAATTTACAGGGTATCGAAGTTATTAAGGAATGCTCCCAGCGATAAGGGGTTCTTTATCAGACACGTTCATTATGATACCGTTGAGGACTTGGATTTTACATTTGGTCCCACCTGTGATGGCAGCAAAGTTGAGTTTGCATCGTATTCTCCTGGTGTTGAAAATGGTAGCAGTGAGATTTTAATAATTGACGTTGAAGATGAGGCAAACCATACTGTCGACGAATTTTTGGATCATTCAAGCAATACTCTTGTGATTGTGCAAGGTAAGCCTTTGTTTGGAAAGCCAGAGTCTAAGGTCGAAGGAATCAAGCACTATATAGAGGACAAAGTATTTGACAATTTAAATGTTGAGCTAGACCTCAATATGGGCCCCGTCAAGAGAGCAAACTCTGAAGATGATGATTTCGAAAAAATTGCAGAAGAGGTAGAGGACGATTTTAAGCAGGCGCAATCGTTGGTTGCAGAAGAAGGAAACAATACTTTTGTTACAATCATGGATACTTCCACAACGGATGAACCTATTGTTCCAGCTAAGGCTAGAAGTGTAAATCTGAATCTTTTCACTAATTATCAGTTCTTCACTCCAGGAATCTGGATGGGTTTAATTGTTTCGGGCTTTTTGATTTTTGTGTTTTATATTGCGTTAAGTTGGATATCTAGTCTTGAGATTTCCTACAAAGCATTCGATAAGCAAATTGATTTCGAAAAGAAAAATGAGTAGTCATTTAGATCATTTTTTTGTCATTTAGACACAAATATATACATACATAAAGTTCTTCTTTCACCTCCAGAGGAACAAGGTCTGATAACTTGAATTTTAAACTTATACTTCCTTAATAAACGAAAGGTACAATTTTATAAGGAACCCTCTTGGTATATTCAGTCCATTGGTCGCCATATTTCTCCCTACACTTTTGGTCATCTCTCATTTGTCTATGGACTAGCAAAACTCCAAAGTAAACAACGTAGAAATAAGTTAAAGGAGTTTGGAAGCCAGTTGGAAGACACCAAGACCATCCGATTAACCAATCTCCAAAATAGTTCATGTGTTGAGATAGACTCCACCAACCATCACATAATAATTTAGAACCAGTTTTCGTTTCAATATTCTTTAAATTATTCAACTTTCCCAGCCTAAAGTCAGCTTTTTGCTTGTTGGAAGAATGAAAAATATAGTAACCTATTGCATTTATCAATACGATCAAAGCCAAATTGACTTTTCCAAGAATTAATCTGTTCTCAGGGAGAGCTAAATAGCGAGCTTGTAATGAATAAGACCATGGTAACCAAGCCAAATCGCCAAAAGAGAGCATGAAGCCAAACCCATCAGTTGTTATGTCCATCATGGACAAGACACCTTCTTCATTCAACACACCATCAAACACATAAATTGCTTGTAGCACGTTAACCAAAATTAACGAATCTGTAACAGTACCGTATTCTTGATATTGATTATGAACACATGATAAATTTATTAGCATCCACAAGAGCAACCCAGGACGTAACTCACAAAATAGTTTAATATCCCAGGGTCCTATGCGAGGATTGAGCTCACGACCAATGAACCAATCATAAAAGAGGTTTCCTGTATTACCGTTGACAGATAAAATTCTTTGTCTGTTTCCAGCTCCATTATCCTTTCTCAATGGTAAAAATGAGCTCACATATACGAACACAGCTAAAAGAAATGAAAATATTATAGTAACAGCTGTTAATTGTAACTGATGGTCATAGATGAATTGTAATTCTTTCAAGTAATAATTCGATGCCTGAAAGAGCCTTCCAAGTAGAATCACAACAAACAAGCCCATCATGTTTAAGCCATTGATATTATAATTTAATACTGTATTCTCCCTCAAAGGAATTCCCTTCATTTCTTTCCCTGGAAGAATAACGTTCAAAATCGCTAAACCTCCAAACCATCCTAAATACGCCAACCAGCACTGTTTATCAAAACATAATGCTTGGATATCTTCCAATGATTGTGGCAATTGCTTCTTGATGACCCCAAAATCGATATGGGTACCTTGTATTGAATAATTTTTATTAGCAGCCAAACCAATGAGAAAAAGTAAAACAGGTAACCCAAAAGTGATTCCGATCGCACCAGGAACCCCAGAGAACTCTCTGTGCTTTGTCGTTGGATTCAATTCACCGCCTGACAACATATTTTGTTAATATGTTGGACTGTAGTGAACTATGTGGGTTCTAATGGTTTTTTATGGCAACCCATTACTCGTATATCTTAAACTAAACGATGAATCGATCATCGATTCCGCAACGATTGTACGAGGTCGTGTCGAGATCGGAATACCGAGTCCTCCCCACTACACACTTCACTTCACTTCCTCATGTCTTCAAATAAAGCCTTCAAGCTGTTAAGATGAACCGCAATCATAAATTCAATTCGTCATCGATAATTGAAATACACTCAGTGGTAAGTATTTGACATAATCGGCAAACGAGTATATTTACTGCAACTTTTCTACTTATGGGCGACTTTTTAGGGGGTTGTACGACTCAGTGCGAATCTAGAGGGATGATAATAAATCTTAAAATGATGTTTCTGAAGTTAGGCAGTAGGAGAGGCGGTATTTCTCTGTCCGTAGTTTATGATGCCTTCTGCCTAGCGGATACTCTCGGAGATATAAATTTCAATTGAATAACGTCTAGAGCAATTTATGATACCTTAGTTTCATGGCATCCACTGTATGCAAGGAGCGTTCTATTGTACTCTCTACCGTCAGTATATTTTCCGACGTGGCGCTCTATCACAGGCGACCCTGCTGAGCATATTGCAGCTAAGGTTACGAGAGCTTCTGAGTTCTTACATATCTTAAGTGACGAAGACTGCCACGATGTGAAAGATCCTGGTTATTCGGAGAAATAATTGACGACGTTAAAGTGTGTATTGTGTGTTATTGCTGACGTCTGTTTATCGACAAACATCCAGCAAGCTTTGTCGCCGTCTTTTGTGCTCCTTTGTGTCCTGTCTGACGTATCCTTTTGTTAACTTACTAATTTATCCCGATTGGGAATATTAATTGCATAAATGAACCGCGTAATTTTTCTTCCACTTCTTTATTTTTAACCTGAGATACATCAGTCCAGCAAAATCGGGGTTACATTTCAGCTTGTTTTAAAGTAGATAGTTTTCCTACAAGTATCATTAACTTGTTAAAAAAGGATTCTTGTTGATACTGAATTTGACTACAAGACTAAGTTGAGCCATTCCTGACAGGTGAAAGATTTAATAACAAAAAAATTTTTCACACCATCATAACTCAATTTGATCGAACAACTCAGTAGAATCTGAGAATTCTTTCTAGTTTACAGTAGATAACACAAGCATTTCCGTTGGTGAGAGTAAGCTTGTCGATCACAGGTTCGAATTTTTTCTTTGAAAATAGTAAAGAAGAAGTCTCAGTTTTGTTTAGAGTTCGGCTAGTCAAATTATAGGGGGCATACTTAAAAGGCAGAAAAGTGAAAAATATATATATATATATATATAT